CAAGGAAGTAATATTTCTATAGAATTAGGGAGGGGTAGTGCATGAATGATTTCTGTTTAGGTCTGGCGAGACGGAGGAAAGGCCGGACCCTGGACCGGAAGCTGCCTGATACTACACGCCCCCTTCTTCCTGGACATCTGCTCTTTCTATGCTTAGGCTGGAGGCTTGGAGTCAGTCAGAGCAGGGATAGAGACAGAGAACATGGCAGAGCGCCTGCATGTTCTCTGCACATTTTCAGGCCTGGAGGGAAAGTTTTTAGGATGGCTCAGCATAGGGTTAGTTTTAGAGAATTAATGGCTCCAAGGGTTTTGTATCGATATTTAATTGTAAAGAGAATTAAATGTTATATTTTTAACTCTTGCATTCTTGGCCTTATTTCTGTATCAAATTCTGAACACGTCAGTCAAATCTTTTTTGACGACATTGGGCACACCTTTTTACAGTCTACGGCCAAACCCCCTCAATGGACACGATACGTTTGAATTATTTGATGATGATATTGATAGATTAATGATATATAACCACCAACAGTATCAGAGTAAATGACAAGCGTTAATACATTGAGAGGTTTATGAACTCTGAACGCGAAGCGCTTAGTGCATTTGTGATTATAACCATTCCGCTATGTGCTTTGTCCCAGCCGCAGGTGAAGGAGCTGCAACTGAGATACGAGGTAGGGGGTACACCTCTTTTTGAGTCATTTAAGTATTTTTTAAGTATTTTTAATGAATTTTTAAAGGCAAATATTAGCATTTTAGCTCAATAGCTTCCAGGTCATGTGATCAATTGACTCCAAATTAGGTCAGGATCATAGTCCTCCCCTAGATGCAGGGGGTACACCTCTTCTTTTGTCATTTAAGTTTTTGTAAGTATTTTTAATGATTTTATAAAGGCAAATATTAGCATTTTAGCTCAATAGCTTCCAGGTCATGTGACCTATTGACTCCAAATCAGGTCAGGATCATAGTCCTCCACTAGCTCTAGGGGGTACACCTCTTCTTTTGTCATTTAAGTTTTTGTAAGTATTTTTAATGAATTTTTAAAGGCAAATATTAGCATTTTAGCTCAATAGCTTCCAGGTCATGTGACCTATTGACCCCAAATCAGGTCAGGATCATAGTCCTCCACTAGCTGCAGGGGGTACACCTCTTCTTTTTTGTCATTTAAGTTTTTTTAAGTATTTTTAATGAATTTTTAAAGGCAAATATTAGCATTTTAGCTCAATAGCTTCCAGGTCATGTGACCTATTGACTCCAAATCAGGTCAGGATCATAGTCCTCCACTAGCTGTAGGGGGTACACCTCTTCTTTTTTGTCATTTAAGCACAAAAGCGCATCATTTCAGCCGTGGAAAGACTAGCTCCGTGTGGACCCCTCTCAGCGCCATTGTCTGGTCAGAGTGGTCTATAGCAGATTGGATTGGAATGTCTCGATGGCTCATTTTCCTTTGATTTATTATAAAAACATATTGCTCACATTATTTGTTACTATGTCAAAATAAGAAGTCGTTTGATTTAAATGTTGTATATATGTAAATTGAATTTAACATAAATAAATAAAAAGACAGCTCCCCCCTGCGTCCTACGACCGCGGTCTGGGGCTTAAACAGGAAAGTTTTACAGAATCAATCAAAGAACATTATTTCTGGCTACTTCAAGGATGCAGTGGTCACTGTCGGCAATATCTTCACATAATCTGCAGGTGAAGGACGTCCAGAGACCGTTCCAGACAACAACACATACGAGTTTTCAACTGCACATGCGCGTTTGAAAACTCGTAATTTTGACTTTTAAAGTCAAAATTTTGAAATTTAAAATCGAAATTTTGACTTTTAAAGTCGTAATTTTGACTTTTAAAATCGAAATTTTGACTTTTAAAGTTGAAATTTTGACTTTTAAAAGTCGTAATTTTGAGTTTTAAACTCAAAATTTTGACTTTCTGTATGCTTTTGTTTTTTTTTACATGGCGGAAACGGGCTTCCATACATGCCCAGCTTCAGTGTTCACAGCGAGTGCAGAGGTTTTTGGGCATAAAAAGCGTTTGTTGTGGACAGAGAGTGTGGAGGCAATGACAAAAATCGTTATTTGATGGGAAAGAAGTCCGTCTGATCCCCTTATCATCCACAATTAACATGTGTTTCTTCAGCTTATGTATTTAGTCTTTATTCAATGGTAAACTAAAAATCCATGTGAAAAATATTAAGTCAAATATTTATATGCGATTAAAATGTGATTAATTAATTACAACGCCTCTAACGTTGTGCAACGTTAAAGCCTCTAACAATAAATTTTTTTTTTTTTTTTAAGAGTCCCAGCCCTAATTATTACTACATCATAACTCTTCCAATCATCTCATAATTCTGTTCTGATAATTAATTACTATTCTTTATTCTGCTAAAGTTCAATATAAACTGCTTAATGTAAACTGGTTCAATACAATACAATACAATTTATTCTTGTATAGCCCTAGGTCACAACAGAAGTCATCTCAGAGGACTTAACAAAACCATTGAAATCACCAGCACAGGTCAGAGAATCAACAGTTAAAACACATGAAGAATATAAAGCACACACAGAAGAAAATGTCCATACATGTTGTAGAATGCTAAAGTGTCCTGATCATCACCAATCCTTTCTGTTGGACACTAACTGTCCAACAAGACCCTCCTGCATCGACAAGGAAAAACTCTTAAAAAACCCAGTGGGAAAAAGTGAGAAACCTTGGAGGAGAACTAGGGAAACCCACAGGGAGGGAGACCCATATGAGAAAGGGATCCGCTCCTCCGGACGGACAGACTAATGATCCAGGACCTAAGCTAGCTACAGAACGTGGACCAGTGGACGCTGAACGTGGACAGGTCCGGTGCAGGACTGAAGCACTCCCAGGCGGGTCGGGCGGGGCAGTCCGCAGGTGTAGATGGAAGAGGCCAGGCTCAGAGATCCCGTCATCGTACCATGAAACAGACAATGGGACAACGGGTGAATAGCAATGAACAAACTACAGTCAGAATCCTAAAAATGCTAAACAGATAAAGTAGGAAGGAGGAGAGGATAGTGCTCAAGTTACCATACTTCTCCCAGCAAACTGACTCCCTATGCAGCTTGACTAACACTCTGAGGAGTTTAACCTTCTCCGAGTCTTCCTAGCCATATGCTAAACTAAAGAGGACTGTTTTAAACCTAGCCTTGAATAAAGAATAACATACAGCATAATATATAACATAATATACAACATAACACAATACATTATTGTGAATAATATATAACATAATATATAACATAATACAGCATATATATATAATATATACACTACATATTATATATTACCTAATTATATGCTAAATTAAAGTAAAGTGCTTTAAGCCTGGCCTTGAATGTGGAGACCGTATCTGCTTCCTTAACATAAATGGGAAGCTGATTCCACAGTAAAGGAGCTTGGTAGCTAAATGCTCTGCCACCAACAGTGACCTTTGAGACCTTAGGGACCACCAGACGTCTGGCGTTTTGTGAGCGCAACGCTCGACCTGGTTGATACGACACTAACGTGTCTTGGAGATAAGAAGGAGCCAAGCCATTTATGGCTTTATATGTTAAGAGTAGGATTTTAAACTTTATTCTGTACTCCACAGGGAGCCAGTGGAGTGATTTTAACACCGGAGTTATGTGCTCCCTCCTTTTGGTACCTGTTAAGATCCTAGCTGCTGTATTCTGAACGAGCTGGAAGCTCTTCAAAGAGGCTTTAGGGCACGCTGCCAGTAAAGCGTTACAGTAGTCGAGCCTTGAGGTGACAAACGCGTGAATGAGTTTTTCCGCGTCACTTTTAGGAAGGAAATTCCTAATTTTAGCGATGTTCCGTAAGTGGAAGTACGCCGTTTTAGTTGCTTGGCTTATATAAGCCTTGAAGGAGAGTTCTTGGTCAAAAATGACTCCAAGATTCCTCACAGTGTTACTGGGTATTATACTGACATTATCGAGAGTAACCATCTGGTTAGTGAGGGAGTCACGCAGGCGCTTCGGACCGAGTAGGATCACTTCTGTCTTCTCCGGGTTGAGAAGTAGGAAGTTAAGAGTCATCCACATTTTAAGGTCCTTTATGCAGGCACTGAGCTTTTCTAGCTGATCTGTCTGATTAGGCTTCATCGACAGATAAAGCTGTGTGTCATCTGCATAGCAGTGGAAATTAATTCCATGCTTTTTAATAATGTTTCCCAGTGGCAGCATGTAGAGAGTAAAAAGAATCGGTCCGAGTACCGAACCCTGCGGCACACCGAATTCCACTCCAGAATAAGGCGACGAGTCCTGATTCACATTGACGAAGTGATATCGATCTGATAAATAGGATTTAAACCAGCCAAGGGCTGTTCCTTGTTCAGTACAATATAAACATCTGTAAATATCTCCTGATACACTGCTAACTGCAGTGTATACACTAGTGACTTATCCCTGAGTGCCATTATAGCCCCAGTTTTAATTTATCACCATATTTCATCTTATTGCACTATTCGCCCAAAGAACAAATGCTATCACATTTGATAGTTGGCCACCTTCTCCCTTAAGCTTTGAGATGGACATTCTTTAAAAGTTGCACTATAGGTGGGAAGGAGGTTTTTTATTATATTGCCAACGTTCGTACTAAGAAAAACTATATTTTGCAGGCAGTTTTTCATGTTTAAGTTTTATTTGTGAATTATATATTTTAATTATTGACATTTCAGCCTGATGTTAGCCTTTGTCAAGTTTTACACTAAGAAAAAAGTTGCACTACTTCTAAATAAATTACAGTGAAAACTGTAAGAGAGAGTGATGCCCCCTGTTTTATTAAATGGCATTGAGTATATCACAAAAAACAATGACAAAAAACAATTGCAATTAAAGTTGTGGTACCTACATTTTCTTTATTAATAATAAAAATTGAGAAGCACTGAACTAGCGGGTTAGCATTGTCCAGGTATACAGTGTCTCTGCTGTTGTCTAAGGGTTCGGGCTCAGGTATGGTCTGGACTCAGGATTCAGGTTGGGCTCTGGTCTGGACTCGGGGCTTGGGAGACTGTGGACAGAAAGAGCCCTGTTTAAGCTAGGAGGAGGAGAGAGTAGAAGAGATAGTGTTTGTTGAGTGAAGCACCTTGTACAGAGCTGGAGCAGGAGTCAACACGGCAGAAGCACCAGCTGTAACAGACCCAGGACCAGACTCAGGACCAGACCCAAGTCCAGACCCAAGACCAGACTCAGGGCCAGACCCAGCACCAGACCCAGTCCGTCACAGAGTAGAAGGGGAGGGGGAAGGTCCAGAGAGTCAGCAGTCAGGACTGAGGAGAGAGTGATATCTTAAACAGTTCATCAGAGCCAAAATGTTCTATAGATTTACAGTTACCTCGCCTGAAGTCCTCTGGGAGAACATGGCTCGGCTTGGCTGGTCCGATCGTTGGTCCGGTCGTTGGTCCGGTCGTTGGTCCGGTCGTTGGTCCGGTCGTTGGTCCGGTCGTTGGTCCGGTCGTTGGTCCGGTCGTTGGTCCGGTCGTTGGTCCGGTCGTTGGTCCGGTCGTTGGTCCGGTCGTTGGTCCGGTCGTTGGTCCGGTCGTTGGTCCGGTCTTTGGTCCGGTCTTTGGTCCGGTCTTTGGTCCGGTCTTTGGTCCGGTCTTTGGTCCAGTCTTCAGTGAGTGCTCAGAGCTGCGAGCAGAACCCTGTGCTGCAGAAACAAGCAGACACCACAGGTCAAATGTTTATGTCCACACAAGTACCACAGAACTCTAGGGTGTTATCAGACCTGCACTTTTGGTCCACTTTAAACGGACCAGGATTTGTTTTGAACTCTGATCCGGACCTTTTATGCAGGTATGAATACACACAAACAAATCCTGGTCCGGACCAAAGAACCGGACCGAGACCCACTTTTTTAGGTGGTCTCGGTACACTTCGAAACAAACTCTGGTTCGAGTTGATTCAGGTCTGGATACAACTGGTGTCGATCCGACACAACTCCAGGATACGTGCGCATTTTTTGGCCTTAACAAGCCACCGTAGACAGGAACTGTGAGGAATTAGCCACGCGTCACAGCTGCTAGAGCTACACAACAACAATGAGCCGTGGGCAGACCTGGAGCAACGAGGAGACACTGTGCCTCCTTGAAATTTGGGTAGAGGCACATTTAACCCAACTTCTGGAAAAGACACACAAAAATGCGGTTGTTTTGCTCTAAAAAGAGCAAACATAGGCAGAGCAGACGTACAAGTTCGATTTTTTCCTCCATTTCTGCATCTATTCTCCGTGAGCTCTCGCTGTATAGGAGCGCCGATGGACACATGCGTCGATGTGTTTAGAAAAAAAGTTCACTTGCAAAAAGTACAGTCTGAATACGAACCGGACCAAAAGAAAAATGTTTGGTCCGCTTTTGGTTCGGACCAAGCAAGCGGAGCAAAGGACTTTTCTGGTCTGAATACAAAAAAGTCCTAACCCTTTTTCTAAGACGAGGGTTAGGATTGGGGTTAGGACTAGGACAAGGGTTAGGACTTTTGCAATAGTTGGTAAAGTAGCTGTCGGGCAAAGCGGCGCAACAACAAAAGAAAACAACAAGAAACACCCGGGCGTGAGTATGTGCTGAACGTGAGGAAGCTTCGAAGAGTGTGCGAGTCATTTAGAGGGATTAGAATATCAACGAGTGCCCTTCCTAATGGGGGGTATTTTTCTATTGAGGGCACTCATAACTCAATCGCACTCAGAATTGGGATGAGCCCTTGGTCTAGGACTAGGTTTAGGACTAGGACTATGTTTAGGACTAGAATTAGGACTCGGAGCAGCTCTTTAACAAAAGTTTAGTAAATGTTGCTTCTCACCTGAGTGTGAGAGGAAGAGCAGAGCGTCTGTGTATCCACTCTCACATATATCCAGGAGAACCTGAAGAGGAGAGACATAATAAGGAGGTGAGGAGGACGAGGGGAAGGATGGGGAGCAGGAAAAAAGAGGAGCGAGGAGGAGCACTAGTACCTGTGGACTCTGGGGCAGGAAGGAGGTCCAAACTCTGTGAACATTCCCAGTGTTTACTTCAATCGACACATTTCCATAACAAACCTGAGACAGAGAAGGAGGAGCGGACAGGAGGGGGGAGAGAGGGAGGAGAGAATGAGTGGTACACACACACGCACCCACGCACGCACGCACACACACACACACACACACACACACCTGGATGGGGGAGAAGCCACTCTCTTTTGGACAAATGTCTGATTCTCCTGAAAATGGAGAAAATCGTATTGTGTTTGTGAACTCAGAGAGAGGCTGGTTATCAGACAGAGCTCCATCCATGAACCACTGCGAGGGGAAGTGGGAGAAGAGGAGAGAGTGGAGAGAGGAGTAGGAGATGAGAAAAGGACGTTAGATATGTTACATAGAACAGTAGTAGTTGTAGTACCTCTCCTTTATAAGATGGAGGGAGGAATCCACAGTAAATGGGGAAGAAACAGCTGCACAATAAAACCTAAAAAATTTAAACAAATGATAAAAGAACCTCAGAGACACAGTGTTACCCTTCTCTCCAAGGGAGCAGCAGCTCTATCCTGAACTCCAGGTTCTGGTCCTCTCTATGGATTGGAGAGGTCAGGGACCTCTACTCCTGGAGAGAACCAGGATCAGGACTTCTGCTCCTGAGGAGGACCAGCACCAGGACCTGTTCCCCTCTGGGACCATGAAAATCGATAACAGAAGAGCATGTGACCTGCATGAGCTGGTCGCGGCTGCTGAAGTGCGTCACTCTCAGGTTTTTCCCATCATGCACTCTGGTGATGGACACGCACAGACGGCCTGAGGCAAGTGTGTGGGCATCAAGGGGGAGGAGCCTCATCAAAGCGCCACGCAGCCGTTTCAAAAGACTGAAGGACGGACTGAAGACCCCGAGAGGGAGAGAGCGAGCTTCTGAGGCCACCAGGACCAGCTCCGACACCAGGGAGGCTGCAAGAGAGACGAGTACTCAAGTACTGCTAAAGTACTGCTACAAGTACTGCTATAGGTACTACTGTACTTTTTTCTGGTCTGTGGTTTCTCTCTGGTCTTGGGTCTCTCTCTGGACTCTGGTCTGTGCTCTCTCTGGTTTCTGGTCCCTCTAGTCTCCAGTCTCTCTGGTGTCTCTGGTCTCACTGGTCTCACTGGTCTCAGACTCACTCAGACTCACTCCCACAGCCAGAGCAGCTGCCACCAGACTCCCAGACGAGGCTCCGCTGAAGCATTCGGCCCCGAGGACGATCTCAGGGGCCTCCTCCAGCAGAGCACTGAGGGCCCCCAGGTAGTACAGGCTCCGGAAGCCACATCCGGCAAAAGACAGGCTCCAACCGGGCTCCTGGGCCAGAGGGCGAGGCAGGGGACGCGGGGGGGACATGTGACTAGGGGAGACAGGTCTGCGTCTTCTCTTTGTTTCCTCTCCTTGTCACCTCTTCTGTTCCTCTCCTGGTATCCTCCTCTCCTGCTCGTCTCCTGGTCTCCTCCTCTCCTGCTCCACAAGGGATCTGGTCTTGGGTCTAGTCTGGTCTGGTCTCACTTTGGTCTTGCTCGTCTGAGCTGCTCTCTGGTGTGGTCCCTCTTGATTATTTCTGGTCTCTGGTATGCTCTCTCTCATTTGTGGTCTGGTCTCTCTCTCTGGTCTGTTTTCCCTCGGGTCTCTGGTCTGGTCTGGTCTCTGATCTCCCTCTGGTCTATGGTCTTGAGTACGCATGTGGCTGTTGCACAACTACAACATGTTTTTATGGGACACAGGATCACGTGACTCAGGGGCCAAGGCTTTCAAAACATAGATATCTACAGAGACTGGACCAGGACTGGACCAGGACAGGACTCGGACAAGACCAGACCAGAGCAATACAGAACCAGGATAGGACCAGGACTTGACCAGGACTGGATGGAGGTCTGGGTCACTGGTCAAGGGGTCAGAGGGTACTCGGACTAGAACTGAACCCTAAACCTTGTGTGTCATCAGTCAATCGTCTTAGAAGTTCCATTTTTTGTGTACCACCTTAAATTTCAGCAGCAGTCGTCTCTGAGGACTTTGCAAAGTTGTGTATACACCAACAACTGATCAGAGAATCAAACAGGAAAGGCAATAATAAAAACACATTAGAGCCATAGGGAGCAGGATGTCCAGGAATGTTCATAAATATGCAGCCTCCGTCCTGGTTCTACAGCCTCAGTCCTGGATCTACAGCCTCAGTCCTGGATCTACAGCCTCAGTCCTGGATCTACAGCCTAAGAATAGAACATACTGTTGTTTAACATATCTACATCAGGCGTGTTTCCTTCAAACTGACTCCGCTCCACAGGACTGAGGTCTACAGGACTGAGGTCTACAGGACTGAGGTCTACAGGACTGAGGTCTACAGGACTGAGGTCTACAGGACTGAGGTCTACAGGACTCAGGTCTACAGGACTCAGGTCTACAGGACTCAGGTCTACAGGACTCAGGTCTACAGGACTCAGGTCTACAGGACTCAGGTCTACAGGACTCAGGTCTACAGGACTCAGGTCTACAGGACTCAGTTTCACAGGACTCTTGACTCCCCCACTGAATCGTTGTCTCTGTTCAAGCTCATTTCAGACCACTTTTGAGATAATGATCACTATTAAAGTACTGATTCTACACTTTGACCTGAGAGTGAGAGTGAGGTTTGAGGTCTCAAAACAGTCTCTCATCGTCAATAAAGTGCACTAAATAAAGTGCTACGTGCTTCAGACCCTTGTCACAGTACAGCCTGACAGTGACGTCACAGTCCACAGACTTTAGACTTTGCGGCCTCCACTCCTTCCTCCTCAACTCTGGTCGCGTCAGGCGGCCCCACGTGACCGTGGGCGTTTACGGATCACGGCTGCAGAGTTCAGGACAGGCGTGTCTCCGGTACTGACAGGGTTCAGAGCAGTAACTCCCGGTAACTCCCGGTGGCGTCAGCATGAGTGCGATCCCGATTGTTGACTTTGGCGTCTGCAGCCTGGAGCGCGAACATGAGCGCGTGACCCCAGAGGAGATGGAGCGTGTGAGCGCGCAGCTGCACGATGCGTTCACGCGCGTGGGCTTCGTGTTTCTGCAAAACACCGGGATCACCCAAGAGGAGGTGAGGGAGGAGGATATGAGAGTGAAGGAAGTGAGGGAGGACCCAGGAGGAGGTGATTGAACACCCAGGAGGGATTGAGAGAGCACTCACAGAGCGCCCTCGTCAGGTGGGCCAGGTCTAAAGCCGGTCTGGGTCTCAAGGTGGACCAGGTCTGAACCCTGTGTTGATCTTCTTAGGTGGACCAGGTGATGCAAGTCTCTCGTGAGTTCTTCTCTCTGTCTGAGCAGCAGAAGTCTTTGTACAGCAGGGGGCGCTATGAGGAGAACGGGAACCATGGCTGGGTCTCACTGCAGACAGAGAGGTACAAGTGCAATCATACTGTTAAAGCTGGGGTACGTAACTATAGCCTCATAAACAACATGTGTTTAAAGCTAGGGTAACTTTCAGACCACATAAACAGATTTTTACCGCAGCTTTAAGTATGTAATACATCTTTATTTATATAAAGCAGACCAAGGTTACCAAAGCGATTTACAATTGTTGAAAGTTCAGGAATGTTTCCATTCTCTTTGATGCACGTGTGTTCAGTGAGAGGCTGAATACAGTGCATCAAAGCCCCCAACCCCATCCATTCACTCACTACATTCATACCTATTGTACATGTGTTTAGATGTAGGGGAAACTGGAGCACCCGGAGGAAACCTATGCAGACACAGGGAGAGGTCTCCCTGTGAAAGGCGTGGAGGTGGAATTGAACCCAGGTTCTTCTCACTGTGAAACACAAGCTCTAACCGCTGCGCCACTGTGTCATCCAACATGGGATGTTTATGAGGCTAAAATTACTTACCCCAGCTTTAACTGCTCCTGTGGTGTTTTCAGGTTGAACCCCAAACGTCCCGGAGACCTGAAGGAAAGCTTCAACACCACAGTTCTGTCTCCACAAATTGTAAGCGCACCCTACTGACCACACTGCAGCAGTGCTGGTCTCTCTCTGGTCTCTGATTTCTCTCTCTGGTCTCTGGTTTATCTCCCTGGGGTCTCTCTGGTCTCTCTCTGGACTTTCTCCCTGGTCACTCAATGTATGTGTGTGTTTGTGTGTAGTTGTGGCCCACAGGTGGCGCGCTCTCTCACTTCCAGCAGCTCCAGAGCTCGTTCTTCAGTCGCTGCTCCTCCCTGGGCCGCCGTGTGCTCCGCCTCATGGCCCTGAGCCTTCATCTGGACCCAGAGACCTTTGTGAAGGAGCACCGCCGCATGGGAGGTGACAGAGAGGAAGTTACAAACATCAGCTTTAATGTAACTTTAGTCTCATAAATAACACATGTTAAAGCTGGGGTCCGTAATTTAACTAGAGAGTCTCATGAATAACACATAAAGATAGTGTAAGGAGCCCTCACACTGAAGAGCCCTATTTGACTTTTTGGGGCGGAGAGCTGAATCTCTGAGTGAGGGTGGGCCTCTCTTTCATCATGTAATGTTACGTACCCCAGCTTTAATGTGTCTGGTGGTGTTTCAGAGCCGGGGAACAGCACCACCCTGCGCTCCCTTTTCTACCCCCCCCTGGTCCCAGACCAGATCAGACCGGAGCAGCTCCGGTGCGGAGAGCACTCAGACTATGGCAGCCTCACCCTGCTGTTCCAGACCAGGCCAGGGATCCAGGTACAGGATCCTCCTCACTCCTCTCTCTCCTCTCGCCTCCTCACCCCTCTCCTCTTCACTCCTCACTCCTCTCTCCTCCTCAATCCTTCTCACCTATCTCTCTCAGGTCCGCAGTCTCTCTGGTCTCTACATTTCTCCTCCTCTGGTTCCTGGAGCAGTCCTCGTGAACATCGCCGACCTTATGCAGCGATGGACCAGCGACAACTTCATCTCTGTGGTAACACCTCCCCTTGTCTACACACTCTGGTCTCAAGCACACCATTTGTCTCCAGGGGGCGTGTCCTCACTCCTGTCTCCACAGCTTCATCGTGTGCTACTGCCCTCTGCTGGTGACTCCTCAGAACGACAGTCTATGGCGTTCTTCATGCAGCCCGACGACTGCGCTGTGATTAGCTGCCTCGACGGCTCAAGCAAATACCCTCCAATCAGAGCCGACCACTACCTTCGCGATCGTTTCGCTGAGTCTTATGGAGCCAGTGACATCATTGACCAGTGACATCTTCAACTAGTTGACGTCATCAGCAAATGTTGACGTCACATTTGAGTCATGTTTAAAGTCTATGATTGAAATATTTTAGTTTGATGTGGAATAAAATACGTTTTAAAACATTCAGAAGTAACTGCTGCTTCCAAAGTCCAGACCTGGGACCTGGCTCTGAACCAAGTGATAGATTGTATACAGATGGACAATACTAACCCTCTAGAACAGTGTTTTTCAACCACTGTGCCGCGGCACACTAGTGTGCCGTATGATATTGTCTGGTGTGCCGTGAGAAATTCGTCTACTTTGTCTAAAAATAACTGCATTCGCTGTTGACGAGCGGTGACTTGTTTTGAACTGTGGAGTAACCATGTAATACTTTTTCAAATCAGTAGATGGCAGCAGATAGCTAAGTACTTTGAAACTGAAAAATTGGATGCGACCACTGGCTACAGGTCAGCATTGTGGCGAGAAAGGTAAAATTGGATGCGACCAACAAATGTGGGAGGGAGCGAGACAAGAGCTTTGTGGCGAGTGAGAAGTGAAAGTGATAGAGACGTTTTTGAAAATGAATTATGCCGTTTCTGAACAGGATTAACATCCTCCGCTCTGCCCCGGGGCACCTGTGGCCGCGTTGTAGTGGTTTAACTATGAAATGTACAATTTTTGTACAACAGCTCTCGCGAACGCACTTCTGAACTGGGTACCGAGCGCAGACCATAGTCGAGTGGACAGAACCACAGACATGCGGACCGGACAGAACCATGGACTCGCGTTCAGGACCTCCGGTGTCCCTCATCCAAAACTCCTGAATTTAAAGCTCGGATACCTAAATTTTTCCCATGCACTAACAATGCATGTTCTTTGTGTGAGTTATTATTTGACTATTTGGGTAGAGAGTGGATTTTCTTAGTTTTTTTCCACACAGTTAGTGCCACTTTATTCCCAAACTCTTGTTAATTGTATCGAGAAATATTAAATAAAGCTTAATGTCAAGGCCTGGACTTAAGCATTTTGATGAGAATAACTGTATATTGTGAATATAGGCTACAGAGTATACTGTATACATTATAAGATAAGATAAACTTTATATATCACACAGAGTATGTACAGTATATATTTTTTTACATTAGTACTGTATACATTTTTACATTTTCTCCTGGAGGTGTGCCGCAATATTTTTTCAGTGAAAAAAGTGTGCCTTGGCTCAAAAAAGGTTGAAAAACACTGCTCTAGAAAGATCAATGAAAGTCCATTATGGTGCTCATGGTGAAGTGTGGCTCCTATTGACTTGCATGTAAAAGTGAACTCCTCTCAGTAACTGTGTGTGTCACACTCACCATTTTAGGCCTAAAACTGGTTTATTGTTCTCTGTAATCCTGGCGTTTGGTCCTGCATATACTGTAGCCGACATCCTTTCAGATATTCAGGTTTCTGTCGCTACAGCTTATAATTGTAGCTTTAAAGCTATGTACCCAGCTTTAAAGTTATATACCCCAGCATTAATGTTACGTACCCCAGCTTTAAAGGTTTTCATTTTTGGTTTATCATAAATAATAATTCTCCATTCAGTAAAACCAACACTCTGATGTCATCTTTGATACACACGCCTCACCGAGCACGCTGCACTTTCCTGTTTGTCCACGGCGTGCCGTTGTTTCCCCGATTGTAACCTGCATGGGGCTGACTCTAGAGTATGCGTCTCCATGGTAATGGTGCATCCTCCACAGACTTGATCTGTGTGTGCGTGCGCGTGTGCTAAAGTGTTTGTGTATTTGTGCGTGTGTCTGCGTATGTGTGCGTGTCTACTGTTAGTGTTTGATGTTGAAAATATAAACACGGCCTGGGGAATTACATCTTTATCTATATATTTTCTACTTAATATACATTCTCTTTTTTTAATTCAAATTTTATTTGGAAATAACAAAATGTAACTGTTTTCATCATCATAATACAGGACATTTCCATTTTTTCCAATGATGGGCTTATAGTACAGTCTTATCACCATTAGTCAGCAAAATATTCCCATATAAAAGGTAAAGGGATACAATAAATGTTCTCACAAATGGGGAAAAAGTCACAGCTCTAGTTGGGGCAATGTAATTTATCCATTTGTTCCATGTGCAATGAAATGTATCTTTTTTGATGTTTATAACTTTTCCATTTTATACATCTTAAATACTATGTCAATCCAGCTGTCAAGTGACGGTCATGGGGGTCAGCCATCTCTTAATATTCTTTTTACTTGCTGCAAGGAGGATTTGTAGCAACTTTGTCACTTCTTTCCAGGAAGGTAACTTTACCCAAATACAAACACTCAAAGTTGAAAGGAATGACAACACCAAACACTGAACTCGGGCTTATCTGAATTTCTCTCCAATACCCTTGTAATTTTGAACAAGACCAAAATATGTGGAAATGATTTGCCTCAACTGTCCCACACTGTCTCCTGCATGTCGAGTCATGTGTGTTTGCACTGAACTGGAGTTTTGAAATATCAATGATATTCTTCCAACAATGCTCTCTCCAGGTAAGAGAGGCCAGCATAGCCCATTCATCCTCTGATATCACCATTGCTGCCTCCCCTTCCCAATTTCTGCTTGAGTCTTACATCTGTCAATTGTAAATATGGCTTTGTACATTCTGAAAATCATTCTATGAGATATAGACCCATATGCTGACATTAGTATTTTTATAAAACTCTTCTTCAGAGTGAGTAAAATTAGCTGATTTACATTTAGAAATAAAGTTATGTCGGAATTGGAGGTACCTAAAAAAAATCTACTGTTTGTAAATTGTGTCTTGTCTGTAATCCTTGAAATCTTTGAACAAAAATTCTCTCTGTAAATGACCAGTAAGTGGTAAAACCCTTCTTTACCCAAGATTTGAAAACGCAATCATTTTTGTTTGGATTAATATACGTTCTCAAACATTAAAGTAAATATGCAAATGATCATGCAAAGGCCGAAACAGAGCGGGTCGTTGTGTTGGCCACCAGTCATTATCAATGTGGCCACCTCGTTCAATTCCGTAAACCCAAGATGGCCGCCATGTCTCCACATGCAGCCGCCTCCTCTAGCGCTGACACCTCTAACAGGAAAATGGCTCCACCGACCCAGACCACGGCGCTCCTCTGAAGGTAAAGCCGCTCTGAGACGCACCAAACACGGGGGAAACTTCACACTGTCCCCGTAACATCTGCACTTCTGCTCGTGTGCGCAAACAAACCGCAAACAGCCCAAAAACTACCGCAAAACCCGGACTTCAGCGATCCCCTGCCTCTTCCGCGTTTGTGCCACAACTCCGCTACTTTTAAATAATTAAAGCTGTGTTTCTGTGGCAGAGAAAGCCTTCAGCACTGCGCCATTTCAGACAGAACTCCGCGCGTTTGCACTGAAGCGAAACCCGGTCCTGCGTTCGTGTTTCCAGCCGAGGACCGCAACAAGTCCCCGGCGCGAGAGGAAAGTTTGGCCGCGGACTCAACTGTGCCAAACTGTACCAAACTGTGCCAAAAGTACCGTCTCGGCTCTTGTAACCTACGCTGTCTGTTTGATCTTACGCTGCTCATGTATGTGTATAACTATCATGTAATTTTACTTACGATCAAACATTTAAAACACTTTGAAACATTGTTCAGCTAGGAAAGCGGAACCCCGTTTACATTATGCGCTTATTAACATTATTGCAGTGATTTTAAGATAGAGTCTGATTCATGCTGTTACAAAACCTGTGTAACTCCTTTAATACGACATAGACTTTAATTCGGCACAGCTCTTGTACACATTTCCCGTTAAATATTTTCATAAAAAACGTGTTAAGTTGTCAGGAAGTCTAAAACCCGCTGCAGGGAAAATGCTTGTTGATAAAACTTCTCGGATTCCTGCTTTGTTCATTCTTAAGGAGTTTTCTCTTTTTTCACTTGAACACCAGCGACATCCACAGTTCTGTAACGATCTGCTCTATGAGACATGGGGGACACTGTGTTTTTATGGCCGTAGTCCATTATAATTTGATTCCCACCAGTCTCTCTCTGGTTTCTCTCTGGTCTCTTTCTCTCTCTCTTGTTGTAGTGTTTTTCACATTCAGCAGTTTTGCTCATAAACTGAACTTGTGGCTCGAACTTTGCTCTGATGTGGCGTTTAAAACATTATTGGCTTTAAAAGTGTCACAACATCTGTGTCAATCCATGAAGATCAATGAGGGAGCTGCCAACCTCAGTCCCGGTCCAGTCCAGTGTACTGGGACTGTCCATAGTATGGCCACATTTCCACTGAGACAAACTCTGGGTCTACTCATCCTACGCTGAAGACTCAAGCTGGTGTCAGAGTGACTTGGCCTCTAACCTGCCTTGCCACCCAGTCTTTTACAGAGGCTCTAACAAAACATAGGTGTAATTTAGACTCAATAAAATACTGCACAATGAAAGTGTAACAATCCGAGCTGTGTTGTGAGTGAAGCTCTGACCTCAGAGCTTGGGCTGTTGCAGCTCTTTCCTTTTATAAAAAAATCCTGAATAGTTTTAATAAGCTCTATGAGAAACATAATGTGATTCATAAAGGTCCAAGTTAACTTTATTTGTATAAGCACATATACAGTACAGACCAAAAGTTTGGACACACCTTCTCATTCAAAGAGTTTTTTTTTTCTTCATGACAATGAAAATAGTAGATTCACAGGGAAGGCATCAAAACTATGAAGTAACTCATGTGGAATTATGTACGTACTTAAAAAGTATGAAACAACTCGGTTCCTCAAAGTAGCACCTTTTGCTCTGATTACTGATTCACACACTCTTGGAATTCTTCCTTGATGGTCTTCCAACAGTCTTGAAGGAGTTCTCAAAGATGCTTAGCACTTGTTGGCCCTTTCCCCTTCACTCTGTGGTTCAGCTCACCCCAAAACCATCAGGATTGGGTTCAGGTCCAGTGACTGTGGAGGCCAGGTCATCTGGCCCAGCACCCACCACTCTCCTTTGGTCAAACAGCCTGGGTGTGAATCTACAGTCAATAGTCATGAAAAGAAAGGACACTCTTTGAATGTGAAAGTGTATCCAAACTTTTGGTCTGTACTGTATAAGGTTTTACTGCTATGACTGGTGCTATGAGTATTGGGTGGCGGCTCTCATGGCCACCCCCCCTACCCCCTGACCCAGAAATGGACTAATACAGTTGCTGAAAATGAATGAATGAGTTTTACTGCTCTTTACCTCAAGTTCTGGCGTCACTTTGTCTGTTAACATTTACAGTCTATGGTCGGCATGTCTATTCCAGGCTGGCGTGTCTTCTGATGGATTTGTGTTGCTGACATTATGGCTCAGCCCTTGCAAAGCGCCCCCGTGGGGCGGGAGGAGGCGCTGCGCATGGAGGAGGAGGCGCTGGCCAAACTGCAGCGCGGCAAACGCCCAACACTCCCAACGGCAACTGCACGGGCGACTGTGAGGCCAACAAGATCGCACACCGTCACCGAGGCCACACTCACTCGCCCCGAGACACTCCCACTGGCCATGCCCACACGTAAGTATCATCGCCACAAGGGTGAGGGTCTGAACTGGAGAAGTGTGTGTGTGTGTGTGTGTGTGTGTGTGTGTGTTTGTGGTTGAAATCTGTCTAATAGCCTGAAATGGACAAAAACACTGAGTTTCTTAACAACACTGAGGTTGTTACGAAAACTTGTCAGTGTCTCTTCTTCTTTTCTTTCTGAGGACACTTTGGCAGAATCTTAAGAGTTAGTGGTAAATTCGCTTTTATCGCTGCACCATTTGTGGTTCAGCAACACTCTTAAACTGAGCTCTGAGAAAAACGACTCTTCTGGCCATCCTGGAAAAGCCATGTTCTAGATTCTTCCTTCTGACAGAAGATATCATTGGTGAAATGCAGGACATCTGGATAAACTGTTATCAGTTTAAAGAAAGTACTTTAATTGTTTCTTGTACTTATGAGCTTGTTTTATTTATGTACTTGTCTGGTGCCCACTGGGGACTTTTGCAATTGTATTCCAAAGTGGTTTTACTGCAAATGGCAAATGATCTGAATCTGTCTGTCTGCGTGTCTGTGTCTCTCTGTAGCCCCGCCCACTCTCCTGGACAAAGACCTGATCGTTTTCCCTGAGTCCAAACCTCAAACCACGGACGTGTTTCGTGACATCGACGTGAACAAACTGAGCGACGCAGAGCTGGAGAGACTCCTGTTGGACCCAAGTCCGAGTCCCGACCCGAGCCAGGACCCGAGCCCTGACCCAAGCCTCATCCGATCCTGCCCCAAACCAGCGCTGCTCGGCTTCAACCTGAGCGCCTCGTACCCCGGTGGTCTCCATGGAAACGCCTTCAACAGCCCGTGGACTCCTCTGTACCCGGCCTTCCCCGCGGCACAGAAGGCCTTCCCACAAGCCTTCACGCCGCAGCCCTTCATGCCTGTGGTGTTCCCGTCCACGGTCGACCCGGAGACGGCCAAACTTTTGAATAAGATCGCCAGCACCCGAGAATATCTGAAGAACGGGAGGTCGAGTGGAGAGCCGGAGGCCACGGGATCTCTGCAGCCGAAAGCATTCAGTCCTCCTGAGTAAGAGTCTGTGCTCCTCCCTCTTTCTCTTCTCCTTTCTTTTCTCCTCCTCCCCTCACTCCTTTCTCCTTCTTACAGAACTTCAACGGACTCCTCCCCCTCGGGTAGATGTGACTGGTTGGACTTGGACCCTCTTTCGAAGGGGAAGCCTGAGCCCGAGCCTGAGCCTCAGCCTGTGGTGTGTGAGAGCGACCCGTGGGAGGCCGTGCTCAAGACCGAGGGTGACGCTGCCAGCCGTATCCGTGGCGACAAGGAGGGACGAGGCTTAGCTGCGAGGCGAGCGGCGGGCGCAGCTGTCACACGCAGCCACTCGCTTGGTGCACGCCGAACATCACAGAGTGGCAAGAGACTGGTATGAGTGACATCATACACCTCTGTCCAAGCTCCTCCTACTTTGACATCACGGATGGCGGTTTTCTACATTTTTACTTTTACTAAAGTTTGTGTCTTCAGTCAAAACAGAAAGTGTTAACGAGGGTGAACAGAGTGTAACATCACCATAAGAGCTAACACAGACATGGTAGCAAGGGCCAAGTTACCAAGAGCCAATCAGGAGCCGTGCCGGCCTGTCCCCTCTCTCACTGCAAAAGCCAAATTTTGCAACAGAATGCTCTGAGCTAGCGGGTTAGCATTGTCCATATGTACACAGGCTATTGTGTGAGTGTGTATGTGAGAGGTCTGAGGTCTGCCCCTATGGTTCCCCTCGGTCCCCCTGTGACACGTTCACTTTTTGTAGATTTGCTTTTTTATTTTACTTTCTCTTTACTCCAACACCCGCTAGGATAACATGACACGGTATCGCTCTGGTCTGTCTCTGGTGTCTCTCTGGTCTCTAATGATCCTGCATACTAACGAGGTCACGGTGAATATTGATGATCATGATGGCGTGCACTCTGGGCCTCAGGCGGTTCAGGACGAATGTGGGACTTATCAGCATTTACAACAGTCAGAGTGGATTCTGGAGGAGGTTTGGGGTTATGAGTTCAGTATGGTTTGAACATAGACTGTATACACATGGACAATGCTAATCTGCAAGTGCAATGAAACCCAATTGGGAAGTGCTCATGGTGAAGTTTGGCTTCAACTCGCTGTCAATATGTGTATTGACTTATACATATAAAAGTAAACTCCTCCAGCTCAGTAACCATTTGTGTCAAAATTTTGTGTTTAAATCTGTGGTTTATCGTTCTCTGTGATCCTTGTGTTTATATTGTGATATTGTCTTTGTAAATCCCCCCTGCCCCTGTTACTGCTAATGCCATCAGAACAAATGCCCACAAAAGGAAACTGGCTCCAGCTTATGCTCAAATGGGCTTCTTCTGCAACACTGTGGTGATGTCGCACTCGGTCAGTTCACTCATGGTATACGCTCTGTGGAACATGACTCAGCGTACATCACCGCCTTTTATGGGAACAGGAAGTGGGCCAACCAGAACAGGAAGAGCTTTGGGTTTCCTCTGGAGCATTCCTTTGTGATAAATGTGAACAAGAGTTTTTACACGAGTAGAGTAGGAGAAAAAAAATGTTGGAGGAAAAAGAGGGGAGGAGGGAGGAGAACTGAGGAGAAAAGAGAGGAGGGGGGTGAGGAGCCCTGTTTCAGATTGTCCTTTTTTTTGTTTCTAGGAGGGGACGAAGAGAGCTCTGGATGATGACGATGCTCAGAACATGGAGCTTCTGGACTTCTGTCGCCACATCACACAGTACGTAACTTTAAAGCTGGGGTATGTAACTTTCAGACCAATATAACTCTGTATTAAACTCACGTCTCTGGCTCTAAAACAGTTTTCTTCTATCACTAGTTTTCACATCATGTTTGTTTGGCCTCTGTCACATCTTTAGATCAGCTTTTTCAGACAGAAAAGGAAAAAAGAGAGGACCACCCTCACTCCAACCTGCTCTAAGCCCAAAGAGTCAAATAGTGACTCACTGGGCTCATGTGTTGTGTCCAGACTCAGGAGGAGGTTCCCGCACTCGGACTCCAGCACAAACCCCGGTCTGGTCCTCAGTCCGGTCATCCCTCAGAACCACAACCTCAGCGAATCCTGCTCCGTCAAAGTCTGCATCGAGACCAGAGGAGGAGCGGAGCCGGTCACCTTTACCTGTGATGGTGAGGAGGAGTTGTATAAGGGGGAGGAAGAGAGGAGAGAGAGGAGCCAGACGAGCATTCACCTTTACCTGTGATGGTGAGGAGGGGAGGGGCAGAGGGGGGAAGGAGCAGGTCAATGATGAGGGGAGGAAGAGGTGTGAAAGGAGGAGGAGGGAGAGGAGATGAACGAGCATTCACCTTTACCTGTAATTGTGAGGAGGAGAAGGGGGGAGGAGCTGGTCACCTGTGATGGTGAGGAAGAGGAGTGGATTACTGGAGGTCTCACAGTGTCCTCGTCCCTCAGTGTCCTCCCCTGTGGAGCTACTGGTGTCTCAGACTCTATGCTGGGTCCATGATGATCTGGACCAGGTGGACTTCTCCCAGTACCTGTTGAAGGTGTGTGGCCAGCAGGAGGTGCTACAGAGGTGAGTTCTGCTTTACTCGTGCATTAATGCAGGTGTCATTGGAGCTCAACAGAGGGAACTGTCAGCTCTTTGTAACTAACAAGCCGTGAGAAAGGCTGGCATCATAATGTCGTCCACGGATCATGTTTTAAATGATACGTTCACTTTGCTTCCATCAGGACGACGTTTTGTTGCACCATTGTAAAACCAATTGTCACTTAAAATCTTTTGTCCCAACTGCTACTAGACTGAATTCTCTGTAGCTTTGGTGGACTTTGGTGTTTGACCTGGTATTGTTTTTCATGTTTGTATGGCCTCCACTTCATTCTAGGGATGCACCAATATGAAAAGTTTGGCCGATATCGATATCCAATATTGATTTTTCTGTTATGGCCAATAACCAATATTTGCCAATATTGATAGGTGTGTTTGTTTTTTATCTGAGATGATAAAAGTTATACATTCCTCTTTTTTCAGAATGTATTTTATCTCAGAATGGGCGATGCGGGAAAACACACACAGAAGCTTTTTGCAGCTTAGTATCACTCTTCTTTTGAGTAAAAACTTATTTTGAAGTGGACCCATAAAAATATCTCCAACGAACCAATGGGATGCGTTTACCCCCCTTCACCCTCTTCCTGTTTCTCGCGAGTGTGCGCACCTGAGTTATCGGATTTTCTAAAAGCTAAAATGGCTGAACAGAAAATGCCAGTTTCATGTCTACCACCCACTCTCCCTGTTGTGACAAAGAAAAGAAAATGCTGGATGTTTGGATTGGTGGAGAGGCGAGGGGAGGGGGGAGTGGTTTCGAGTTGGTGCTACGGCTAAGCTAACCAAATCTCTTACTGCATCTTTAAAGGAGCTATACCCGTTTCTGCAAGGTTTGAATGTTTAGCACCGCCCCTCAAATCACTCACAGGCTTCTCATTTCCCCTACGCTCTCATCCCACGGAGCCTTCTAGTTTTATCTGTGATCTGATACATATGCTAACATTTGCATTAGAGGAACTTCTTGTAAGCTGTACAACAATCACTTATGAAATGGTACAAAAGAAACGCACTGCTAACAAAATATATGACTGAAAGATTACTGCTAGGTTCGAATACTTAATTATAATTTATTATACCGCTCCTCACAGCAGCAGTAGAACTGCTGCATTGAATTTGAATGTAATTTCAAAATGTTCTATCATTTTTTCTTGATAACAGAACTCTATAATGGCCGCTGCCCTTTGGCAACGCAATCTCTGCTTGTAATTCAGGTGTGTAAAATACTAACATTACTCCGCAAGTACTACAAGCTTTCAGCGCCTGTCACTACTTCTGTCTGTGCAGAGAAGCTAGCGGAGCTAGCCATGCTCAATAAACAAATACATATCAATCAATCAACACCTTTAAATGTTAATCGGGGAATGCATTATACATATACATCCTTAACACACATGCACAGAGGTTTTCAGAATTATCTGTTAACGTTTTCATGACAAAAATACTGTACTGTTTTAATGTGACAAAAGTGTTTAGGACACATTTGAAGAGGATCTGATTATGGATTTAGGTTTGGTATATAAATGGGTCACTCACCGCTGCTGTTCAGAATTCTTTTAGTTTTCATGTAGTTCCAGAGAGTTTTTGAACTAGCTAGCTTAGCTTTGAACTAACTTTCGGATATTAAGGGCTGTCTAATATTTGTTCGAATATATATGAAGTTTTTTTTTTTTACATTTTCGAATTGTATTTGAATTTCGAAGTCCCTTGTGTTTAGCAGCGTCGTAGAGGCTTGAGGACGCAGCCTCGTTCTGTGAGTGGAGGAGAGCGGGCGCCACGCCAAGTCTCTACTCAGCACTTTTTACGGCCTGAATTCATACACCGTTGAATCAATGAGCTCAAGTTTTCAATTAAATTACGGATTATAATACAACTTGTATGTAGTAATAAGCTTTTTTTCAAATCATGTACCTCTTTTTTCTGACTAACTCCAGACAATCACTTTAAATTTGCCTTCTAGGTGTAAGTTTTATGTGATGCTGTGAAGAGATAGTTCTTGTTGGAAACATGTTATTATTAAAGCTGCACTAACTGACTTTGGGATTTTGAAGCCGCGGACTCGCTGGCCTCGCTCTTTCTGCTCCCCTCCCCGCACCCACGAAGCTATCGCCCCCCCACACACACTCACTGTTGGGACGGAGCAAGCGTCTCCCAATGTGGATAAATACATGGATATGGATTTTCACGTGGATGGCGTGACCATAGAACGATAGAACCGGGAAGCGCGGAGGAACGAGACTTTCTTTTGGATGGCTGTCTCGCTGTGTAAGCAGTAACCGGTGACGAAGACACACGAAGCTTCAGGTTAGCTCCTCGGCTTGTTGTGCTAACTCAGCTGTCTGTGCTAACGGACCTGTAGATTTCTCACGAAAGTGGGGGTCAGTGGTCCGCTGTGATTGGTCACAATCTGCGACCCGAAACACATTCTCTTCCTTGTTTCATCAAAACTCGATCTAAAATATAATGTCACGCCAGCACAAATCTGCACTACTTTTTCTTCAAAAGGACGTATATCCCAATGCACTACATGGACATGGATAGCTTTTTTGTAATGAATACAAAAATAAAGTCAGTTAGTGCAGCTTTAAAGTGTATTCTTGCAAAAGAAATCAAAACAATTAATGTATAAATATCCAAGACCAAACATGAACTATTTACAAGTGCATTGCAAGATGAATGCAACAAGGTGCAGACACTTTCAAACTAAGACAGGCACAAGAACAGTGCAAAAGAAACTACTGTACAGTAAATACATGTTCTATGTGATATGCAACTAAAACCCTAGTCCACAGCCTCCTCATATATCAGGCTCATTTATGTGAGCCATGAGCTGAAACTGCTTTTCCTTTAGTACCCAAAGCACCGAGGCAATCTGCACCGAAGACCCTCGTCATTTTCTCTGCTGCCGTTCCATGCTTCCATCCAAAACATCAACAACAATCACAATGTACCTTTCCTGCGCTGCCGGCTGCCTAGTTAGAAAAAATTAGAGGGTGCACGGGTGGAAGCGCAAGCGATGATCCTTGCGTTGGTCATGTGACATCAGGCGTCGTCTCAAAGGGCCACCAGAAACGCTGTGACCCGTGAGGATACGCTTTGCTTTAGACCTGCAGTAGACCTGCTCATCGACTCTTAAGACCTTGTGCTTTTGCTCTTTTGACCATTTTTAGATTCTTTCTAGACCTGGTTTAGAACTGGTGTAGACCTGTTGTTGTTGTTGCAGTAAGCACAGCTTGGGGAGTCACGTCTACATCCAGAACTGCAGGAAGTGGGAGAGCGACATCAGTCTGCAGCTGCTGCGAGTGGACGGCCTGCAGAGGGAGCTGTCCCGCACGGTGAGGCTGAGTCAGTATGGTTCTCATATTGTGTCGTATGGTCCTCGTGCTGAGTCCGCACGGTCCTCGTGCTGAGTCCGCACGGTCCTCGTGCTGAGTCCGCACGGTCCTCGTGCTGAGTCCGCACGGTCCTCGTGCTGAGTCCGCACGGTCCTCGTGCTGAGTCCGCACGGTCCTCTTGTGTTACAGGCCGAAGACGATGCTGCGCACATTGACTTGGAGAAACACTTGATGCAGGTGGAACGCCCATATAAGGAGAATGTGACCAGGTAATGCCATGCCCACTGAGTTTTGTTCACACCCACTGGAGGGCATGAGCACAGGGAATGATCAGAATAATTTTTATTGCCATGTAAGTAACAGGAAGTCACAGACTAGGAAATTGGCTCGGTGCAACAGTCAGAAAAGATAGGTAAAGAATAGAGTATGGTAGGGCTGGGCGATATGGCAAAAAAGTAAAATCTCGATTTTATTTCCTGCTTTGGACAATTTACATTTTTAATCGATTTTTATTAAAGTCACTCAAGACAGACTTTGCCCTTAAAAATATGTTCTTCCATCTTCTATCTTCTATCTTTCCACTCAATATTGAAGTTTCAAAACTATTTATAATTTGTTTCCCCAATACGTATTATAAAAGTCTTGTACAGACTGTGCTGATATTGCAAATATGATTAATGTGCTGCTGGAACTCTCACAATATCCTTCATTCGATTTCATGATTTTAACATTTTTCACAAATTCGATTTTTTCAAAAGCCGATTAATTGCCAAAATTCGCTTTATTGCCCAGCCCTAGAGTATGGCATAATAAAAATTAGTATACACTTGTGTTTGTGTTCAGACAGGGGCTGGCAGATTACCTGGAGGGATATCACAGTCAGCTCGCCCTCTGTCTGCAGGACCAGGTAAGTGCAACTTCTTTCAAGAGCGGAGCCAGAGCGGGAAGGAAAGGAGCAGAGTTTGTGGCAGTAAAGTGTGGATTTAAAGAAAAGCGAAGGATTTAAGAAGAAAAAAAGTTCAGGATGACAAGGGATCTTTATGAAAGCTGTAGGTTCTCTGTCAGCTGCGGTCGCGCTGTTTTAATTTACATTGTGTTCTACGGGACTTTTTTCTGGGAAGCCCTTATGAATTTAGTCCGTAGTACCATGGGCGCCCCCTGTGCCCATGGGTGGGACAGCTATAAGCTAGTAATAACCTATCCAGTTGTTATTATAGATCCATGCTTAAAACATATTAAAACTAACCAGAGAGAGACCGGAGAAGGGAGAGAGACCGGAGAATGAGACCAGAGAGTGGGGAGTGGGACCAGTGTGTGAGCTGTCACTTAAAGTAGCAATATGTAAGATTTTCATGTCAAGTCATCATTAAATGTCTAATCTGTCAAAAGTTAATAATAAACCATGATCTTTTTGAATACTTCATCTGCCCATCTGGGCGGCACGGTGGATAGCACTCTCGCCTCTCAGCAAGAAGGTCCTGGGTTCGAATCCCGGTTAGACCAGGGCCTTTCTGAGTGGAGTTTGCATGTTCTCCCCGTGTCTGCGTAGGTTTCCTCCGGGTGATCCGGTTTCCCCTATCACTAAACATATGTACAATAGGTCTGGCATGTGCCTCCTGTACTGGCACCCCCATTCCCAAAAATAACAATTGTAAACCGCTTTGAGACTCCGATGTGCAGGGAAAAGGCAGTATATAAATAAAGATTACTACTACTATCTGATAACAGTAATTCAGCCGAGATAAATGAAATTCAAATTTTGTTTTACAGCTCCTAACTCTTGTTATTGTTTTCATTTCGATGTTCCGCCCTCTACCGTTTCACCAATCAGAAAGTCTGTGATCCGGGTGCCAGAACTCACTGTGTCAATTGACGTGGCCGCAGGACTAAAAAAGGTCTTGTTAACAAAACAAGGAATAAAACAAGGATTTCTATCGGGGCCTTTGTGAAAAAGGTGTTAGTTATAGATTTGTTGTTGACAAAACTCTTGTCTATTTAACTATTATGGTCCGAGCTGGATTCGTCTGCATATCTGGCAACCTGGGTCAGGGAGCGTGCAGTACCACTTTTGTCCAGATTTGTACATACTGCTCCTTTAAATTATCTTGCTGGGACTTCTGCTGCTGCTCACAGGGGGTTTATGTGAACAGGGCTCTTTGTTATTATGGTGTATGTGTTCCTCAGAACTCTCAGTACCAGTCTGTGGGCCGCCTGGTGCAGACTGTGAAGAACCTGCTCTGTGCTCTGGACGAAGTTGAGACCTCTGCTGTGACTGAAGCTGTGAAGAGACTGCAGCATTCAGTCAACCTGCCTCGGACCAAGGTACACCTGGTACTACTGATGCTACTCTGTGCCGCCTTTTAAAAAGAAAAAAAAAAGGGCGGATAGCACTATCGCCTTTCAGCAAGAAGGTCCTGGGTTCGAATCCCGGTCGGAATGGGGTATTTCTCAGTGGAGTTTGCATGTTCTCCCCATTCTTGCGTAGGTTTCCTGTTTTCCCCTACCACTAAAGACGTGCACACTAGGTTAAATCCTCCAGCTCTGGTAGTCCTGACCAAGCCGAGCATCAACATCTGGAGATGGGTTCCCGGGTGCTGTTACTACGATGACCACTGCTCCTGACCTTAGCAGCAGAGAATAATAATAATAATACATTTTATTTCTTAGGCGCCTTTCTTGACACTCAAGGTCGCCTTACATACAAGTTAAAAAGTGCATTTTAAAAGCAGTTAAAATACAAAGTTAAAAGCATCATGGACAGAAGAGAGTGTGGTTATGTTGTGTTGTGAGTAGCCTTGTCTAAACAGATGAGTTTTGAGTGTGGATTTGAAGAATATGAGTGAGTCGGTGTTACGGAGGTCAGGGGGGAGAGTGTTCCAGAGGTGGGGAGCAGAGCGGCTGAAGGCTCTTCTCCCCATGGTGACGAGGCGGGCAGGAGGGACCAGGAGCTGGAGAGAGGAGGAAGAGCGGAGGTAGCGGGCAGGTGTGGAGCTCTGGAGGAGGTCAGTCAGGTATGGAGGAGCAAGGTTGTGGATGGCTTTGAATGTGAGGAGCAGGATTTTGTATTGGATACGGTGAGTGATGGGGAGCCAGTGGAGCTGTTGGCGGACAGGAGTGATGTTGTTGATGGAGGGGGTGTGTGTGATGAGACGGGCAGCAGTGTTTTGGACCAGTTGGAGTTTATGGAGGGTTTTTTGAGGTAGACCGAACAGGAGGGAGTTACAATAGTCGAGGCGGGAGGTGACGAGGCTGTGTATGAGAATGGCGGTGGTGTGAGGGGAGAGAGAGGGGCGGAGTCGTCGGATGTTTCTGAGATGGAAGAAGGCAATGCGGGTGATGCTATTAATGTGTGCGGTGAATGATAGGGTGCTGTCAAGGATGACACCCAGACTCTTTACCTGAGGTGAGGGAGAAATGGAGGAGCCGTCAATGGAGATGGAGAATGTTTTGATTTTATTGAGGGTGGCTTTGGTGCCAATGACGAGGAGTTCAGTTTTATTGCTGTTGAGTTTGAGGAAGTTTTCTGTGAACCAGGACTTTATTTCTTGGAGGCAGTTAGTGAGAGTGGAGGGTGGGAGTGTGGAATCTGGTTTGCTGGAGATGTAGAGCTGGGTGTCATCCGCGTAGCAGTGGAAGTTAATGTGATGTTTTCGGAAATTTTACCAAGAGGTAGAAGGTAGATTAGGAAAAGCAGGGGGCCGAGGACAGAACCCTGTGGAACACCAGAAGTGATGGAGAAGGAACAAGAGGAAAAGGATTTATGTTGGATGAAATGGGTGCGGCCAGAAAGGTAGGAATGGAACCAGGAGAGGGGAGTACATGAGATGCCAATGGAGGAGAGTCTGAGCAGAAGGATGGAATGTGAGATGGTGTCGAATGCTGCACTGAGATCAAGCAGGAGGAGGATGGAGAGTGAACCGGAGTCAGCAGAGAGGAGAAGGTCATCGGTGATTTTGAGAAGGGCGGTTTCAGTGCTGTGGAAGGAGCGGAAGTCAGATTGAAGTTGTTCATAGAGGTTATTGTGGGAAAGGTAAGAGTGGAGTTGAGCAGCAACGGTTTTTTCAAGGAGTTTGGCGATGAAGGGAAGGTTAGAGATGGGGCTGAAGTTATTGAGGTTAGAGGGATCAGAACCAGGTTTCCTGAGTATGGGAGTGACGGCAGCAGTTTTGAGTGAGGAGGGCACAGTACCAGTAGATAGAGGTTTTAATTATGTTTGTGATGAGAGGGGAAAGTGGAGGCTTTAACAAGGACGGTGGGGAGAGGGTCAAGTTGACAGGAGGAGGATTTGGATTTTTGGATGTAGGTGGAGATTTGGTTGACAGATGGGGAGGTAAAGGAAGAGAAGAGGTGGGTTGGAGCTGGGAAGAATGGAGCAGGAGCATTGGGAGAAGATGGAGTGAGTTGCTAGTGGATGTGCTGGATTTTGGAGTTGAAAAATGAGGCCAGGGTATTGCAAAAATCAGATGAATAGAGATGAGAGGGAAGAGAGTCAGAAGGTTTTGTGATGATGAGATGATGAGACCTTAATTTGAGCTGATTAAACCGGAGTAGTATGTGGATTTAGCAGTGGAGATGGAGTCTTTGTAATGGAGGGTATGTGTTTTGTACATTTCATGGTGAATAGTGAGTCCAGTTTTTCTATAGAGTCTTTCAAGTTGGCGGCCTTTGGTTTTGAGTTGTCTGAGGGTGGGAGTGAACCAGGGGGCTGTGTGAATGATGGAGACAGAGCGGGTTTTGAGTGGGGCCAGAGTGTTGAGAATGTTATGGAGGTTTGCGTTGTAGTGTGTGAGAAACTCATCTGTTGTAGAAAGCCTATCAGCACTGGGGAGGTTATGGATGAGAGTTGTTAAATTGTCCAAGTTAATGTCCTTGATTTTACGAAAATGTATAGTGCGTGGCAGAGGTGTGGACTCGAGTCATGTGACTTGGACTCGAGTCAGACTCGAGTCATGATTTTGATGACTTTAGACTCGACTTGACCAAATGTAAAAAGACTTGCAACTCGACTTGGACTTTAACATCAATGATTCTGACTTTCACTTGGACTTGCGCCAATTGACTTGCAAAGACTTGCGTAACCCGGGCCATTTTTACCTTTCTCCGCATCTCTCTTTCTATCTATGCCGTCTCTGAAGAAACAAAGCCTCGCGGTAGTTGTAGCGCTCGCGAGAGAGTTCGAACGTGAGTTCCCCGCAGTTCGCGCAGCAACACTTCCCTAAACAAGCGGACTGCATTCACCGGTGGGTGTGTTGTCTAGGGGAGCTGGAAATGAGCGAGCTGCAGGTATTTATCGCGACCTAACGTCATATTTTGTTCTACAAACCGTAATGGATATGCTTTCACTACAGGCGCCTCATACAATTGAATCGACGCAGTTGTCACATTGTGTGCCGTGTTTTAAAGAGGAACTGGTGAGTCAAACTAGCGCTAGCCTGCGCTGCTCTGTTGGCTCTTTCTTATATTTTTCTGTGTGGGCGCCGAGGCCTATTATTATGAGTATGTTTTTGCTGTGCTCCTCCTGCTAAAGTTTGCATACATTAGATAGTTGTTTTGATTATGTGCACTAAGCTAGATTAATATTTGCACTATTGTTTATGGTGCATTGATATGAGAATCAGTGCTTTGACTGATTGAATTAATTTATATGAGACATTTTATTATGTAATGATATATTGGTAATTATGAGATATTACTAATGCTGGTCCAGTTCATACAGGCCGGGGTCCTTCCCCTCCATTGGTCCCTTCAGTCCTCTGGAACAATAACCACTACGGACATTAAACTGATTATATAGATACAGGTCCTAGCCCAATACTCATATTCATATATGCTGCACTGCTGCACTTGCTACTTCCCATTAAAAACCCCAAAGATAAAAAGTATGTTGACATGGACTGCTCTGATTTTATGTGTGGTCTGTGCATGTGTAACTGAGCCTGCATCTGGCACAACATCCAATTAGATCACGTAGATAGTTTTGATTTACCAGCAGCCAACGACATGAAACAAACTGTTAGTCCATGGGTCAGAGACCAACGAGAATGCACCAGCAAAATGATTCCTAACATTATTTTGTTTGCCTACAAAAGTACGTGGAGACCAACAAGAAACAAATCGCGGTCAAAAAGACTCGAGGACTCGAAAGTCAAACCGTAGGACTTGGGACTGACTTGAGATTTGTTGGCCTTTGACTTGGACTCGACTCGGGACTTGCCTGTCTTGACTCGTGACTTGACTCGGGACTTGAGGGCAATGAATTGAGACTGACTTGTGACTTGCTAAACAATGACTTTGTCCCACCTCTGGTGCGTGGCGGTTTGGATTTGGTGAAGGACAGGTTGATATTGAATGAGAGGAGTAGATGGTCTGTGTATGGGAGGTTGTCAGTTTGAATGTCCAATGGTGTTATTCCTGAGCAGCAGATTAAGTCCAGAATATGTCCTTTATCGTGAATGGGGAAGTTTAACCTGGCAAAAGCCAGATTGATGATTGTGTAGAACTCTAACGCGTTCTCCGCGATATCAATCTGGGATTTCTCCCGGAGAATCCTTTCGGGGAAAGGAGGGGTAAGCAGCAGAATACTTGAAGCTGATTGGGCGAAGTGACGCTGTGTGCCCGCCTACCAAGGTTGCCGTCCAGAAATGTACAAAGCGCCTCTCGCTGTTCATCTTTCAAAAAAGAAATTGGAGATTCTGCTAAAACTGACTTTGCGTCCGTCCTCCTGCGTAGCCATGTTTGTTTTGCTTCGGCCCGGCACTTCTTGCTTTCGTCAAACCCGGATATCCCGCCCTAAACCCCCAGACTGGCGCGTGATTGGCTCGCACACCCAGTGGTTCGACTCGAAAAGTGTAAGCGGGAGCGGTACAAGATGTATTCTCGAGTGTTTGTGAACTCACAAATACCGCGAGAATTCAGCTTGCAGGCAAGGTTAGGGGAAGTTGACAAACTGTTCAAATCCAAAACTGTCCAAACAGGAGGTGAAATCTTTTGTGAGGGTGTTATTGGCCTTGTCCATGTGGATATTGAAATCTCCCAGTAAAATGATGTTGGGAGAGACAGACAGGGGAGATGGGTCAAATGCAGAGGATGAATTGCCCTACGGGGAGCACCTTTACCTCTTTCTGGTCTCTTTGGTGTGGTCTAACTCTGGTCTCCTGTCTCCAGGTGGTCTCTCCTGACACCTCCTCAGAGGACCGCTCTCTGGTGGAGGAGGGCCTGACCACTCTCACTCAGGCTGTCTATGACCTCATCAAACTTTACCTGCGCTCCTTCTGCTGCCCCTCCCCCTCCCGCCTGCGTTGCACTGCTGCAGATGGACCAGAGGGGGAGCTTTCCTGCACTGCTGAGGGACCCAATGGTAAGAGTGTTTGTGTGTGTGTCTCTCTTGCTTTCTCTCTGTGGTGTGTGTGTGTGTGTGTGTGTGTGTGTGTGTGTGTGTGTCTGTCTCTCTGGAAAAGTACATGTGTGGGATCAGAGAAGATGCTCCTGATGCTCCTCGTGTGTGTGTGTGTGTGTGTCCATTATTTATTATTGTGGTGTTATTATTAACTCTTGTTCTCATGTGTTGCTGCAGGCGACCAGAAGGGGGAGCTATCATGTGTGTGTGAGGACACTCTTGACCACTCGGGGGTGCCGTACAGAGAGGCATCAGGAGTCTCGGATCATCTACAGTTCACTCTGTCCATTCTGCACGGGCTCCCTCACAGCTGGGTCAGCAGGTGCGCCCCCGTCACGCAGGCTCTGGTTTGGACTCTGCTCTGGGCTTGGGTCTAATAAAAAAAAATGTTTTTCTGTTTCCAGTTATGAAAAGTATTTTGTTATGTGTTCTTTGAGCCATAACGGAAGAAACCTGCTGAAACCGGTTCAGTCCAGACGAGTTGGGACGTACAAGAACTTTTTCTACCACGTCAGATGGGACGAACTGTGAGTGTGGACCTCGGACTAAAGTAGGTCCAAAGCAGGACAAAAGCAGGACTAACGTCTGTGTGTTCCAGGGTCCAGTTCCCGATGGCTGTGGCAGTGCTCCCCCTGGAGGCCATCCTCAGTATTTCTCTGATGGGAGTGCTGACTCAGAACTCGTCTGGGTCTCCAGACTCAAACCGCCCCCGGAGTCCTCCTGAGGCCCTGGGGAAGGTGTCCCTGCCACTGTTCGACTACACAGGGTATGATATTTATTTATATAGCGCAGTACGTACAGGAAACTCAATGCAGTTCTCTTTTACAGGAGGCTTGTGAGTGGCCCTCGGCTCCTGGGTCTGTGGACCTCATCCCAGGGGCCAGGGGCCAAAGGACGGGCCCCTAATGAACGGATCGTCCTGCAGGTGAGAGACCAGAGATACCAGATGGAGACCGAGAGCAGAGAGGCCTAGAGAGGCCTAGAGAGGCCTAGAGAGGCCTAGAGAGGCCTAGAGAGGCCGAGAGACCGGGGGGAGAGAGACCGGGGAGGGAAAGACTTGTGTGAATAGAGGCTCCTCTCCCTGACCCCTTTTTATCTGGTCAGAGTGTTCTCACTGAGCCTCGATTTTTGCAGCTGGACTTCTCCACCTCCTCCGTGCGCTACGTCAGCCCCACACATTCAGCCTCCATCGACCTGGAGTCGGTGGACCCCCCCGAACCGGAGCTGACTCGTAAATTGGAGCGATTCTGCAGCCGAGCGTCCAGTGCCGGGTGAGCCCCCAGCTGCTTTAACTGTACACGACTGAAGCTGACAGAGTTGTTTGATGTTGCAGACTGAAGCGCTCTGAGCTTCAGCTGATTTGGGACCACCGCCTCCAGGTGATGAAGCTCCGCCCCCTTGCTGTGGCTAAAGTGCTTAGCTCCGCCCCCTGCTGGGATTGGGCCAGTGTGGGACAAGTGTACAGTGTTCTGAAGAGCTGCTCAAGTCTGCCCCCGGAGGCAGCGCTGGAACTGCTCCACTACAGGTAACTTTAGCCTTGTAAATAACCGGTGTTGGGTGAAACGCTGTTAATGTAACGAAATTACAATTTGAGTAACATAGTAGAAAATATGTGTGATAAATACTTTGTTATCTGCGGCACTGGCCTAGAACTGCACTACCGATTTATGCGTGCTTATGTCACTTTTAGCACAAAAGTTAGTTAGTTTGTACAGCAACATGGCAGAGCTAGAGAAGAGAAGATTTACCGGTGGGGAAAAAATGCATACTATTTTTATCTACGAGGGATGCACCAATACTGATACTGGTATCGGGTATCGGGTCGATACCATAGGCTTGTACTCGTACTCATACCATAGGACCCAATGCGTACAACCGATAACCACATTTTAAATTTGCATAAGGAAATTAGACAGCAGAGAGCGAGAAAGCTCTTTCCGCAGACATCTGAAGATTCACCACCACACGAAGTATTCACCTTTGCTAGCTCCGAAGCTATTTATTTGTACTATTTGTATGAGTGGAATATGACAGTGGCTCTTATTGTTGTTATCTGTAGTCGGTAATTAAGGTACTTGTACTTGGTTTTGTAAAAAGTGGAATCCGTGCATCCCTATTATCTACATTGGTCAAAGATATAAACATGTCATGGAGTGCAAGCGTTGCGCAGGCATAAAGCAATTGTCCAGGGCAGCAAAGACATCCACGAACCCTTTAAAACACTTAAGTGTTTTAAGCTAGTCTCTAAAGAGTGTCTCTGCAGTGCCGCCTACTCTGACAGCACAACATGCGGTATAACAACCTGAACTTGAATTTTGCTGTCAGGTCAAACCTTAAAGACTGAAATAAATACTTTTTTCAGCGTTTTTACACAGAATACAAACATTAGTAAACTATCTAGAGAAGTGCTACAGGCAGAATTGTCCTGGCTACAGCAGTCATTTACTTTCATGTTAATGTTCTGCTATTTGAGCCACTTATTTGTAGTTGACATTCATTTAAATTACTTTATTAAAGAAAATATACTTGGTGTCACAGTAGGGCTGGGCGAAGGCAAAAAAAAATAAAAAAATATTTTTTCACACCAAATCCGATTTTTGATTTTAATCGATTATTTTTTTCTCTTTAAAAACAAACTACAACTGACAAAGAAATAGATTTTCCTTTATGCAGTTTAATCTAAATTTCCCCATGAAGCAAAAGTGTAACAGGAAATAAGCCTTAAAACATGCTTGTAAACGAGATGGCCCTGCCTTTGTAAACAGTGAAAATGTAGCTTAAGTTTTCTAATAACTTCACTTACAGTGACACAATGCACCTTCAAAATAACTTAAAACGCACAAACGAGGGCCATAGCAAATATATCAATTGTATTAAACACATGTATTATTTACATGAAATATCACATTTTTAACACTAATGATTCCTCTAAATCAGTGGCGGAGCCAGAGGGGTAGCCAGGGTGGCCACTGCCACCTCTAAAAATATCCTTGCCACCCCCAGTGCCCCCCTCGGAAGACGGCAATTTAATAATGTTAATCTTGAGAATCTTCCGCACTTTTTCCGCCAAAAGTTAAAAATTCCCACGGTTTCCCCCGTCTTTGAACGCACCCTGACTCCGTGTGGAGCCGGTGCTGTATGATAATGCTTTGGGTTGTTGGACTCACATGTGCCCAAGTCGTGATGAAAACAAAGAGGTAAGTTAGCGACGCAGAGCCAACCGTTTACATTTGACACAAAGTATAGACACACGTACTGCAGCGCATTACTTGTTCAGTTTGTAGAACTTTTAGTGTGTGTATGTGTGCGTGTGCGTGTGCGTGCCTGTGTGCGTGCCTGTGTGCGTGCCTCTATGCGCGCCTGTGTGAGTGTGTCAGCGTGCCAGTGTGTCTGCGTGTGTGTGCGTGCCTGTGTGTGCCAGTGTGGGTCTGCGTGCCTGTGTACGTGTGTGCGTGCCTGTGTGTGCCAGTGTGGGTCTGCGTGCCTGTGTACGTGTGTGCGTGCCTGTGTGTGGCAGTGTGTGTGTGCGTGCCTGTGTGCGTGCGGGTGTGCATGCGTGTGTATTTTCCATTGCCTCTTTCCTTTAGTGTAAACATGAAAAGAAAAGGAGGAAACATTGTCTACAGGCCTTTTTTTGTTAGGAAAAGGCCTGTAGATCAGGATGATGAAACCTCACCTGAAGGTCAGACTCGGAGGCAGTATGTTTTGAGATGATGAGGAATTTGTTGTGTTGTATTAAATTATAGCTTATATAATTGAGTTTCAGAGAATAAGAGGGTGTCGCAGACAGGTGCAGGATTGTCTATTGGCAGAAGGCGTTTTTTCACACACACTCTTTTTAATACTTGTCAGTACTGCGTCTTGTGAAAGAAGTTTCTCTGCCCTAAAAACCATCTCAGAACTACTATGGCAGATGATTGAGTCATCTTGGTGTAGGGTCAAGGAGGGCTGAATATGGATGAGTTTGTCAACATCTTTGCTGCTTTACACCAGAACCGTAGGAATTTTCTAAATTTGTTAAAAGAAAAATGTAATGCAATGTTTGAATTATGTTATTTTGCACTTTTTTGTTCAGACTACTATTTAAATACACTTTTTTGCTTTGTAGTTTACAAGTGTGCTCTCAGTTCACTTTATATTAAAAATAATGACAAGATTAAGATTAAAATGTATCGTTTAGCCAGTTTTTGTGTGAAATAAAATTTTGGAATAGTATAAATGTGGACCCCTTAAATAAACCCTTGCCACCCCCTGGCCACCCTCTGTTTAAAAGTCTGGCTCCGCCACTGCTCTAAATACAATTGTTATAACAGAGAAAGTCTGTTACAAAAGCCTCCTCCTTGGGTTCTATTTCATCCTTCCTGACCGCCAGAGGCGGTGCTTAAGCACTGGATGATCATCCTCGCGCATGCACAGATCGAGAGTCAAATAACAACAAAGTCACCCGTGACCTCCGGTAGCTCACGCGAGAGTCTATAAAGCCACGTGACACCGGAAGCACAGTCCCTTTTCACTTTCTCGCATGCAGGTTGTATGAGTCTGGCTGAAGCTAACTGATAGCTGTTTGTGCCTGTTGTTCGCGCCGCTTGCTGCCTGTAGCCCCGTGACTGCTCGTCGGTCGGTGCTGCGAGTTTCTCGCCCTCCGTGGGCTGCGCAAGCCGCGCTGCTTGCCTCTGGTGAGTGTTTGTTTTGCTTATTCGCCGTGACTTGTGCTCGGTTGTTTTTCGTTACTTCTTATAATTGGGGGGTTACTAGTGGCGTTTCTGCTCGACCCGACCCTGTTATCTGGCTGTTTACCTGCGCGTATTCAGCGTGTGTTTGGTGGGTTACCAGTGGCGTTCTGCTCGACCTGACCCTGTGTCTTGTTAATTACCTTGTTAATTATTTGTTAATTTCTGTCGGTCACTGGTGGCGTGTCTGCTCGACCTGACCCTGTTGAATTGGCTGTTGCCTGCGCGTGTTCCACGTGTTTCTGCGGGTTGTAAGTGGCGTCTCTGCTCGCACTACCCTACTATATTGGTTGTTCCCTGCACGTGTACGGCGTTCGGTGGGTCACTAGTGGCGTCTCTGCTCGACCTGACCCTGCTGTATTGGTTGTTCCCGGCACGTGTACGCCGTTCGGTGGGTCACTAGTGGCGTCTCTGCTCGACCTGACCCTGCTGTATTGGTTGTTCCCTGAACCTGTGAGGCGTTCGGTGGGTCACTAGTGGCGTCTCTGCTCGACCTGACCCTACCGGGAGTGCCCCTGTACTTGGCGGCGACTGCTCCTGCGCGTTAGCTCGCTGGGATGCTTGAGCCGTTGGCCTGCCAGTCCTGTCTGGCCCCGATGCAGCAGGACGATGGCCATGTGCTGTGTCCCTCCTGTCTGGGTGTGGGCCACCTGCGGGAGGCGCTAACCGAGCGTGCATGTCCCGATTGTGCGGTAATGCCCTGGCCGGTGCGCGTGGCCCGCCTGTCGGCCCTGGACGGACATTTCAGTGGCGATTCTGGGGACTGTGAGTCTGCCCTGTTGGTTGACCGACCCCCTGGTCGCAAACGTGAGGGCGCCCGGGGTGATGACCCTCCGCGGAAGAAGTCAAAGTCCTCTGGTCGCGGGGTTCTGACTTCGAAGGTCGATTCGCTTTCTGTAGAGTTGGCTCAGTTGCGGACCCTCCTTCATGACCTTCAGGCTGGTACTGGCCAGTCGGTGGCCCGACCGGTCTCGGTCCCTTTGTCGGTGTGCGATGAGGATGATGCTCTCTCGGTGGCGGCATCTGACACACATTTTCGGCCGGGCTCTGATGTTCTGAGCTCCAGGGTCTCGGAGTCTGGTTCGGTGGGTTCTGTCGGGTCTCTGTCGGTTTCCGATGAGCCCGTGACTGCGGCGATCCGAACGGCTCTGGCGCATTTGAAGCTGGATGTGCCTCAGTGCGATGCGGGGCCCTCGAGTGCCTTCTTTCGCCGCCAGTCTGCGTCCTCGGGGTTCTCTGTTCCTCCTTCGGCGGAATATGTCAAGGAGCTACATGCCTGTTGGACTGACACGAGGGTTTTTTCTAGGCCCAATTCGGACGGTCGGGCCCTGGCTTCTATGCAGGCGCCTGACAAAGTTGGCCTGGGGCATATGCCGGCGGTGGAGCCTGCCATTGCCTCCTTGATTGTACACCCTGAAGAGGCTCTGCGCACTAATGCCCGGTGCCCTCGGCCGCAGTGTCGGGCCACAGATGACCTGCTCTGCAAGGCCTATGACATGGGGGCCCGCATGGGCCGCATTGGGAACTCCCTGTCTCATCTGCTGTTGGGGCTGTCCGCTTCTCTGGAGGCTGTCACATTGGACCAGTCCACGCAGGGGATGGTGGATGCTTCCTTGCAGGCTTTTGCCTTCATGTCTAGGGAACTGGGGCGTCTCCTCTCTACGCTGGTTCAGACTCGCCGCCAGGTGTGGTTGGCGCAGTCCCCTCTCTCCGAGGCCAGCCGCAGAGTGTTGAGGAGCGTTCCTGTGCTCCCTGGAGAGCTGTTTGGCTCGGCTGCCATTGCGGCTCTGGAGCGCACGGTCCAGGCCACTCAGACCCGGCAGCAGTTGGTGGGACTGCCGTGGCGGCGGCTCTTTCCCCGTTGCAGGCCAGGGGGTTGAGGATCCTGCCCTATCTGGACGATTGGCTGATCTGTGCCCCCACTCGCGAGCAGTCTCTGCGGGATACGCAGGCTGTGATAGAGCACGTGACCAGGTTGGGTCTGCGAGTGAACCTGGCAAAGAGCAATGTGGTGCCGTCTCAGCAGGCTTTGTTCCTGGGCATGGCTCTGGATTCCCTGTCTATGTCCGCCCGCCCCTCGCCTCGACGTGTCGGGGACATTCGGGCGTTGCTCCCGGGCTTCCGTCGAGGACGGTCGCTCCCTTACCTGGCGTTCCTCAGGCTCCTGGGCATGCTGATTGCAGCCTCGTCTGTGGTCCCCCTGGGTCTTTTGTCCTTGCGCCCGCTGCAGATGTGGCCCAATGGCCTGGGGCTGGACCCGGCCAATCCTGTTCACAGACGTCGGCGGTTACTGGTGTCTCCTCGGTGTATGGAGTCACTGTCCCGGTGGCGCGACGAGGCGTTTGTGCTGACGGGCGTCGCGCTGGGTCCCCTGCCGTCCCGCCGGGAGGTGGTGCATACGGACGCGTCCCTGACAGGGTGGGGCGCAACGTGGCAAGGGCGTGCGGTTCAGGGCGTCTGGCCGGTGCGGCAGAGGGGGCTCCATATCAACGTCCTGGAGCTCCTGGCCGTTCAGCTTGCGCTGCGCCATTTCCTGCCGGTCTTGCGGGGGCGGCATGTGTTGGTGCGGTCGGACAACACCAGTGTGGTCTATTTCATCAACCACCAGGGGGGAACTCGGTCGGAGTGCTTGCTGGCAGTGGCACGAGGGCTGTTGACTTGGGCCTATCCCCGTCTTGCGGGTTTGACCGCGATGCACATCCCAGGGACTCTGAATGTGTCGGCGGATTTCCTGTCGCGCCACGTTTCGCTGCCGGGCGAGTGGCGGCTACACCCGGAGGTAGTGGTCTCCATTTGGGGGTTGTTCGGCCGGGCGAGGGTGGATCTCTTTGCCTCTCAGGGAACGACTCATTGCCCGCTGTGGTTCTCCCTGTTGGAGTCCACCGGTCCCCTGGGTCAAGACGCGCTGGCTCACGACTGGCCCAGGGTTCTGCTGTACGCGTTCCCGCCGTTCCCTCTGATCCATCAGACGCTGCTCCGGGTCCTTCAGGAGGGCCACAGGATGATACTGGTGGCCCCGTATTGGCCGGGGAGGACATGGTTTCCCTTGCTGCTCAGGCTCTGCTGCGGCTTGGCGAGACCCCTTCCCTCCAGGCGGGATCTCCTGTCTCAACTGGGGGGCCGGCTTCTCCATCCGGACCCCGGCCGCCTGCGGCTTTGGGTGTGGCACCTCCGGGGACCGGTTTAGCGTTTACAGCCTATACTGGGGAGGTTGGCCGCACCATGTGCAATGCCCGGGCTCTGTCCACACGCCGGCTGTATTCCTGTAAGTGGAACGTGTTCGACGGGTGGTGTCGTGGCAGGGGACTCGACCCGCGTCTCTGCTCGGTGACGTCCATACTGACCTTCCTTCAAGAACTGCTCAGTAAAGGCCGTTCTCCGTCCACCCTGAAGGTATACGTTGCTGCGATTTCGTGTGGGCACGCTGGGTTTGGTGGGACTAGTGTCGGTCGTGTTACTGACGTTTCACTGTTTTTGAAAGGTGCCCGCCGGTTGCACCCGCCCTGTCGTCCTGTGGTGCCGGCTTGGGACCTCTCGGTTGTCCTTGATGCCCTGCGTTCCCCGCCATTTGAGCCTTTGGGGGAGATTGCCCTCAAGTGGCTGTCTGTGAAGACAGCGTTTCTCCTGGCTATGGCCTCCGGACGGTGGGTGAGTGAACTCCATGCTCTGTCGGTGACCGAGGCCTGTTGTCTTTGGCATCCTGACGGCTCGGGTGTGTATGTGGCCGGATGTGTCCTTTGTCCCGAAGGTGTCTTCTGGTCGGTATGACGGGCCCCTTCAGTTGGCCCGTTTTGGTTCTGGTGAGCCCCCTGACCCTCTGTGCCCTGTTCGTGCACTGGAGGTGTACATTCGCTCCACGGCCTCAATAAGGCGTTCAGACGCCCTGTTTGTCTGCTGCGCCGGCCCTCGCGTTGGTCGGGCTCTGTCCAAGCAGCGTCTCTCCCACTGGGTCGTGGGGGTTGTGACAGAGGCCTATGCCTTGCGGGGGCTGCCGTTACCGCCTGGGGTGAGGTGCCATTCTACGAGGGGCATGTCAACTTCGTGGGCTGCTGTGAGTGGTGTGTCGTTGGACGTCATCTGTGCGGCGGCGTCATGGTCGTCCCCAAGCACCTTCGCCAGGTTTTATCGGGTTAATGTTGCCGCCCCGCACCCCCTGCAGGGGGTTCTGCGGCGCCGCTCATCCGTTTCACAGTAAGGTGAGGTTCTGGTTGGTTTCCTCGTGACCTTGCTGATATTCGTCATCCAGTGCTTAAGCACCGCCTCTGGCGGTCAGGAAGGATGAAATAGAACGAGAGTTACGACTGTAACTACGGTTCTATGAATCCTGGATGACCGCCAGAGCGCCCGGTCCCTCGGAATCCTTGTGCAAGAAAGGTTCTAGGGACTGTGCTTCCGGTGTCACGTGGCTTTATAGACTCTCGCGTGAGCTACCGGAGGTCACGGGTGACTTTGTTGTTATTTGACTCTCGATCTGTGCATGCGCGAGGATGATCATCCAGTGCTTAAGCACCGCCTCTGGCGGTCATCCAGGATTCATAGAACCGTAGTTACAGTCGTAACTCTCGTTTTCATGCTTGTTCTTTTAACCGTGCCATAGCAACTGTGCTGTAGTACAACACTTGGTCCAGCAGGTGGGGCTAATACTAGCTTCAGCAAGTTTCCGTTTCTCTTCCCGTTTACATTCTGCTACTGTAGCGCTAACGGATAGAGCATGGAACACGTTTGTATCAGAACAATGTGAACAAGTGTCAGAACTGTCTTTCCCCAAAATGCAGCAGCTCAGTGGAACATGTGGGTGTGTGTGTGCGTGCCACGGACACAGGTGTGCGCTTTGGAGTAACGAGCGTGAGCGCTGAGAAATGAATGAATGAGAATGAAAGAATGAAAAGTGTGGCGTACGAGCAGAGCGACCGGAGCCGGAGGATACAAGTGTGTGTGTGTTCTGGCGGTTAAATAAAGTCTGATTCTTGAACGTCTGAAGTGTTATTGCCACAGCACCACACTGAGAGAGTGAGGGTCAGGACAGAAGGGAGACTGTTAGCATTTGTGAGCTTTCATAATGACTGCCTGCGGTTAGCATGTTAGCACTGTAGCTCCGCGCTGGAGATAAAAAATTGATTTTCATTAAAAAGAAATCCCCCTAAACGTCAAATTCGACGTAATAATTAAAATTGATTTAGCGCAGAATTACTATTGCAACAACACATCATCAGTAGGGTAAAACTAACCTGCTTCACGACAGTCTTTTACGTTTAAACACTTTTAAACACTTTAAACGTTTAAAGCTTTTATGGTCTCATAAGTATCACATGTTCAAAGCTGGGGTGCGTAACTTAAGTCTCATGACATGGATTTTGACAGTTGTGGACTGATATTCACGGACCCCACCTCTCTTCACTGCTCATGTTTTCAGATTCTCGGACTCTGAGGTACGGACTGTGGCTGTGTCCTGGATCCAACAGAGCAGCGATGATGAGCTGTCGGACTACCTCCCCCAACTAGTGCAGGTGAGAGACCTCCCCCAACTAGTGCAACTGAGAGACCTCCCCCAACTAGTGCAACTGAGAGACCTCCCCCAACTAGTGCAGGAGAGAGACCGGGGAGAGACCTCTCACATGTCACTGCTTTAAACGTGTTTCAGGCGCTGAAGTTTGAGTGTCGCCTGAAGAACGCTCTGGTCCTGATGCTGCTGAAGAGAGCTCTGGGACACGTTGGCATCGCACACTACCTCTACTGGTACTAGTACCGGACCGGACTGGACTGGACTTTACTGCTAATACTACTGCTGAAAACTCTGCTGCTAATACCACTGCTCAGGCTGGAGTTCATGATGTGGCCTGTAGGAGGCTCTGACACTCCCGGTGTAACGCCGAGATACACTGTCTTGAAGAGATGCACTGCCTCAGCTGTTTATGATGTAATGCAAACCTGCGCATGCGCGTCTCACGGCAGCCGAAGCATACCAAGATGGCGGACCGTGAATTTCTTTAAAAGTTAAAATACGAACGAATTAAGACACGAATGTCACTTTTAATGCAATTTGAGGCGAGATGTTGATGGTTCCGTTTTGTCACATGTGGGTTTTAAGAGTCAAAGTTTTGTGCAAAGTTTAGTTTAAGCAGTCAACTGCGCCTGTGAAACCACAAAGCTAATGTTTTCATAGCAGTCCGCGGCTGCTGACGTAGGCCGATGACGCGTCCTGTGGCCACTCTACACTCTTACACTGGTCTGTCGGGTTGATAATGGAAATAATAAATTTCATTCAATACATGTATCGTACTGTATTTAATATGATTAACAATAGTGTGTTCAAACAAAATATTTAATTAGATTGATTTTTTTCCCCATTTTCCATTATCAACCCGACAGACCAGTGTAAGAGTGTAGAGTGGCCACAGGACGCGTCATCAGCCTACGTCAGCAGCCGCGGACTGCTATGAAAACATTAGCTTTGTGGTTTCACAGGCGCAGTTGACTGCTTAAACTAAACTTTGCACGAAACTTTGACTCTTAAAACCCACATGTGACAAAACAGGACCATCAACATCTCGCCTCAAATTGCATTAAAAGTGACATTCGTGTCTTGATTCGTTCGTATTTCAACTTTTAGCAATTTACGGTCCGCCATCTTGGTTTGCTTCGGCTGCCGTGAGACGCGCATGCGCAGGTTTGCATTACATCATAAACAGCTGAGGCAGTGCATCTCTTCAAGACAGTGTATCTCGGCGTTACACCGGTCCCGGCTCAAAAAGGTCCATGAGCATGTGCACTGACATGCTTGCAATCTCACTCCGGACTGCCTTCTTTCCTCTCGAAAACCTCTTTATAGGATGCTCTAAAAGTCGGCTCTTGGCCCATTGCTATGTCCCAGATGTGTGGCAATGCTGAGGGGAGTATTTTTTCTGGACTAGCCTAGTTTAGCCGCTGTAGACTTTTGAATGCACTCATGCCGGCTAATGCATGCACATAAATGTAATATTTACAGTCTATGGTATGGGTTTACCACTCAGGCTGCTGAAGGATGCAGTTCAGGACGTCGCCTGTGGGGGGCGATGTGAGCGAGTCCTTGGAGCACTCCTGTGTCTGTGTGGAGCCAAATTGAGGGCGGAGCTTGAGACACAGACTCGACTCGTAACTCTGCTGGGAGCTGTGGCCGAGAGGGTGAAGGCTGCTGCGGGCTCCCAGAGACAGGTACCAGACCATGACAGAGGCCAGAAACGGGTACCAGACTGCTGGGAGCTACAAGAGGATCTTTCTTTACATCTGCATGCGCATGCGCCACTCGCTGAGTGGCAAGACAACATAGCGGGCATACTGAAGCATGGATACGACGAGTACTTTTAAAAGACTTAGTGGGCAAAATGCACTGTATAGAAAATCAGAGGAGATATAAAGACAAGCTAAAAATAAGTATATGAGACCGAACTGAACAAATCCAAAGCCCATATGAGACCTGGGATGACGACAAACATTGGTCAGACATTGTCTTGGCACCGATCTGCTGGGAGACATTTATTCTTACTTCATAGAAAACCTGGGACCCTTCACGCAAGAAGGGGCCGCGTTTTTCACCGCGGTAAAGTGGCCCAGCTGTAAAGTGGTTTGCACATTAATAGCGGGTTGCCCCTTTTATGCTGTTACTTGCGGTAAATGTGGAAAAGGAAGCTGCCAGGATGAGCAACCAAAATACAATGTTTAAAATGAATGAATTAAAATGAATCATCACAGTGAACAAGTGTGCAGTGAAAGTAGTTGCAAAACAAAATTTTTTTGATCAATTTTTTCCCCTTACCCCCTCGGCTTCCCTTTCTACGTTTCCTGTTGGTAACAGCATAAAAGGGCAACCACTTTACCACGGCCGTTTTTTGCTGTTCTTCTCCGAAGGAATAACTTAAAAAAAATGTTATCTGGCTTCAGCACGTTATCTGACCACACAACAAGAATGGACCATTTGATTTAGTAAAACGTCTCTCCAAACCTCTAAAACTAGCTAACTCTCTAGCATCCAGGTAGCTTTCTATGCTGTTTTGCCACCCAGTCATGTGACCGGCGCGGAAAAACTATAAATAACGACGTCACTCCAAGATTCTCCTATAGCAGAGAGGGTGAAGGCTCCCAGAGACGGTTATAAGACTTGGACCAGACCCAGGACCAGAGTCCGGACCTGGGTCAGGACCAGTGCCCAGCTGGTGTCTGCTCTGCTCCCTTCATGATGTTTTTTGTGTGCCCTTTAGGTGGCGCTGCAGGAGGGGCTGGAGAACGTTCAGAACCTGTTTGAGAGGAGCAGCTGCAGACTTCCTCTGAGCCCAAGTCTGGAGGCCAAAGGACTCAACATCAAGGTACCAAACATCTGCAATCTCAGGTCCTAAACTTGGTCTTAAACACTGGGGTGATGTGGTCTTAACCCTTTTAAGTGCCAAAGTCGCAATATTGCGACAAGCAACATTGCTCACTAAAACAGGCTGTATCTTTAAATCTGGTGTCCAATCTTGTTAATACTTTTCACCAGGAGATGGCAGTCATGTGTGCCTATAATATGAGCAAAATTTGTGGGCGTGGTTACATTATAGGTTTTTGAGTAAAATGAGTTGGTATAACACTATTCGACGCACTTATGCAGAGGCAAAGAAGAGGCAGTAGTGCAGGGCGACCAGGGCTGGACTGGCCATCGGGCGTACCAGGCAATGCCCATATTTGGGCCGGTCTGTCTGCCTCATTCAAATTCACATGTTTGTGAAAAGTGTAAATCCGTTGAGAAATGTTTGAGGGAGGAGCGCGCGTGTCCGCGGGGCACCTGCTGTATGTACTCGAACGGGATTCCACCACCTCAGCGGCCGCAGTGTTCCCACATCCAGCGGCTCTGAACTGGACGCAGGAACCGCTCACAACACAACACGGTGGGCGCGTAGCCGCAACGTGACCATGTACCCAAGACCATAAACGCGCACAGGACCATGCATGTCTTTTCGTAATTTTTGCACCCAATAAATACACCGCTGCAGAAAACAGTCCGCGTCTCCCCTCTCCTCTAAATTAAAGCTTGGGTACCTAAATTTTCCATTGCATTAAAAGTTCATGTCTGAGCCCAAAAGTAAAATGTTGTGAACAGATTAAACAGATTTAGAGCCAACTAATGGCTGACAATATGCATTTCAGACTTTTCTGACCAATTCTCATCCCTGTAACAAACAATAGTATTGTCTGTGCCCACCTCCCTCACTCTGAGACATGTTTATTACTCTGTTTAATGTAGACTATTGTACTGTATTTTATTGTTGAAACTGCAGACATCCTGATCCTCTACAGTATTTGCTTCCACATACTGTATACACCAGGGGTCGGCAACCTTTAGTGCCCCTAAAGTGGCTCCTGGAGCCTTTTCAAAAATGTCTGGAAATGGAGTGTGAGGGCTATATTTTATTTCTAGTTTCAATGTGGTTTCTGTAGGAGGAAAAACCTTAACATTTTTCAATGCTGCAAAAACTTGTATAAGTAATATTCAATTTTAGCATTTCTGTCAACATAGTGCGTCATATCCTGTGACGCGGCCCGTGCCAGGCGGCCGCTGCTGTAAACAAACCGGCGTGTGCATCATAGACTGTGTGTGCGCATGGATCCCAGAGATAAAGAGAGAGAGTCGATAAGACTGGACTAATGAGAATGAACATTTGCTTTCAGTCAATGAGGAAGGACTGCTTCATGTTTGCGATGTAATGAAAAGTTTTGTTGCAACAGGAGGAACAATGAAGCTTTAAACACTGTTCACTGAAAGATTCATTCATCATAAAGTCAGAGCACCTATTTGCAGACTTCAAATACCTTCGCAAAGACGGTGAAAGAAAAGGCCATTAAGGACATTCAGCTCCAGCAAACTTCAGCCTGTGATGTGATCGATATGAACAGACAGTGATGCAGGTGAACTCGGAGCCAAAAAGCAGATTTGTACAATTGCATGAAGGCAAAAAAATGGAAGTTAAACTTAAAGCAGAGTTGTCACGTGGTGCGTCATTCTCTCCAGGACACGCTGCAATGAAAATACACATTTGATAATCATGAATGGTTTTTATGTGTTTAGCCTTTACTTTGTCATTTAGATATTAGGCTAATATAGCTAATATAGCTAATGTAGCTAATACAGCTTCAGCCCCTGTTACCTTCATATAAGCCTGATACAACGCTGTTTTTTATTATTTTTTTGCGGCTCCAGACAGATGTTGTTTTTAGTTTTTTTGTCAAATATGGCTCCTTTAACCTTTTGAGTTGCCTGGGCCGCTAAAAAGGAAAAAATGTCCGGGCCGTTTTTTGTCCCAGTCCAGCCCTGAGGGCGACACATAGCGAAAGAGTGTTTTGTGCTAGCTGAGTCAGATTCAGAGGAGGAGGACACGCAGTTGTTCTGAAGCAGAAAGTGACACGAGTAGTGACGGCGTCATAATCCACAGTCTGCCCACAGTACAGCGGATGCTTCCCCTCATCGTGGCCAGGGGGAGTATTCTGCAAACACCAAGCAGCTTCTATCGAGTTGATATAAACTGATCAACAAATGAAAAACTACCTGTTTCCGGATTTTTTATGCAGTTCTGAACATCAGTGTGGTCAATGCACACATAATTTATACACGCTGTAGTCCTGTTCCACATATACCACTGAAGGCCTTTATTTAGGACATTAAAACAGCTTGGCTTGAAGGCTTCTCCAAAAAGGAAAGCATAAAGAACCTTCAATGGAGCAGGGAGAAATGCCACAGATACCACTCACTGAAAAACTAGAAGTGTCATGTTGATCAGTGAAGGTTTTTGAAAATACATTTCCATATGGCGGCCGCAAACCAGTGCTAAAAGATTATACAAATTGCAGTGACGTGCGGTCAGATGAGGCCCGGCCTCACCTAAGATCATGGAAAGAAAAAGAATAAAATGGATACAATAATACTATAATTGCATTATTTCAATGCAACTTTCCCCTATTTCATTTTTTTAATAACTTGAAATCGCAGATTTGACAGAGCAGTGCGCTGTGAGGCGAGCCTTTCTTGGGAGACGTAAAAGCCCATAGCTCACTGTGGGAGAAGCCCGCGCGCTGCTATCGAACTGTTTTCTCTGTTTATTGCGGTTTACAAAGTTCAAACAGATTTCCTTTTACAATAACAATTGAGAGGATGGGTCATAAATTGTTTTTTTGAAACAAATATGGATATTCAACCGCAGCTTGTAATATCACCAAGTGAGGCCAGTCTCATGGTAGGGGGCGCATGTGAGCCCAGAATTTGACTGCATCCAATTCCATCAGAAAGCTCTTTTCTTGTTCTTCATCTCCTAAGGACAGCAACAGGTTTGGCTAACATACATTTAACACATTTTAAGATAATTTAAAATGCACTTGGGTAATGTTATGTTCCAATAATGTTAGGAATGATAAGGAAGAGAGGTGAAGGGTAAGAAGGTTGATTTTAGAAATTGGATGCACCCAGAGTCGGCTGCAGCGGAACACAAGAGGAGTTTATGGAGGAGACACCCGTTTTGTTTTACTTCCAAAAATCATTGGACTTATTTCCAAATAGAGGATTACATATCTGCGCTCAAATTATTATCTGGACTCAAACATTAAACTGGTCTGAACCGAAGTGGACTGTGCAGGTCATTAATAACTAAGGTAAGACCCATTACACACTTTTAAATGTGCTTTTTACAGACTTTTGCGTTTTGTATGAACAAACAATGCGGGCATGAAACATATTCTGCTGTAGCCAAACAAATTGTGAATAAGCTGCTCTATAGGTCGTGTTGATTTATATGATATACTGTATATGTTCATCTGATTGGGGTGAAGTCAGTGCCTCACCAATCGCCAACCTCACCGCACTTCACTGACAAATTGGATCTGTGAATTTGTTTATATCCCAAATTCTTTCCCAAATGTTGATTATAATAATAATGATATTGTTGAAGATATTTCACATTGACTTTTGACAGTATTCCCTTATCAAAAACCGCTTGCAAACTACAGTGTTTTGAAATATTTATAAAAAAATTGATATTTTCCAATATGGCCACCACCTTGTGATCTCACAATATGCAAATTAGATGATGAATCAACTTCCATCCCAAACTTGATGCTGTGTATTGTTCAGGCCTGTTCATTCTTCAACTCCAACGCTGTCCCTCTGAAGCTCGCTCTGGTGAATGCCGACCCGCTCGGGCAGGAGATCAACGTTATGTTTAAGGTCTGAACACAGCAGAGCCAAAGTGTGTGAATGAGCACTTCTCCCTGGCTGAGATAATCCACTCAGCTGTGTTCAGATGTTGATGAGGTGTTTCTGTGCTCAGGTGGGGGAGGACTTACGGCAAGACATGCTCGCTCTGCAGATGATCCGGATCATGGACCGAATCTGGCTCCAAGAAGGTCTGGACCTCAGGATGGTCCACTTCAAATGCATCTCCACCGGGAAAGACAAAGGTCTGAGTTCACTGAGACACTGGGGTGATGTGGTCTTAAACTTGGTCTCTGGTCTTTAACTCGGTCTCTGGTTTCAGGCATGGTGGAGCTGGTCCCGAGCTCGGAGACCTTAAGGAGGATTCAGGTAGAGTATGGAGTCACCGGGTCGTTTAAGGACAAACCTCTGGCCGAGTGGCTCCGGAAGTTTAACCCTGCAGAGGACGAGTATGACAAGGTAGTACTGCAGATAGTGTGTACTAGTACTGCAGTAATCTCTGACGTCTCCTCTGTGATGTCACACAGGCCTCAGAGAACTTTACGTACTCCTGTGCTGGCTGCTGTGTGGCCACATATGTGCTGGGGATCTGTGACCGCCACAACGACAACATCATGCTGCGCTCCTCAGGTCACATGTTCCACATCGACTTTGGCAAGTTCCTTGGGCACGCTCAAATGTTCGGGAGCTTCAAGAGGTTAGAGCTTTTACAGCTGCTTTAGAGCCGCTGTAGTTCTGCTTCTGTCCAGCTGTAGACCCTGATCAGATTGGTCTCTCCTCAGAGACCGCGCCCCCTTCGTCCTCACCTCGGACATGGCGTACGTCATAAACGGAGGGGAGAAACCTACGAGTCGCTTCCAGCTGTTTGTGGATCTTTGCTGCCAGGCCTTCAACCTGCTCAGGGCCAACTCAGGGGTCTTCATGAACCTGCTGTCCCTGGTGAGCACCCTCCCACTGGCTGAGGCCCCTCCCACTGGCTGAGGCTAACCACTGTCTCCTCTCAGATGACCTGCTCTGGTCTGCCTGAGCTGACTGGAGTCCAGGACCTGAAGTACGTGTGTGACGCTCTACAACCAAACAACAGTGATGCAGAGGCCACCATCTTCTTTACCAGGTACGAGTGCTAATACCATGGATCTATAATAATAACTGGATAGGGTATTACTAGCTTATAGCTGTCCCACCCATGGCCACAGGGGGCGCCTGCGGTACTGCAGATTACATTCATGTGGGCTAACCTGAAAATAGTACCATAGAACTCAATGTAAACCTCAGTAGACCTCAGTTGACAAAGAACCTACAGCTTTCATAAAGATCAGATTTAGTTGGGATTTTAGTGTCCCTTGTCATCCTGCCCATGTTGGCACATGCGCTACTAAGCAAAAGCAATTGATTTGAATAGGGCGCCATCTTGGATCGCTGGAGCTTGGCTAATACCAAGCCCCGGTGATCCAAGATGGCGTCCTATTCAAATGAATGGCTTGTTCTCAGTTGCGCATGGGACTTCACGGAGACAGAAAGATTAGCGTAACTCGTCTATATTTGGGCATCGTCTGGTCCTCCCGGTTCTGCGCAGTGGACGAGCTCCCATGATGCGTTGCGCCAAGTATGCGTGTGTAGCTCTCATGCACGTGCACAGAGGGGCTCGGCCACTCTTTGACCAATCAGAGCTGCTGATCAGAGCAGCGGTAGGGTGGAGCTAGAGCGAGAAGAAAAGGAGCAGAGTTTGTGGCGGTAAAGTGTGGATGTAAAGAAAACTGAAGGATTTAAAAAGAAAAAAAGTTCCCACAAAATCTGTAAAAAGCTGTATGTCCTCTGTCAGCTGAGGTCGAGCTGGTTTAATTTACATTGAGTTCTATGGGACTTTTTTCAGGGTTGCCCACATGAATTTAGTCTTCAGTACCACTGGCGCCCCCTATGCCCATGGGTGGGGCAGCTATAAGCTAGTAATACCCTATCCAGTTATTATTATAGATCCATTGCTAATACTGATACAGTGTATTCGGCGAAAGTATTCGGCCCCCTTGAACCTTTCAACATTTCGCCACATTTCAGGCTTCAAACATAAAGATATAAAAATTTTATTTTTTGTCATGAATCAACAACAAGTGGGACACAATCGTGAAGTGGAACGAAATGTATTGGATCATTTAAACTTTTTTAACAAATAAAGAACTGAAAAGTGGGGCGTGCAATATTACTCGGCCCCTTTACTTTCAGTGCAGCAAACTCACTCCAGAAGTGCAGTGAGGATCTTTGAATGATCCAATGTTGTCCTAAATGACTGATGATGATAAATAGAATGCACCTGTGTGTAATCAAGTCTCTGTATAAATGCACCTGCTCTTTGATAGTCTTAGGGTTCTGTTTAAAGCGCAGAGAGAACCATGAAGACAAAGGAACACACCAGGCAGGTCCGAGATACTGTTATGGAGAAGTTTAAAGCCGGATTTGGATACAAAAAGATTTCCCAAGCTTTTAACATCTGAAGGAGCACTGTGCAAGCAATTATATTGAAATGGAAGGAGTATCAGACCACTGCAAATCTACCAAGACCCGGCTGTCCCTCCAAACTTTCATTTCAAATGAGAAGGATCAGAGATGCAGCCAAGATGCCCATGATCACTCTGGATGAACTGCAGAAAACTACAGCTGAGGTGGGAGAGTCTGTCCATAGGACAACAATCAGTCGTGCACTGCACAAATCTGGCCTTTATGGAAGAGTGGCAAGAAGAAAGCCATTTCTCAAAGATATCCATAAAAAGTCTCGTTTAAAGTTTGCCACAAGCCACCTGGGAGACACACCAAACATGTGGAAGAAGGTGCTCTGGTCAGATGAAACCAAAATCGAACTTTTTGGCCACAATGCAAAACGAAATATTTGGCGTAAAAGCAACACAGCTCATCACCCTGAACACACCATCCCCACTGTCAAACATGGTGGTGGCAGCATCATGCTTTGGGCCTGCTTTTCTTCAGCAGGGACAGGGAAGATGGCTAAAATTGATGGGAAGATGGATGGAGCCAAATACAGGACCATTCTGGAAGAAAACCTGTTGGAGTCTGCAAAAGACCTGAGACTGGGACGAAGATTTATCTTCCAACAGGACAATGATCCAAAACATAAAGCCAAATCTACAATGGAATGGTTCACAAATAGACGTATGCAGGTGTAAGAATGGCCAAGTCAAAGTCCAGACCTGAATCCAATCGAGAATCTGTGGAAAGAGCTGAAGACTGCTGTTCACAAACGCTCTCCATCCAACCTCACTGAGCTCGAACTGTTTTGCAAGGAAGAATGGGAAAGAATTCCAGCCTCTCAATGTGCAAAACTGATAGACATACCCCAAGCGACTTACAGCTGTAATTGCAGCAAAAGGTGGCGCAAAAATTATTAGCGCAAGGGGGCCGAATAATATTGCACGCCCCACTTTTCAGTTTTTTATTTGTTAAAAAAGTTTAAATTATCCAATAAATTTCGTTCCTCTTCAGGATTGTGTCCCACTTGTTGATTCTTGACAAAAATAATAATTTTTATACCTTTATGTTTGAAGCCTGAAATGTGGCAAAATGTTGAAAGGTTCAAGGGGGCCGAATACTTTCGCAAGGCACTGTACTACTACATGCTCTCTCCTCACCTCCTTTCACTTCCTCTCCACTCCTCTCCCCTGTCCTCTCTCATTCCCTCACCTTCCCTCTCCCCCTCTCTCATCCTCTCACTTCCTCTCTCCTTTTCACTCATCCTCTCTCATCCTCTTTCCCCCTCTCTCATCCTCTCACTTCCTCTCTCCTCAGATTGATCGAGTCCAGCCTGGGCAGTGTTGCCACTAAGTTTAACTTCTTCATCCATAACTTGGCTCAGCTGAGGTTCTCTGGGCTCCCAGCCAACGATGAGCCCATCCTGTCCTTCTCCCCCAAGACCTACAGCCTGAGGCAGGACGGGCACATCAACCAGGCCGCCATATTCTCCTTCCAGAAGAGATACAGCCCCGACAAGCACTATGTGAGTGGGAGTGGCTGAGGCCTGAGTTTTGAGCCTCTCTTTGCAAGTTCCTCTCTCTGCAGACGTACATTGTGTGCGGTTCGTCAGGGGCCTGTAGTTTAGCCTCGCTTTACTTGTGCTTCTCTCTGCAGACGTACGTGGTGCGGGTCATCAGGGAAGGGCAGCCCGAACCTCAGTTCATTTTCCGAACGTTTGACGAGTTTCAGGAGCTGCACACAAAACTCAGCATCCTGTTTCCTTTGTGGAAACTGCCCAGGTACAAGTACAAGCACTGCTTCTTCTATTACTATTAGGTTTAGGTTTATTTGGTTACAAACAAATCGAAATATACATGTCTATTTCGTTGCAAATAAGGAAGGTAACCAGAAAAGGTGTAGGCTGAAGCCGTGGCTTATAGTGCCTACCCTATTAACAACTACCCAACTGAATTAGTCAAAATATACAGGTTACATTGATACACATACGCAAGCATATAAGTATATAAAAACACGTATTGCTACACAAACACATACAATATATATATGTACGTACAGGAATACACACATATTTGCATACACTTTTGTTATTGTTATAAATATAACTTAGTGTTTGTCTTATTCAGTTCAGCAATTTCTTTTATGTGCACATCAGTAGACCCAAACATAACTTACGAAAACATATACTTATCAAAAATTCTTCTTTTAAATGTTTTTTTAGTACTACTGTTACTACTTTTATTACTGTTCTCACTGGTCTTTTATTCTTTTAGTTTTCCAAATAAAATGGTTCTGGGCAGGACTCATGTTAAAGACGTTGCAACGAAACGGAAATTAGAGTTGAACAACTACGTCCACAACCTGCTGAGGAGCGCTGAGGTCTCCAAGGTAACGAGCTGTTTAGAGTTTTTTTTAGAGCTGAGGCCCCGTTTAGACAGAGACGCTGCAAAGCAATTAGCAAAAACTTCTAGCCCCCAGTCAGTAGGGGGCAGTTAAACTTTATAATACAACACACGCCACCCCCACCAGTATAATCACTTCCTCAACAACATCCTCCTCAGGCCACCGCAATGACGTGAAAGAATGCACCAACATCATTCTGCATTCAACAATAGCTGCAATAATGGAAACTGAAACAAGAGCTTTGCGTAGTTTTGTTTGGGAAAAGGAGTAGAATTTCTCCTCCGTGTAACGCTCGAAGCACACGTTAGCATTAGTTCACCCACCGCCATTGTTTACGTTTGTTCTCGGCTACTGCCAAATGTCCAAATGTACGGGCGAGGAAGTGGTGAGGTCATTGCAGCAGAGAATTCACACAGCTGTGAAACAGCAGCATATCTGTTCTGTTCCAGCGCTTGTGTTTTCACCATGCAAACAAAAGGCCAAACAGATACCCAACTCTACCGTTTTACTGTCGCAGCATCTCTGTGTAAACACCACCTTAAAGGACAACTCACCCTCAAATCCACTTTTTTTTGCTGATAAACGGTATAAATGAGTGTCCAATAGTGTTGTCTACATATCCTGGTCATAATTTTGTCACTTTGGTGCAAATTAGTTGAAAGTTAAACTTTCTGCCTAAAACCGTCTGTGAGGCGCCATCTGCTGGCGACCTGTATTACTACATTTGAATTTTGAATCTGGCGCCAACACTGGCGCGGCAGCAAGACCTGACGTCTGCAAGTTGGACCTGACGTCAGCAGCCCCCCGCCCAGAGCAATGTAAACGGCCCAGTCTCGTTCACGCCCCCTTCAGTCCTCCAGGCTACGCCCATTTAGAGGAAGATTTGAACAGGAAATGTGATTGACGTAAGCTCCGAGGAGCGGGGGTGAGAACCACTTTAAAGCTGTCTCCCAGGTATCAGCTGCTGTGAGGAGTGTTCACACCAGACCACGCTGTGAAGCTGCACTTGTGGAGGAGAATTTTACCTCTAGCATAACTCATTAGCATCAAAGCCTGTGTTTTGCGGTATCGCAGTACGTCAGAATTATCAAAACCACAGGGCTGACTTACAGTATCAGTGAAGTAATATAAACATAACATTATGCCTGTGTAGTTTTCATGCTTGTGTCTGTTTGGTTCTCACCTCAGTGTGACCTGGTCTACACCTTCTTCCACCCCATCGCTCGAGACGACAAGACGGGAGAGTCTGCGCTCAAGATACCAGGTACAAGAGACCATGTGGCCGAGTGTCAGACCATGTGGCCGAGTGACAGACCATGTGGCCGAGTGACAGACCATGTGGCCGAGTGACAGAAACCATGTGGCCGAGTGACAGAGACCATGTGGCCGAGTGACAGAGACCATGTGGCCGAGTGACAGAGACCATGTGGCCGAGTTACCATGTCTGTCAGCAGAAGTGGGAGTCTCACTCTGTGTCTCTCCCAGAGCCTCCCCCCTCTCCCGTCTCTGGTCGAGTTGAAGGAGAAGTGAAGCTGTCGGTATCGTTTAGGAACAACACACTGTTCATCATGATCATGCACATCAGAGACCTGGTAATAGACACACACAGAGAGAGAGACACACATACACCTATTCTAAATCCTCTATGATCTCAGGTGTCTGAGGAGGGCTCCGACCCAAACCCCTACGTTAAGACTTACCTCCTGCCGGATCCCAACAAGACCAGCAAACGCAAGACTAAGACCTGCCGCAAGACACGCAACCCAACCTTCAACGAGATGGTAGGTCCAAAGTGCATCTAAAACGGGTCTTGGAGGGCTGCTGGGTCATTGATTTGACCACCCCCTCCCCATGTGTTGCAGCTGGTGTACTCTGGTCACCGTGACGACAGCCTCGCTCTCAGAGACGTCCAACTGAGCGTGCTTAGTGCGGAGTCTCTAAGGGAGAACTACTTTCTGGGCGGAGTTACACTTCACCTGCGAGACTTTGACCTGAGACAAGAGACGGTCAAGTGGTACAAGCTCACAGAGACCCCACTGTTCTAGACCAGAGATCAGAAACCAGACCGGGCTGGACCAGAGAGTAGATTGAGACCACCGAGTCGACCGACCGAGACCACAGATACCACAAGTCTAAACTCCTTCTCCTTAAACTGAATGAGACCAAGTGGGATTCAACCTTTTGAAGCTTGATTGCAGATTCTTGAGGAAAACTGAGCTAACGTGAGCAAATGCTAAGCTAACGTTAGCAAATGTTAAGCTAATGTGAGCTAATGCTAAGCTAACGTGAGCTTATGCTAATGTTTGTGTCTGTAAAAGTCTCAAAAGCAAAGCCTCGTGCTTGAAAGCAGAGTGTTTGGACAGAAGGGCTGGGGGAATGACTCCAGTTCACTTTAAAACTACAACACAAATATTTATTTGATTGCCGGCTCACGCTGGACTGTGATTGGATAGCAAGCCATGGGAAGGGTGGCTTAAAGAGTTACTAATTTACATAAGGATGCAATAATCACATTTTAATTTGAAATGTGAATCCAACAACAGAGAACTCCAAACTCTGTTTCCATGGAAACCAGCTGTTCAACTTGTATTCGGCTGTTTCCATGGAGACCCGCCTTACTGTAAATGTCCTTTTCTCTTGTTCAGTTTGTAAAACTTTGGACCAAATGTAGAGAAAGTATTTTAAAGATTAATATTCTATTAATAAAGTGTATTTTGTGCTGAACGTGTAACAATAAACTTTTAAATAATCTCTCTGCTCCAGAGTCAGTGACTCACAGGGCTCTAACACTTAACATTTTCTATTTTAAGACTGTTCAAACTACATCACCCAGCTTGGAACATTTGTGAGACTTAAGGTTAGCTTTAAATAAAAATCACACTGATTCAGTTTTACAGATGTGTTTATAATCTCACACACACGTTGCATCAGCTTTAATTGACCTCCAGAGAGACTCCCCCTCCCCTCTTCGTCTGCTGTAATCCACTGCAACTGTGTGATGGCACGTATCTATGGTAACCGGAGGATGCGTTGCTGTGGAACGACCAACATACCCATCTGTGTGCGTATGGTGCAGTTGAGGTGATTGTGGCGAATTATGCCGATATTGAAAGAAGTGAGCACTAATATTTACAATCTATGATTTGAACAGAGGAAACTGGACAGTGTTTAATGCAGTTTTAATAAAAGCTCTTTTTTCACATTCAGAAACTTGTGCAAAAAACACATTCAATAAAGTACAAACAGCATGAGAATAAAATAAATAACATGTGAGGTAGACTCAGTCCTGATGGAGACCTGGTCTCTGGCCTCAGTCCTGATGGAGACTGGCACGCTGGTCTCTGACCTCTTGTCTCAGACAGGGTCCCAGGATCCTCTCGGCCTCTTGGATTCTTCGTCTGAATCTCTCGCGGTCTCTCGCTGACTCCTCCCACTGGCCGCGCCTGGCCGCCTGACGAGCCCAGCGCCACGACCTCATGACATGGACCTGGACCTGGTCCGAGAACCAGACCTGAAACACACACAAACATGTTAAGACCAAAGTCCTCTACTCTGGACTGGAGTCCTCAGCTCTGAGCTGCACTCACCTTCTTCAGTTGGTGCACAGGCTTTTCAGAGAGGATCCCAATTGAGGGGCCCCTAGGGGCCCGGGTCGGTGCTCTTCTCCAGTGTTGGACTGTGATCTGTGGGTGTGAGTGTCTCTGGATGTTTCTCTGCTGGAGCTCTGGCTTCTGCCCACTCCTTCTCTTCCTTGGTAAGGGGCTCTCAGGGGCCTGAGCGCAGGGGCCCATCTCTCTGCACCTGTCACAGATATCATCATGAGCAGGAGGTGGGACCACTGCTCCTGACAGAGGCCCAATAGGCCTTCAGGGCAGACACACAACAGAACGTCTAACATGGGGACAGGTGAACAACACCGCACCATGAAGCAGAGGACTCACCTCAGGGGGTTGTATGGGTCTGTGTTATGGTCTCTACTGCAGGGGGCGCTGAAGCTCAGGGGGTTGAATGGGTCATTGTTGTGGCTGAGCAGGTCCCAGATCAGCTGATTCTCTTCCCTCTGCTCCCACGTCTCAGAACTGTCAGAGCTCTCAGAGCTCCAGCTGCTGTTACTGTCACAGCGACAGAGCAAAGTCCTCTCCAGACCAGAGCCAGACCCTGGACCCAGCTCACTCCTTTCCTCCTCATCATCGCTGGACTCCTCGGAGCTGCTTCCCCAGAACCTCCCAAGAGGAGCTTCAGGATGCCTGGACTCCCCTTCCCATGATGCTTTGCTCTCCTCCTCTGGACTAAAACAGTCTGGGGAGATGGACTCCACTTCCCACAATACTTTGCTCTCTTCCTCTGGACTACAGCAGTCTGTGGAAATCGACTCCACTTCCCATGATGGCTTGCAGACATCAGGGGAATCACAGAATGAACTACAAACATCACCAAACTCTGTTTTACACGATGCACTTCGCTCCTCAGTGGCCCCTTCCCTCACACCTGCCTCTTCCTGGGTCCCTCCCCTGCAGCCCCTGGTGGACACGCAGGCGGAGAAGCACATGGGATCATAAGGGTCATTATTGCGCACGCAGAGACTCTCCCATAATGCTTTGCTCTCGTCGCAGTCAAACTCCATGCCATGCTCCTCCTCGCTGCTCCAGCAGGAGGCGCTGTGCTCCTCATCTGAGCATAAGGAGTCTGAGACGAAGAAGCTCCAGTCGCCCACAGCCCACGAGGTCGTCGGCCTAAGGACCAGAGTTGGTTAAAACAGCTCTTAAGTCTACTTTATTCACGCCTAGTTCAAACAGCTCTCACCTGTGTCCCATGAACAGTCCTGAGTCAACGTCCTCTCTCAGCGTGGACAGTAGCGCCTCCTTGTGGTCAGTGAGTGTAGACAGGAGGAAGGGATCAGAGGGGTCAGAAGTTATGGAGGGGTCGTCTGTGATGCGCACGTGCACCTCGAAGCGGAACATCTGAAACACTGAGCACAGAACAAACGGACCACATGAAGTATGTTCATGGTCCGGTTCATCTGCAATTGTAGAGAACACTGGTCCCTTGGTTCAACACATGGGTTATGTGATGCAAAAATAAACACAGAGAGCCACAAGTTTTCCTCAGACTGTAATTAAAAGGTAACTATCATGTTACAATAGCAGTTATATGATCTTGTTGGAGAGTCCACGGTGCAGTTTCACTAACTCATCTCAATCAGATCCTAATCTGGAAAACCAGGTATAGAGTCCACTTAACTTCCTGCTTCCCAAATAAGTCTGGACAGGATGTTGACGTCAGAACAAGCATGTTGCTGTGTGTAGCAACACGACCAGTGCCCTCACGACCTTAAGGTTGTATTGCATTTGATGAATACTTTAGTTCGTTAGATAGTAGTCCTCTGTCTCCAAAGTTTGGCTCCCCTCTCTGTTGGTTTCACATCTTTGAAAACTGACACCTTAAGGGTTGAAATGAGGCATTTAATCAACTGTTATTCATGGTCTTGAGCATCACACCAATAGACCAATTTGTCCACAGCCACAATAGTTGTTGGTTCTTGATATCACTTGATCACTAGATTTTTACCTGAGATAAAGCTGTAGTAGATCACATGCAGCAGCAGCCTCAGCTGGTCCCACAGAACCAGCAGCATGTGCCGAGTCCAGGGCAGAAGAGGCATCCCAGAGCCGATCCTCTCCATCACACCTCCAGCAAAGCGTTCAGTCTCTGCTCCGGCCATCAGACCTCCACCACAGCTCCCCATGGCTCTATCTCTGCTACAGCCAAACCTAAAGCACAATTTACAACATTGATAGACCCTATACAGTGTGAACCAGAAACACCTACAACAGCAGTAAGTTATGAGGTACTGTCCAACTACATCGACACCATTTTTTTTTTTTTTTTTTAATAAACATGTCACCTGACGTACTGATAATGAAGTTACTATCGCGTCCTGATCATGTGATATTTTAAACACATCTCCCACAGACCTCCCCTACGCCAGGACCAAGTAAACCCTAAACTTAACACTAACCCATGCTTTAATTTGAATGGGAGTATTCAATTGTCAAAACAAATAATGTATAATATGAAATATACTACTGGAAATGTATTGTGTAAAGAACTTAACCACAGCCAAGAGTTTGGGGACCATCTTCAGTGTTACTAGTGACATTATCTTTCCCCAACGCAGTTATCAGAGCGATGACAACATTTTCCCAAAGCCGTGACCTCAACCAAATAAACGAGTAATCCTTATACTTAACTTTAAGACTCATACAAACAATATTACATGAATTTAAAGCCAAACAAGAGCACCAAAACAAAGTAGTGTTGAGAAATACCTGTTCGTCTCCGTGGCCGCCATTTTGCGTCGCTCTGTTAGCCTCGTTAGCTCCGCTCTTCACGTGTTCTGGTAAACCTGGGCAGAGTCCACGTCCTCCCGGGGGTTTCGAGTGTCCGTCTGTGGTGGGCCGCAGCTCATATTTGCGCTGATATGTCGCATTTCGCTTAGTTTAGGTTGTGTTTATTCGCACTCTTCTCCATGTTGTTGTGTTCGTAGTAAAATGTAGAATGTCAGTCGGTTGCAACACTCCGCCTTTATACACGTAATGACGCCATACTGTTCCCGCCCCATTTGTGACGTACAGAATGTGCCAGTGATTTCCTGAGAATTTCAGTGTTAATTTTGAATTTTATGAGAGAAAAGCGAAATAAGTGTTCATATGGGCTTTTACAGAATCAAAGGGAAAAGTGAAACTAACTAAAATAGTGTGGGATAAAGAGTACAGTCTTAAAGTACATCTTATCTTTTAAAGAGGCTACATTTAAAGACATCTGGTCAATTTTAACATTCTAATTTCTGTGAGATCAAGTATCTTAATCTTTGGTGTAAAAACATTAACTTTGGGTTATGGTCCTTTTCCACTATTCCGTCTGTAGCTGATGTGACAGGCCAAAAATGCATGCGAAAACCTCAGCCCTAGTCCTGTAAGGCTTATCTTTGGATTACACTCTGAATACAATCACAAAGCAGGATTTTTAAATCACAGCATGATAAAAATAAAAGCAAGACATCAGGCCTATTAAGTAAGAGTTTGAAATCGTAATCGTTGAGAACTTCTTCAGCTGTGATAGCATTACAAAACTACATGGGCCACTGATGTATGAGAGGCAGCCGAAATCAATAAGTGAAAGCTCAACTACAGCTCTGCTTTGGCCACATGCATCTGGAGCAGGGCTCTACAGCAGAAGCAGGCACTAAACCACTGAAGCAGAGCTCACAGAGCAGGGATCAGAATAATGAGCTGCATCTCCAGGGAAAGCTGCAGTAATAGATCAGCAACTGTTGAGTCATCTGAGCAGCATTTAATTATGAAATCTGGTCGTCAAATTTCCTACTTGTCTGAGACAGAAGAGACCCATGTTCAATGATTCAGAGAAACCAGTGTGACTTAAACTCAGACAATCATGTGTTTTGACAGTTTTATTCATCCAAAAAGAGTTTATGCCACCAGAGCAGAGGCTGTGGACGACTCGCTGTGGAGAGAACAGAACAGGGTCAGTGTGGACACACAAAACAACCACATGATAGAAGTGTTAACAACATGGCCCCGTCCTATAATGGCTCCTCACTGGAGGCACCGGGGGCTTTTAACAGCGTGGAGTGTTTGAAATGAAAAAACTACGGTAACACAATTCAGCCAAACACAAGTATATTTATGCATGTGTGAACGTGTATGAAGGGGACTGGCAAGGGGGCACTCGCCGCTCTGCTAATTGACCTCCATGTTTCTGTAGCACAGGTGAAATATCTCTGCTCCAACACTGAGGCAGGACAATGAACTGTGCAGTGGTTTGGGTCAACGTGAACTCACTATTTCCAGTTCGGGGCAAGGACCCTCTTGGTTTTGTAGTAACGAGCCAACCTGTGGATCCTGCTTTCAATCAGAATCAGACGGAACTTAGCATCTTTGTCCTGAAACAGAAACTCAGGTGAAAACAAGGCAAAGGTAGACTTCTCTGCAGTCCGAGGACTGGGGCCTCACCTTACGGTTCCTCTCCAAATGCTTCCTCACGGCCACAGCCTTCTTGATCAGATGGTACAGGTCCTCGGGCAGATCTGGGGCCAGACCTTTGGACTTAAGGATTCTCAGAATTTTGTTTCCGGTGACGAATCGGACCTGAGCCACACCGTGGGAGTCACGAAGGATCACACCTGAGGATATTACCACAGAACAGGATTCAGGACAGGCATTTTGATGAAATGAAACATTGAGGAAATGGCATTTCAGCTCTGATGAACACTTTAGTCAGTACTGAGCTCCTCACCGATCTGGGAGGGGGTCAGGCCTTTCTTTGCCAGTTTGAAGATCTGTTCCTTCACATCGTCAGATGTCAGCTTCAGCCACTGCACAGAGGAGACACTTCAGCTCTGAGGTCAAGTCGCATGGAGGCCGCACCAAAGTCTGAACACTATGTGAAGCTCAGTGAAACTACATTTGTTTAACTTTAACCAGGAACCAAAAGTCAATGAGAAATTCATAATTATAATTCTGTAAATCAGTTAGATGCTTGAATTAGCAGCTTCACATTTTAAGGCTGTAAAACCCCTGAGATCAGGGCGCCCGAGGCTCAACTGGAGTTCAGGCCTCATTTGGAAGCATTTTACCACCAGTAAATTATAAAAGTTAAATTATGGACAAACTGGAAATGAGGTAAAATCAGTGCTGAAGTTTACACAGGGGACATGAGTAATGTGGTACTTACTGTGGGGACACTGCGTCTGTAGGGCAGCGCAGACTGGGACAGGCCCTTTCTGTGGACAGAGGAGACTTTTACTTTCGAAGTAACCATTCACCGTTTTATTTCACCAACCCTAACCAATGCAAGACCTGTCCAGAACCTTCTTGACCCTGTGCGAGAAGCACAACCGTATCTTAAATGTGTCTAAAACTAAATAAATTATTCTTGACATAAAGAGCTGGAGGTCATAGTGTGGTCTCCAAAGATAGAGATCGAGCAGGTCACAACTTATACTTGGGGATTTACTTCACCCACAGTTCTCCTGGGTTGCACATGTCAACCATGTCTATACCAAAGTAAACCAGTCTCAGTCTTTTAAGACTGACTTCATGGAGTCGACAAAAGTAATTCTACCTTGTATAGAACCTGCATCGAATCAATCATACGTCACGGTACCACAACCTGCTTTGGAAGTTTGAGTCAAATCGCAAATCCTAAACCTAGCTGAGAGCGGGGAAGACGGTCGGTTTTACCAGTCTCTTATACGGTGCAGGACATGTTTGAGGAGACTGTCCTAAAGCAGGGCCAGAAAATGACAACTGGCCCCACTAACATTCTGTACAAAGAGTTTGAGCTGCCGCGCCTGGCAGACGTTATAGAGTACCTGTAAAAATTCTATGACTCCCAGAGCGAACGCTGTTATGAATTAAACCGAACACTAAGGAATACAAATTTTTTTTAAACTTTGGTTATAGAAAATCTCGGTTTTTACTCATCCTGCGTATGTTCGAGTTCACAGTAATTGGCATAGTTTGTTTTATGAATGTGGAGTAAATGAACTAAGGTTGGTTAGTCATGTCGTTTTTTTATGTTCCCACCGTTTGTCCAAGACAAATTTCTCTGTCAAGAGGCAAGACTAAAATAATCTAATACATAGATTTGTAATCACGTTTTTTACCCATTTAAACTTCACTTATATTTTTCCTCACAGTTGAAGAGTAGAGTCCATACGACTAGAATAAAGCCTTATTTTAGCTAGTTGTCACATCTTAAGATCAGTCTTTCCACTCAGCCAGAGTCAAATAGGGCTCTGGGCTTTTGAAACTAGAAGCACAGCTTTCTGTTCGGACTAATACATGCATGGAGTAAAGTACCACAATTTCAATGAATGCAACTATTCCAAGAAAACGTGACCAGTCTGGCTATGGATGTTGTCTGGGACATGTTCTCCCGTATACACATTAATATACTTAAATCCTTCCCGCAGTGTGTGCCACAGACTCTTAAGGATCGTTCTTGGCTGAACTGATCCAGTCAACCATTACCAAGTACAGGGAACGTTTAACAGTCTTAAAATTCACGGTTCTACATTTCTTCCTAGAAACGCGACACCATTGAAGCTAAAGGCTGAACATCTTCCCCAACACAGTGTCACCGAACAGTCCGTTTATAACAGCGTAACTAAATATGGGCAATCTAACAACGACTTGACTTAACGTTTAACAAACCATGTGCGTTTAAAGACAAAGAAGTGTGCCTTGCGGAACTGTGTTGGGAAAAATATCCGAAGCGCCATACGCCTGTTTCCTCGCAGCAGCACGGGGGGGTTTTAACTGTATTTTCTCCCGGTTTATGGCCTGTTTTGGTGCATGTTCATACGGAAGCTTTTCCCCTGGATATTCCCCGGGCTCAAGACGGGCACAGAACCGTGTTTACATAGCTTATTGAAGGTTTTTCGTTGGTTTTATGGATCTTACCCAGGAGCGTGCATGCGACCCATGATGGCGGCGGCAGAGAGAGGGAGCACGAGCCACACGGACAGGATATGCGCATGCGCGGAGATGACGTCAGCACGACGCGGAAGTAACGACATGATACAATAAACTTACTTACAATTTGAAATTACGTAAATGCAAATATCAATATCATGCACACATACACACATACACATTTAGAGGTCATCATCGAATTTTCTAATGTTTAGAGACTTTAAATAATTTTCTTCCATTTGTCTTTTGAAAAAAGTAAAAAATAGGCTTCACCTTCTTCCATTTACATGAATTAATAAAATATTTTGAAAGCAACAACAAATTATTTACAATATATTTACAGTTTGAGTTTCCTCCCGGATGATTCCAAAAACAATATTGACCCACGTTAAAGCGTCCTGTTGTAGCTATACTCGAAAGCCAGTCCCAAAAGTCTTCCCAGAATGAGTGTTTGTGTACATGCAACGATAAAACAAATGTTCAGTAGTTTTAATGTCACATTCACGGAATACATAGTTTCTTTCTAAATCAAATCGAACTCTCAGCAATTCATTGGATGGATAAATCTCATTCAAATTTTTCAAATGAATTTCCTTTGTTTTAGGATTGACAAGGGATTTCAAATATTTAGTTCTAATATTTTTAATCTCATTCTTTGAACATTTTTGATGTATTGAGTTTCTGTTTGGTCTTAATGGATATAAATGATTGTTAAAGTGGTTATGTTGAAATATTTTTTTCTGTAAAATTTTGTTCCAGAATATACAGTGCTGGTAGACAGGGAGCAGGTAAAATTTCCAGACTGAATTTTGAAAATAATAATAATAATAATAATACTGCTTGGGGGATTGCATTGCTTATTTTCTATTTTTTATTCTGACTTTGTACAGGTTAGATCGTGAGTGGAGTAAAGTCTTCTAGAGATAACCAGTTCCTCTGATTGTCCACTAGGTGGCGTACAGACCACACACCTGGTGTTTGGTGTGGCGTAAAGCTATGGTTGTACATGAGTTTCCAGCTCAACAGAACCTGTTTGATATTTTAACAGGTAGTTTTTCAACATTGAAAAAGGTACTCCCATATTGCCAGCAGTTTCTGATGATTCTTACAGATTTGGATTTAGATTCTGAAAGAATGGACTGTCTACTTTCATCAGCAAAAATAATTTTGTTTCTGGCTTGTTTCCTTCCCCTGTAATCCCCAGTCGAGTAGATGGAAGTTTTACTGAAATCGCCAAAAAGCTGAGAATAAAGAGGCACAAGTGCATCTGTTTTCAACCCATTCAGAGAGCGGTGGTGCCACCTGCTGGCTTGATAAAATATGCTACATATCAGATATAATCGTGGATATAATAGACATATGGGAACATGAAAATAGCGGAAAACTGCTCCCACCATCTAAGGGTGAGCTCAATACCTCCCATTTTCTTTAATACACCCCTAGGGAGACAAAACCAAATGCTATTTTATTTCAGTGATGAAGGATTTCAACCATTTCATTTTCAAGACCGTGTTTAAAGATTCAAAGTCAATGGCTCCTTGAACACCTTCGTCAAATTCTTGTACAATTTCAGATTTTTTAATAAAGTGGACCCTATTTTTCCGAATAAAATTTGAATTTTGTTTATTTATTGATTTAATTATAGACATGGAGTAAGCTGGGTAAATACATCTTGCTAGTGATTCCATTTTGATTAGATGTGTTCTTCCAAAGACTGTCAGATCCCTTTGTAACCAAGAGTTCAGTTTAGATTCGCAGTGCAGGATTGTATCTAGTATAGTTAGTGTTTCAAGAATAGTAGTATTTTTGGTTAAATCAATTCCAAGATATTTGACACAAAACTTAATTGGGACATTGTAGGCTTCAGATAGATCACTGTCATGTATGGCCATAAGTTCACATTTATTATGATTAAGTGTCAAACCAGATGCGGCAGAGAAAAGACCAATAATTTTAAATACTTCAGGGATCAATCAATCAATCAAAGTTTATTTGTAAAGCGCCTTTCATACACAGGGAAATGCAAAGCGCTTCACAGTCCACATCACCCAAGCACTGTGGGACAAGTTTACTTGAAAAAACCATGGAAATAAATTGCGTATTAACTTCACTTGAATTCCTCGAGTACATCTTTTACTTGATATTACCAAGTAACTCAAGTGATTGCAATAAAGTTTAAATTTCTACTTATGATCCGACTGGGATTGGTACTCAGAACCCTGTAATTGAGAGGTAATGGTGCTACCCACTCAGCCACCAGGCCACCCTGCCATTGTCACACCTGCCTCATTAAAGAGTCTACACGTCAAAATGTCAAAAGTGAGGCTTACTTGAACAGAAACAGTTCAATTCAAAGAAAAACCTTAGTGATATAGCCAAGCTTTAAATAAACTAATAATAAATGAGTAATATCTACTTACTGGGAAAAATCTATTTAAAATAACTTTGATATCTGAAGTACGATTGAAGTTAGGGTTTACAGTGAGGCACAAATCATCACATAAAACAACAATGTTTTAACTGCATTGGATCTGTTCTTTTTTTAAAAAGAAACTAGTTGTGTCGTCAGCGAGTTCACTTATCACAAGTCTTGACTCATCAAAGATTTGTACTTTTTCAAAAGTTGAATGTTTGCTTCACACCCTTCTTCATAGAAAAGTGTGGTGTCGTACCAGTTGGGAGAGCAACTGTGTTTGTATAAAATGTTTCAATTAAATTATAAAAATACTGAGGTCCAAACTCATACATATTTAACAAGAGAAATTGGTGCTATAGTTTGTCAAATCCTTTGTGAAAGTCGAGAAATAAAATGAATCCTTTGTCTTCGATAAGGTCATTGTAGTCTAAAAGATCTTGTACGAGTCTATTGTTGTTATCTAATGACCAGTTTTTAACCTATTAGTCGTTATTTAAAAGTGAATTGGGGACATAAAATAAAGATACATTCACGGACAAAACCCAACACAAAATCAACACAAAAGACAGGTATGTCGCACAAAACATATTATTTGATTGTTTAATGAAATTCAAGTTCAATTAAATATCCATCCATCCATCCATTTTCTACCCTTTAATCCATTTCTGGGTCAGGGGGGTGACAATCAGAGATGCCACCCAAGTCTCATAGCACCAGCCCCTCACTGACCCTCTGCAGGTGGTGAGTCCACAGGAGGACGGCTGCTCTCTGAGTGTGAGCATAGCTTTGATCTTTCAGTGGGGGCTTTTGGGCAAAGTGGGGTTAAGTGTCTTGCCCAAGGACACAACGACAGCAGTCATCAGTGGGATCAATTAAATATATTCATAATAATTCATAGTAACCATAAATAGCTAACCCTGTGTAACAAGTGCTCATGACAGGAGTGCCCTCTGCTGTTGGCATCTTATCCTGGCCCACGGGTTTGTTTGATGACCCTTACCCCGGGCACGTGCGCCAAACCCACTCTATCCGGGTCAGAGTGTCTGTAAATATTTATTCTCCTTATTTATTTTCTAATCTGTTCAAACACTGTGTTTGAAACAAGCTGTTGCTCATTGGCTCAAACACAATTAAACTAAACTGAACTAAACTAAACTAAACTAAACTGATCTAAACTGACCTAAGCTAGGCTGCAACTAAAGAAACTGTTCAGGTCGTTCAAACATTCTGCTCTGGGTTTATGTGTGAATTGGACATGTCAAAAGTCTAAGGTCCATTGGTCATGTGATCCGTGTCGGAAGAAATGAGCCCGGTGTCAACCCCATCCTCTTGACCCGAGTCCTGACCCCAAGTCCATGTACATAACCACATGCAGGACACAAACAGAGATTGCCACCATTGGGTTCAAACCTATAGATCCATGATTCACACACTGATTCTGTCATCCTACAGTTCACAAAATGTTCCTCTGCCAGCCTACACTTCATACACTTCACGCACTGTTCCTCAGCATATTTTCGTTCTGGGGGGTGGAATGTGCTCGAGTGACCGGGGGGCATGTCTGGTTCTGCCGCGCGGCACTTTTTGACGCCTGCGTAAACACAGTCCGCTTCCGCCGCTGACATCAGGTGCATTCCAGACAGACTGCATCATGTTCCACTACAGCGTCCTGCCGCGTCCTGCCGCATCCTGCCGCGTCTACTGCCACCTATAGAGCGGCAGGAGCGGACAGAGTCATGAACCATGCTTTAGACCTGCTACACCTACGACCTGGTTTAGTCTAAGTTTAGTCTCTCTTCACCGTTTATATCCCGGTGAATCCTCTGGTCCTGGTTCATCCCAGTTCCGTGACTCTAGGGATTGTGCACGCGCCTGCTAGCCCTTGTGCGCGCTCCCGTGCGTCATGGCGGAGTTGCCCTCGCGCTGGACTCACGCTGTGCGTGCGGACGGGCGAGTATTCTTCATAAGGTCAGTGTCGGTTTTCGCGCGCTCCCAGCTGTGCACGCGCTCGGTAACAGCTGTTTGTGTTCCAGTGAGCGCACGCGCACCACAACCTGGCTCCACCCGCGCACGGGACTCCCGGTCAACTCCGGTCACGTGACGCGCTCAGGTCAGTCTAGGTCCAGTCCTGGTTTTGTCCCGTCTGCTATTGACCTGCTTTAGCCCTGCTTTAGTCCTGCTTTAGTCCTGGTTTATATCTGATTTAGACCTGTGTTAGTCCTGGTTTAGTCCTGATTTAGACCTGCCCTAAACCTGCTTTAGACCTGCTTTAGTGTGCTTTAGACCTCCTTTAGAGCTGCTTTAGACCCTCTTTAGTTCTGCTTTAGACCTGCTTTAATCCTGGTTTAGACTTTAGACCTGTTTAGTCCTGCTTCATGGACTGGTGGCCCACAACTCTATAATGAGTAAAACTAGTTTAGGTGAGACATTTTGTCAAAATTGTAAGACTGCTGCTGTGTCAGCACTTTGTTATGATTGTTCCATGTGTACGGTCAGTGCAGTATTAGTGCAGTGCTCACTAAACAATAGTATTATTTATTTTCTGCTGTTTGTCAGATCTGCCTCAGGGCTGGGAGGAGGGCTACACCCCAGAGGGAGCCAGCTACTACATCGAGTGAGTACTGCTACTTCTGCTGCTATACTGCTGCTGCTATACTGCTGCTGCTATACTGCCGCTGCTATTGCTGCTACTACTTTGACATTGACAAAGTAGAAGCTGCTATTGCTGCTTCTACTTTGTCAATGTCAAATGAACACCCACAGTGTTCATTTTAACACAGGTATAGTGTCTACATGAATCAACACTCTTTAGTGTTAAATCAACATTTTTGAAAGTTTTAGATAGTTCATCATGGTCAGACTCATCATGGTCAGACTCATCAGGGTCAGACTCATCATGGTCAGACTCATCATGGTCAGACTCATCAGGGTCAGACTCATCATGGTCAGACTCATCATGGTCAGACTCATCATGGTCAGACTCATCATGGTCAGACTCATCAAGGTCAGACTGATCATGGTCAGACTCATCATGGTCAGACTCATCATGGTCAGACTCATCATGGTCAGACTCATCATGGTCAGACTCATCATGGTCAGACTCATCATGGTCAGACTCATCAAGGTCAGACTGATCATGGTCAGACTCATCATGGTCAGACTCATCATGGTCAGACTCATCATGGTCAGACTCATCATGGTCAGACTCATCATGGTCAGACTCATCATGGTCAGACTCATCAAGGTCAGACTGATCATGGTCAGACTGATCATGGTCAGACTCATCATGGTCAGACTCATCATGGTCAGACTCATCATGCATGGTCAGACTCATCATGGTCAGACTCATTAGGGTCAGACTCATCATGGTCAGACTCATCAAGGTCAGACTGATCATGGTCAGACTCATCATGGTCAGACTCATCATGGTCAGACTCATCAAGGTCAGACTGATCATGGTCAGACTCATCATGGTCAGACTCATCAGGGTCAGACTCATCATGGTCAGACTCATCAGGGTCAGACTCATCCTGGTCAGACTCATCATGGTCAGACTTATCATGGTCAGACTCATTAGGGTCAGACTCATTAGGGTCAGACTCATCATGGTCAGACTCATCATGGTCAGACTCATCATGGTCAGACTCATTAGGGTCAGACTCATCATGGTCAGACTCATCATGGTCAGACTCATCATGGTCAGACTCATCATGGTCAGACTCATCATGGTCAGACTCCCAGCGCTGTCTCCACTACAGTTTGTTTCACTCTTTGTGTGATGATCAACATGTGGTACTATAGAACCAAAAAGTGAGGTACCCCAGCTTTAGTCTTCAAGCGGACAGGAGAGGTTGGAGGGAAGCTTCACCTCTCTTTTGTTTAGGACTTCTTTATTGTCATTTATTGTGTTCAGTTTTTGTCCAATCAGAGAACAGAGACAGAAATAGCATCGCTCTCTCTCCTCCGCTGTCTGCTGGGCGATCAAAGCCCTCGCTCGCTCCTCTCGCTCTCTCTGATTCTGAGGATGAAAACACACGATAGTCCGAGTTAGATCCACGTCTGGACCAGGAGCCAGGTCTGGACCAAGACCAGGACCCAGACCCGGACCAGGACCAGGGTCTGGACCAGTATTTGACCCGGGTCTCAGCAAGATCTGCTCTGGATTTAGGCTTTTTTAAATAATTCATGAGATTTTATTCAAAATCTGAGCAACTGTAGAGGCAGGACTAAAGCAGGACGAAACAGAGGCAGGACTAGAGCAGGACTAAAGCAGGTCTAAATCAGGACTAGAGCAGGTCTAAAGCAGGTCTAAAGCAGGACTAGAGCAGGACTAGAGCAGGACTAGAGCAGGACTAGAGCAGGACTAAAGCAGGAGCAAAGCAGGACTAGAGCAGATGGACTATGGCAGGTCTAGAAAAGGACTAAAGTAGGACTAAAGCAGGACCAAAGCAGGTCTAGAGCAGGACTAAGACAGGTCTAGAACAGGACTAAAGCAGGACTAAAGCAGGTCTAAAGCCTGACTAAAGCAGGACTAGAGAAGGTTGAAAGCAGGACTAAAGCTTTAAAACGACTTGCCCTTGTGGGTGCTGGATTTTTATTTAATGGATTTATATCAACTGGACTTCACACTCAGCGGAACTCTGGACCTGGACTGGACCAGGTCTGACTCAGGTCTAACCTTCGAGTCCAGATGTGAGTGAGTCAGCTGCTGTTGCCACGGAGACCAGCGCTGCGTTGTTGCTGTTGTTGCCGTGACGATGGAGCCAGACTTCCTGTTGTGGCGCGAGGAGGACAGGGGGGCGTGTCCTCACATGAGAGTTTACTACTGTGACCGGCACAGGTAAGACCAGAGAGAGTCTTGAGAGACCAGAGAGAGAGAGAGACAGGAGAGAGAGACCAGAGAGAGAGAGACAGGAGAGAGAGACAAAAGAGAGACCAGAGAGAGAGAGAGACAAAAGAGAGACCAGAGAGAGAGACAGGAGAGACACCAGAGAGAGAGAGACAAGAGAGAGAGACAAGAGAGTGACCAGAGAGAGGCTAGAGAGACCAGGATTGAGACCAGAGGTGGTGGTGTACCCGGGAAAAAATGTATCCATTTAATTTTTATGACACCTTTTCTCTCTAAAACAGCTTTACAGCCTGGTCTAAATGTTGGGTCTTGGCTCAACGCTACTTTCCAGATGTGTGTCAGTGCTGAGGGGAGTATTTTTTTGGACCAGTCTAGTTTAGCCGCTGTGGACCTTTGAATGCACTCGTTACATGCATGGGGCTCGTGCCGACTAATGCATGCACAAATGCGTTTTTTCACATTTTTAAAAAGACCACAGAAGGCAAAAGTGATGTCACATAACTTTCAACGCCGGAGATAGGCGTCCCTACGTCCGTTAATATTTACAGTCTATAGCCCGATTCGCACGAGATTAGTATTACCTGTGGACCGCTGGTGATTTTTAGATTACCGCCCCAACTCTGTGATGCTTGCAGCGCATTCACACAGGAATTCACAGCCCAAAGGATCCTCGTAGTGACGGGGCTCACAGTCAAACCATATGTGCTGATGGTCCTTGGCACTGTATCAGCTCCACACACACATTGTATTCAAACATTAGAAGGAGGAGCAGGTTTGACAGTGATTCAGAAAACTCATGACCATGAGGACAAACATATGTGGATATTACTGCTATAGTTCTCTGGCCCGTACTGTCCTCTACACTGATCCATAGACCTCAGAGGGACAGCAGCAGTGTGTACACAGCGCAATACGCGAGTCTCCTCTGCTCAGAGAGACGTTTGTCACTCGCAGCGCTAACAATGTGTTCGAGCCATATTCTAAAAAGCTTCAAAACTGCAAATCAACGTTTCGGCCGCAGCCTCCATGGTATATTGACAAAAAACAACGCATAATGTAGAGAAGGCAGTAATAGCCTCTTCTGCTGTGACCTGAAGGGCTGTTGCTAATTATTACTTTTTTTAAACTTTTTAGAATTGCATTTTTTATTTTTGCTGCAACTGGACACCTGAGTTTCTCCTATGGGGATCAATAAAGTATCTATCTATCTAGCAACCACAGTCTCTGACATGCAGATTCGCATGGGATTAGTTTTATCACTGGATGTGTTTGGACAAATACAGGAGGTCATTTGCAGCAGAATTATTACAAATGACAGACATGGCGCATTCGCACAGGACTAATTTATCAGACGTCCTCCGCGATTATCACAAATTTCCAGAGGTCCACAGGTAATACTGATCCTGTGACCAGGGTGTGGCCTCTATGCTCCAAACACATACCTGTGTTCTTAGGTGCCTCTGCTGGCAGCTTCTCAGCCGGATCCACTTTCTGTGGGTTTGCATGCCCTCTTCCACTCTTTCTCTCTCTCTCTCTCTCTCTCGAATCCAGCCCCGATAACAGCACAGGTGCCTCAGGACACAGAGACAGCAGTAATCAACAAGTATTATTATAATAACACAACTGCTCTTTTTAGTATTGTCCCAGTTACATGATGTCCCCAAGTCTGTGTGTGTGTGTGTGTTTGTGCGTGTGTGTGTGTGTGTCTGTGTTTCTGTGTGTTGTTTTTGTGCCTGTGTGTCTCTGTGTGTGTGTGTGTGTGAGTGCGTGTGTCTGTGTGTAGGAGGCAGACGACAGCAGCACAGATGTAGGAGGAAAACAGATGAAACCTGCAGATATTCAGAGATTAACCCTTTGCAGGTTTGAGAGAGAGAAGAGAGGCAGAAGAGAGGGGAAAGGAGAAAGTCCTTTCTGCTCTCTCTGGTCTTTCTCTGTGGTCTCTCTATGGTCTCTCTCTGGTCTTTCTCTGTGGTCTCTCTATGGTCTCTCTGTGGTCTCTCTGTGGTCTCTCTCTCTGGTCTTTCTCTGTGGTCTCTCTATGGTCTCTCTGTGGTCTCTCTGTGGTCTCTCTCTGTGGTCTCTCTGTGGTCTCTCTCTGTGGTCTCTCTCTGTGGTCTCTCTCTGTGGTCTCTCTGTGGTCTCTCTGTGGTCTCTCTCTGTGGTCTCTCTGTGGTCTCTCTCTGTGGTCTCTCTCTGTGGTCTCTCTCTGTGGTCTCTCTGTGGTCTCTCTCTGTGGTCTCTCTCTGTGGTCTCTCTCCGGTCTTTCCGGTATGTAACTTTAATCTTCGGTGCCGGAGTAGTAACTTTAAAGCTGGTGTGACATTTACTGCAGTTTTGTCAAAGTTGTGAGTTTGTAGAGTGTTTGTTTGAAGAGTCTGAACCGGATCCAGTGTCAAAGTACAAGAAAAACCAGCACATGCACACACACACACACACACACACACACACATAAAAAAACACACACAAACATAGACACACACACACACACAAAGACACACACACACACACAGACGCACACACGCACACACAGACATTATGCTCTGTGGATGTGTCCGTACGATTCTCACACAGAACCCGGACCAGGACTAGGACCAGGACTAAGACCATGACAGGGACCGGGACCGGGACCAGGACAAAGACCATAGAACCGGGACTAAGACCATTGACAAGACCAGGTCCTGATCCTTTCATGACTAAGACTTGGATCAGAGCAGAGACCAGGAATAAGACCATGACTGGGACCAGGACCAGGACTAGGATTAAGACCAAAACCAAAACTAAGGCTGAAACAAAACCAGGACTGAACTGGTTTTGTATCTGTCTTTCAGTCATAATCAGAGGAAAACCACTTTTATTCATCCTGGAAACACGTCAGAGAATTCTTCATTCATCGTACAGCTGTGAGTACTTCTAGACCAGTTTACTTGTATAGCACAGTTCATACATAAGTTGTCAGACAGAGATGAAAAAAACAAGAAACAATTAAATCATAAATAATAACAGTACACTGGCGTGAGTAATCCTATCTCACATTTTCAGGAAGACTGTTCCAGATTTTAGCTGCGGGTCCCTGTGCTCCTCAGACTCTGAGTTGGCACTAACATGTCCCAGATGCACTGTAGGCCATGGACACCTGAGACCAGGACTAATGTGAGAGGACTGGTCTCCTGTAGGACTGTCTGGTCCTCCTGGTTCTGGGTTCAATTCAGACAGGGCTTTTCTGCGTGGAGTTTACATGTTCTCCCCGTGTCTTTGTAGGTTTTCATCCGGGTGCTCCAGTTTCCAACAACATATATAGAAAAGGTTTGAATGAAAGAGTGAATATGATGCTTCAGTGCATCCTGTGTCTCCTTCTACCGCCACAGTGTGGAGAGAAAGGGAACTACAGCAGGACTATACAGTGCTGTGTGATACATTAAAACATGAGATGACTTTACTACTGTTCTTTAGTGAAACATGAAAATTTAACTTTATTTAAAATGTGTTTCAGACCCGAGTCCAGAGTGATGTCATCAGTGTGCGACACATCCACCAACAACAATAATAAGGTACTAAGGCTGAAGACCCAGGACAAAGGCTCGAGACTTCGGACTGAGGCTGGTCCTGGTCTGGTTTGGTCTCAGTCCTGGTCTGGTCCAAATCTTAGTCTCGGCCTAGTCTGGTCCTGGTCTGATCCTGGTCTCAGTCCTGGTCTGGTCCAGTCTGGTCCTGGTGTGAGTCCTGGTTCATTCCTGGTCTGGTCTGTTCTGTTCTGTTCTGTTCTGATCTGGTCTGGTCCTGCTCCTGGTCTCAGTCTGGTCTATTCTTGTTTCAGGTCCAGTCGAAGCGTCATTCGTTTGGAAAGCGCCACCTGTCTGTGAGGAGGAACCTGAGCATCAGAGTGGAGCAGAGAGGATGGCTCCACAAACAGGTACCAGAACAGGACCAGGACTGAAACCAGGACTGATACCAGAACCAGAACAGGACCAGACCAGGACCAGACCCAGACCATACCAGACCAGGAGCAGACCAGGACCAGGACCAGGACTGAGAACAGCATCAGACCAGGTCCAGGACCAGGTCTGAGACCAGAACTAGGAACATGACTAAGACCAGGACCAGTCCTTGACGTCTCTCTCCTGTTGCAGGACAGCAGTGCACTGCGGATGTGGAAGAGGAAGTGGTTCGTTTTGTCTGATTTCTGCCTGTTCTACTACAGAGGTAAGAAGTACTGCAGTACTGTAATACTGTTTTACTGCAGTACTGGGAAGTACTACTAAAGTACTCTGATGGACATGAGGACCATGTGGACTGAAGTGTGTCTTATGTGAGGATATTTTTAGTCATAGCACAACTTATGTTTGTCTGCGTCCTCACCCCCCTCCCCTTCTCACCCCCCCACGTCCCTCTCATGCCTCCCTCCCTCCCTCCTCAACCCCCTCACCACCCATTCACTCCTCCCCACATCTATCTCACATGCCTCACTCCCCTCACCCCCTCACCCTCACAGATAGTCGGGAGCTCTCTGTCCTCGGCTCGATACCTCTGCTCAGTTATGAAGTTTGTCCAGTGGAAAAACACGACCACATCAACCGCAAGAACGCCTTCAAGGTACATCTACTTCTACTTCTACTACTACTACTACTACTACTACTTCTACTGCTACTGCTACTGCTACTGCTAGTGCTACTACTAGTTCTACTACTACTACTACTACTCCTGCTACTACTCCTATTGTTGCTACTACTATTGCTACTACTGCCCCTCGCTCACATAGTGGATTTATATGAAGACTATTATTTTACAAAAATATGGCTCCCCGCGTTTGCCCATCTCCCCTCCTCAATCAATCAATCAAATTTTATTTATAAAGCGCTTTTCATACAAAAAGTGTAACACAAAGTGCTTTACAGTTTAGTTAAAAACAATCCAACATGCCCAGCCCTAAACCCTCCTCCCCACAGACCCCCCCAAAACCACATTTATAATTATATATACAACCACATGCGTATACACACACACACATATACACCCACACACACACACATACACACACACACAAGTATAAAGTCATATCAGGTAAAATAGGTAAAACAATAAAAGGAAATGGGGCTGGGAGCAGATGTAACCGGCTGAAGAAGCGTCATCCAAGGAGCCATCTGCACCAGGAGCAGAGAGCCGGCTGCAGCCACAGGCAACGACACACGACCCAGAGGAGAGAGGGGCCCCAGACCCCACCAGGCCCAGGACTCAGACCCCATAGGACCCAGGGGAGAGAGGAGGCCCCAGACCCCCACTGGATCCAAGAGCCAGACCCCCGAAGCCACAGCAGACCCCAGCTCTCAGTGCAGAGGGCTCCTCCAGAGGAAACACTGGGGACACTAAAACAATACAATAATACAATAGAAAGTAGAACAATAAAAAGAAAAATAATAAAAATAAATAAACATAGAATGTGTCTAAAAACATAAATAGATGTACTAAAAAGCAATAATAGATAATAAATACTAATGCTTCAACGCAGTCAAGTGCTCTTCCGGCTGTGTTAATCAGAGATGGGTCACATGTGACAGAGAAAGATGAAATGTTGCAACTTTTTAATGAACATTTCATCTCAGCTGGCTCTCTTTTTGATGTTCTTAATCCTGTACAGCAAACTGCAGGCACTTCTACACCAGATGTCCAGAGTAAATGTTTTGGAGCACAAACATTTGCATTTTCCAAGGTGTCTTCTTCTGAGGTGCACAAAGCTTTACTAAACCTTGACACCAGGAAAGCAGCTGGTCCAGATAAGTTGGACGCTTTGTTTTTGAAATTGGCAGCTGACCTCATTGCTGAGCCGCTGTCACAAATTTTTAATCTGAGTCTTACCAGTCACAAGATTCCTAAAGTGTGGAAATCTGCTTTCGTGCTGCCGCTCCTGAAAACAGGTGATCCATCTGACGTAAATAATTACCGTCCTATTTCCAAATTATGTGTTCTGGCTAAGATATTTGAATGTGCTGTTAGCAATCAGTTGCGATCCTTCCTTGAAGACAACAACATTGTTAATGAATTTCAATCGGGATTCAGGAAGAAGCACAGCACTGTTACAGCCACCATGAAAGTTTTAAATGACGTAATAAGTGCCCTTGACTGCAAGAAATACTGTGCTGCCTTGTTTCTTGATCTTTCTAAGGCGTTTGACACTGTGGACCATAGGTCATTGATAAAAACTCTTTCCAAAATTGGCGTCTCCGTCCAAGCAGCCGAGTGGTTCACTGACTACCTGTCAAACAGGTCACAGTGTGTTCAAGTGTCTGGGTCAACTTCCTCCTTTTTAGAAGTGTCTAAGGGAGTACCACAAGGTTCAGTTTTAGGCCCTCTGTTGTTTTCAATTTATGTGAACAATTTGTGTGATGACCTCCAAAATGCTTCTTACCATCTTTATGCAGACGATACTGTTATTTATTGTTGCTCCTCATCTTTAACAGAGGCCTACGAGCAACTACAAAATGCTTTTAACATTGTACAATCTCGTCTGCACTTCTTGAAACTAGTTTTGAATGCTAAAAAAACAAAACTAATGATCTTTTCAAATCAAAAAGAAAGAAAGGGGAGTATTCCTGGAATTTTCACTACTCAGGGTAAAGAGATTGAGTGTGTGGATAGTTCCAAGTATTTGGGATTTGTTATTGACTCTGGACTATCTTTTAAATTACACATTGCAGCTCTGGTCAGAAAATTAAGGGTTAAGATAGGATTTTATTTCAGAAACAAGTCGTGTTTCACCCTTAGAGCCCGAAAACTATTTGTTTCTGCCACTTTTTTACCCTTAATTGATTATGGTGATGTTATTTATATGTCTGCATCAGCTCAGTGTCTGCAGTCGCTAAATTCTGTGTATCACAGTGCTTTGAGGTACGTGACGGGATGTAGTCGCCTCACACATCATTGTGAACTTTATGCTAAAGCCCAGTGGCCCTCACTGGCAGTGAGGAGGTACACACACTGGATGCTGTTGGTGTACAAAGCTCTTCTCGGTTTGGTTCCTGTCTATCTGTGCTCCCTTCTTCAGAGAACCAAGAGCCTGTACAGTTTACGTTCCAATGATTCTTACCTTCTGACTGTTCCACGTGTCCGGACGGAGCTGGGAAAGCAGGCATTTAGGTATTCTGCTCCCGCTGCATGGAACAGTCTGCAGTCAGATCTGAAGTGGTCCAAATTGTTGTCTTTAAACGCATTTCGTTCACTTCTTTTTAAAAAACAGTTCTCAACCATTGCCAAGTGCTCATGCTTTTAAACTTAACGTGTTATATAGTTGCCTTTAGTTTTTTATTTTTGATCATGTACATGTTTTGTAGTTTCACTGTTTGTACTTTGTAGTATTATTGTATTGTATTATTATTGTATTGTTTTACTGTTGCTCTGTAAAATGCCTGTGACGTGTGCTACAGACCTCTTGGCCAGGACTCCCTTGAAAAAGAGATCTCGATCTCAATGGGTATTTTCCTGGTTAAATAAAGGTTAAGAAGTAATTGTAAACCTGAAATGTTCATTTTGGGAAGACCAGAGAGCAGGGCATTACAGTAGTCAATGCGACTGGTGATAAAAGCATGCATCAGCGTCTCCGTGTTGGCCCGAGAGAGAATGGGGCGGACTCTGGCGATGTTCTTTAAATGATAAAAACCTATTTTTGTGATATTCTTTATGTGAGGAATAAAAGTCAGCTCAGAGTCAAAGATTACGCCCAGGTTTCTCACTTGTGATGATGGATTAAAAGAGTGTGATTGGAGTTTCGGTAAAAGTTTCTCTCTCTGGGCCTCAGGACCGATGACTAAAACCTCAGTTTTGTCCTGGTTGAGCTGAAGAAAGTTTTCTGCCATCCAGGATTTCAGGTCTAAAATGCAGTTAAAAAGAGCATTCATTGGCCTGGTGTCGTCAAGAGACATGGAGATGTACAGCTGAGTATCATCTGCATAGCTGTGGAAGTCAATTCCATGTCTCCTGATGACACCGCCAAGAGGGAGCATGTACAGGTTAAAAAGGACTGGACCTAAAATGGAACCCTGGGGCACACCACATGTGATTTTATGGACCTGAGAGGAGCAGGTATCCAAACCTACCATGAAGGATCTGTCTGTTAAATAAGAAGTGAACCATTTGTGGACAGCACCAGAGAGGCCGAGGTGTTCTAGCCGTGATAAAAGAATGGTGTGGTCTACTGTGTCGAAGGCAGCGCTAAGATCCAGTAGAACCAACACGGTCACCATTTTAGAATCATAATTTAGTCTAAAATCATTTAAAATCTTTAAAAGAGCAGTCTCTGTGCTGTGGTTTGCCCTAAATCCTGATTGAAATTTCTCTAAAATTTGCTGCTGATCTAAAAAGGCATTGAGCTGGGTAAAAACAAGTTTTTCTAAAATTTTGTTTAAAAATGGTAAGTTGGACACCGGTCTGTAGTTGTTAAAATCATTAAAATCCAAATTGCTCTTCTTCAGAAGGGGTCTCACCACAGCCGCTTTGAAGGCTGCAGGAAAGACCCCAGTCTGAAGAGAGCAATTCATCAGGTTTAAAAGCTCCTCTCTAAAAGATTCATAAAATGACTTAAAAAATGGAGTGGGGACTGGATCTAAAAGACATGTGGTGGGCCTCACTGAGGAGAAAACTTTATCAAGCATCTCAGCATCAACCAGGACAAAACTGTCCAGTGTTTCCTCTGGTGAAGACAAACAATCAGATGTGTTAAAAACAGTAGTGCGGTTGGATAAAATGTTACATCTGATTGTGTTTATCTTCCCCATGAAATGGACTGCAAAATCCTCACAGAGGGAGTCTGTGGGGGTTAAAAGAGACATGCTAAAATCAGGGTTTAAAATGGTGTCGATGGTTGAAAAGAGGATTTTTGGATTATTTTTGTTCTGGCTGATTAGTTTTGTAAAGTAATTGTTCCTGTTTTTCCTGATTGTGTTGTTGTAAAAAGAGCACATGCTCTGGGGGCCCTCAGAGCATGTGCACTGAACATGGATCTATTATAATAATAACTGGATAGGGTATTACTAGCTTGGAGCTGAAGGACCCATGTGCTCGGAGCATTCTCGCGGTACTGCAGACTAAACCGGACTAAATTCACGTGGGCTACCCAGACATTTTCCCCATAGAACTCAATGTAAACTAAAACAGCGCAACCTCAGCTGACAGAAAACTTACAGCTTTCATAAAGGTCGGATTTTGTGGGAATTTGGGTGTCGCTTGTCATCCTGAACTTTTTTTCTTCTTAAATCCTTCGGTTTTCTTTAAATCCACACTTCAGTGCCACAAACTCTGCTCATCTGGCTCCTTCTCCAACTCACGGTCTAGCTCCGCTCTGATCAGCAGCTCTGATTGGTCAGAGCGCAGCCAAGCCCCTCTGTGCACGTGCATGAGAGCCACACATGTGTATTTGGTGCAACGCATCATGGGAGATCATCCACTGCTTAGAACCGGGAGGACCAGACGATGCCCAAATATAGCGAGTGATATGACGAGTTCAGCTAATACGTCAGCGACCGTGTCGGCACATGCGCCACTGAGCACAAACCATTAATTTGAATACGGCGCCATCTTGGATCGCCGGGGCTTGGCGCTGACATGCTTGCACTACCACTCCTAGCCGGTAGGGTTGGACCCAGAAAGAGAAGTATTAAATGCTAAAGTTGGCTCTTGGCCCAACGTCTCAATGCTGAGGGAAGTATATTTTTTTGGACCAATCTAGTTTAGCCGCTGTGGACTTTTGAAGGCACTTAAATGAATGGGACTCATGCCGGCTGACTCATACGCAAAAGCGTTTTTTCCTCTGCGGCCATTTTGAAACTGCCCACAGAAGGTGAAAGTGGTGGCACATTAGTTTCAACGGCGGAGATAGGCATGACTACATACGTTGATATTTACAGTCTATACCTCAGACTCAATCTGGTCCTCAGACTCTGGCCCCTTGAGATAATGAGGTGCGGCTGACATCAGATACAGGAATAGCTCCTGTATGCTGGGTCCAAACATTCCTCCTCTCACCTCCACGCAAGACCAGATACCAGAGAGAGACCAAAAACCAGAGTGTGACCAGAGAGAGACCAGAGAAAGACCAGAAAAAGACCAGAGAGACCAGAGATAGAACAAAGAGATAGAGAGACGTGCAAAAGTTTTCGTTAAATTTGTTCTTTTTCTCTTTGGACTCTCAATACTTGTTTTGACATGCTGTTTCTATGTCCCGCCTCCTGTCGAGTCCTGTCCTATGGCTGCGTTTGAACGTCCAATGGAAGGGCGCCGTTTGAGTAGGTACTGCTCCGTCTTGCCTCTGGACCAATCAGTGCATGCTTTGGTGGACGGTGTAATCATTGGTGACGTCATTTTTGGTCCTTGTTCAATTCATTCGAATTGTCTTCAAATGCACATGCTTCATCTAAGCCTAAATGTCCTCGGCTCCTAGTTGCTTTTACAATGTTCTAAATATAGTTTTCTGTCTTGTAGGTGTGTCCAGCCAGACACAGCTCTGTGATTGGCCTGTTCAAACTCAGCAACTCTGTGATTGGCCCATTCAAACTCAGCCGTTCTGTGATTGGTCGGCAGGCAGAGCACGCAGGGATGAGGACGTACTTTTTCAGCGCTGAGACACAGGAGGATATGAACTCTTGGATCAAAGTCATGAACCAGTCTTCCCTGGTCCAGAGTCGAGACCAGGGCCAAGTCCAGACCCAAGTCCAGAATCCAGACCAGGACCGAATCCAGATCCAAGTCCAGACCCGTGCCCAGAGTCTAGAGCAGGACCGAGTCCAGACCCAACTCCAGAGTCCAGACCAGGACAGAGTCCAGACCCAAGTCCAGACCCGAGTCGAAAATACTGTTCTCAAAGGCCAGAACGGGATCCACTGTGGAACCAACACCTCAACTGACAGGTGATAAACCACACAATCTGTATCACAGTAACAGTCTCTATCACAGTCATAGTCTGAATCACAGTCTATTTAACAGTCACAGTCTGTATGACCTCAGTCTGCTCAGATCTTCAGAGGAGCAGGTCTCTTTGGGTCCTGAGCTGAACATAACCACACAACAGGCCACGCCCCCAGAAGAGACAGGCTCCACCTATTCACAGAACAGGTACCTCCTCCGCCACAGTCACCTCCTCTCCTTCAGTTTGAGCTATCTGTACCTAATCTCTGGTCTCTAGTCCAGTGTTTTTCAACCACTGTGACTTTTGTCTAAAAATAAAAGCATCTGCCGTTGGCGAGTGCTGACTTGTTTTGACCCGTAGAGTAGGTGGTAGCAGATAGCTAATTACTTTTAGATGAAAGAATTGGACTCGACCACAGGATGTAACAGGTAGCGGGGTCAGAGGCATTGTGGCGAGTGAGAAGTGAAAGTGATTGAGACTTTTTTGAAACAGGATTCCCATTTCTGCCATTTCTGAACAGGATTCACCACAACAGGCCATTTTTCTTATTTTATTTTGCATACTTAAGAGCCTTTTGGGCTGAGAGTGGATTTTTATTTAGATTTTTTCCTCACAGTTAGTGCCACTTTACTCCCAAACTCTTGTTAACTCATTTTATTGAGAAATATTAAACAAAGCTTAATGTCAAGGCCTGGATGTCTATTTAAGCACTTTGATAATTACTTTATATTGGTAATATAGGCTGCAGAGTTTATCTTTTTACATTTTCTCCTGATAGTGTGCCATGAGATCTTTTCAATAAAAAAACTGTGCCTTGGCTCAAAAAAGGTTGAAAAACACTGTTCTAGTTTAAACCTGGTCTCTGGTCTAAACCGGTCTATGGTCTAAACCCGTTCCCTGGTCTCTGCTCTAATCCCGTGTCTCAGGTTCAGTCCGATCCTGGAGCCAAACGGCATTGCGGCAGGAACTTACCAGATAACTCCGCCCCCAAGCACGCCTCTAGGAAGTCTGCACAAACAGGCCACACCCATTGGGAGGCAAGCCACACCTACAGGGAAACAGGCCACACCCACCAGGAGACAGTCCACGCCCACCAGGAAACAGGCACTGCCCACCGGGAGGCAGGCCACGCCTACCGGGACACAGGCCACGCCCCCGAACAACAGCCTGAGCCGGAGCAGTGTCAGAGAGACCGTCCAGAGCTGGGTCCAAGTGCAGAGAGACGAGACTAGAGGGTGAGACCACAGACTTTATAAGGGCAAGGTCTGTTGCCATGGTTCATTTCAGGGCCCGGCTGTTTCAAAAATGTCCCTGTGGGTTATTTTTAGAACAAGCCAGGTCATTTATTATCAGAGGCCCTCTCCAGGTCCTGGTGCTGATCCTCTCCAGGTCAAGGTCCTTGTTAAAACTCTAAACATGGAGGTAGGGAAAAGGAATGTAACATAAAAAAACAGTTGTAAAAACAAAGAGGCTCTAACAAGTTTTGCATGAAAGGAACAAAAGGTCTCCTCAAAAGGTCTTCCCACCCTTACCTATGGTCCTGAGCTGTGTGGCAGGACAGACCTGATGGAGGACACAAGCGATCCAAATGAGCCTATTCCAGAGTGGGTGGGGAGAGCTTAGAGAGAGGGGGAGGAGTTAAATCACACAGGAGCAGCTCAGAGTAGAGCCGCTGCTGTAAAGTTCAGCTAAAACACTTGTGTTTCTACAGAAGGACTCCTACTGCTCAGTTCAGCCACATCGAACCTCCACAGCTGAAGTGAGTAGTACTACTACTACTACTGCAACAGCTACCACGACACCGACTACTACTTCTACTACTATGACCCCTACTATTACTACTACTAATTCCAGTGACGTGCGGCGAGGTTGGTGATTGGTGAGGCACTGACTTCCTCCCAATCAGATTTACATATCAACAACACCTACAGAGCGGCTTATTCACAAATTGTTTGGCAATAGCGGGTTGTGCTTCATGTCTGCCCCCTACCCTGAGGTTCGCCTCATATGGTGATATGCCGTGGTTGAGTGCAATAAAGACCCATATTTGTTGACAAAAAACACAATTAATGACCCAACAGCTTAACTGTAGAGATGTTGTTTGTAAATGAAATATGTTTGAACTTTATATACCGCAATTAAACGAGAAAACAGTACGACCCACCGCACAGGCTTCTCTCTTTGTGAGTTAAGGATTTTACATCACCTAAGTGAGGCTTGTCTCACAGTGCGCCGTTCTGTCAAATATAAGATCAATATGACGAAAATCTGCAATTTAAAGTTAAAAATATATAAACTAAGACAAAGTTACATTGAAATAAAACAATAGCATAAATCATGGTAAATAGTGACCAAGTATTATTGGTTCCATTTTATTATTTTTTCTCCCCTCTTGTCACTGACTACTTCTCCTACTCCACTTCAACTATTGTCTACATACACATACATATACTGTTCCACAGCGCTCCCTCAGAGTACCGGTACTCTCAGCACCGTCTCTCTCACCTCGGTTTGACGGACGGCGAGACATTGGACCCACTGTGGCGTCTGTGTGAGTGGCAGCAGCGACATCGTTATCGCCATGGCAACCCCACTGCGCCGCTCTACAGCCCCGTCCCTTTGCATCCCTACGGGCCCCGTCCCCTTGCCACAACAGACCAATCACGAGCTCCAACGCCGCGCTGCATTGAGGTCCCGCCCACCGCCGCCGAAGTCCTGCCTTCTCTGATGTCCCAACCAATCAGCCGCAGGCCTCACATCCCAGCAGAGAGACGGACAGTCAGGCCGACCAATCACAGAGGAGCACCGGGCAGGGCGGCACCACGCAGGAGCCAATCACAGTTCTTCAAGGTAAAAAATATACAGTAAGACAAATAAGTGATGTTCATCAGAGGAACACAGCTGTGAGAGGGTTGTTCTGAGGTCCAGGACATGCAGATGTTCAATTGGTCAGAGGTCCAGGACTTGCAGATGTTCAATTTGTCAGAGGTCCAGGACTTGCAGATGTTCGGTTGGTCTGAGGTCCAGGACTTGCAGATGTTCTGTTGGTCTGAGGTCCAGGACCTGCAATGTTTTGTTGCTCTGAGGTCCAGGACTTGCAAATGTTCTGTTGGTCTGAGGCCCAGGACCAGATATTCTGACTCAGACTTCTCTTCTCAGACGTTAACACTCGATCGTCGTTCTGCTCCAGTCTCTTCGTACATGAAACACACTGTGTCTGCTCCGAGTCTGAGCGGGAGGAACGTGAGTACACACACACACACACGCACACACACACAAACACACACAAATACACACACTTGCACACACACAGGGCACACTCAGGTACATAGGTGCGCAACAGCCAGTGCTTAATTTGAGCCGGAACATGTTCCGGCACCTCTGCACGTGTGCAAGATCAAAATACATGAATTCTATTGAAAATACTGCGCGTAGGCTAGCGCATTGAATCTTGCCTTGTATTTCGACAAGGGCGAAAACGACCCAGGTAGGTTAAGTAGGGCTTCTTTTGTTCCGCCTTCTCATTTACAGTTGGTAAAAATAAATATGTGCTACTATTTAATCTGATATACTTATTGAAAATGTTGTGTTTGTCGAAGCGTTTCCTTGGAGGTTCCCGGGTTCTCATTGGTTCAGAGCGTTGCTGCAGTAGGATGACTCTCTTATTATAGCTATGCGAGAAGATGAAATGGTATGAATTTTAAACCACATTCAGAATGTGCTATTCAGAAGCTGCAGTGATTAAATTTGTCCACTAGATGTCAATGTCACAAGTAGTTTTAGCAAGCTCAGGGGCTTCGACACATTTGAAACAGTCTGGCAAAGAAAGCTTCAGTGTGTTAATATTTACTCTCTATAGTTATGGGGCTTCATATGTCCATCACTAAGGGACTGTAACGGAATATCATTACTCAAAAATAGTCCCCCCCCCTTTGGGACTCACCGGTACAACTCATCTGCTGCGTTCCGGGACCTCCCATGTTGCAAATTAAGCACTGGCAACAGCTGCATGCAGAGTGATTCTGGTGTAAGGAGCAGCCATGCCACACGAGCTCTACAGCCACAGGGAGCAGCCACCCCACAAAAGCTCCACAGTGTGAGATACTGTGGTTCTGTTTCAGCCAGACGAGCTCACGCTGCTCCTGATCCAGTTGCGTCGACATAAGTCCAAGATGGCCGCCCTCAGACGGAATATTCACTTCCTGTCCAATAACCCGCACCTCTCCCCTAGCCCCGCCCCCAAGGTGCAGTGTTGCACGTGTGTCCAGTAAAAGCTGTTCGACTTTGGTCTCTCTCTGGTCTCTCTCTCTGGTCTCTCTCTCTGATCTTTCTCTCTGATCTTTCTCTCTGATCTTTCTCTGGTCTCTCTCTGGTCATGCTCAGTCCCCGTCATGTGACCTGTGTCGTCCAATAGTCACGTCTGTTTTTGATTTTCATCTGTGCCAACATTTTCATCTCTCAGTGTGTGTGTGTGTGTGTGTGCGTGTGTACGTTTGTGTGTCGTGTGTATATGTGCTTGTGTGTGTCTATGTGTGCTTCTGTGTCTGTGTGTGTGTCTATGTGTGTTTCTGTCTGTGTGTGTGTGTCAACAGGTGGATGATTCGTATCTGCAGTTGAAGAACGACCTGGAGTATTTGGACCTGAAGGTGAGAACACAGACTAGGGTGTGTTTTTGTGTGTTCTAACCTGTGTATTTGTCTGTGTGTGTTTAATGGGTGTGTGTTTTAACCTATATGTGTGTCTCAGATCCGCTCTCTAGATTCTCTGGTCTCTGCAGTTCACACTCTGTTACTGCACTGCACTGCTGGGCGCCCCCAGGCCTCCATGGGCCCCCAGCCTTCCAGGGGCCCCCAAGCCTCCATGGGCCCCCAGCCCTACAGGGGGCCACAGCCCTCCAGGGGGCCACAGCCAAGGGCACAAGTAAGATCCTAACCCTAAGGCCTAGATACACAGTCCTGTGCTGAGCCACCGCTCCCTCATGTCTCCATGGCGATGGCTGCCTCATGTCTCCAATGGCGATGGCTGCCTCTTGTCTCCATGACGACAGCTGCCTCACGTCACTATGGTAACGGCGGACCCTGGGCGGGCAGCAGTGCATGTGTCAGATGTTTGTTTCTGCTAAAACTTCTCATTTTGTGTTGTATCATTGTTGAAGTGTGTCTGCTCTCTCATTGGCTGCTCTGTGAAAGCTTCCCTCTCATTGGCTGCTCTGTGAAAGCTACCCTCTAATTGGCTGCTCTGTGAAAGCTGCCCTCTAATTGGCTGCTCTGTGAAAGCTGCCCTCTCATTGGCTGCTCTGTTAAAGCTGCTCTCTCATTGGTTTGTTGTTTGTTCAGTTGGTAGGAGGCAAAGTGCAGTTGGAGCCAAGGACGGCACTTAGAGTGGCGGAGAGCGACATCGATGTGAGTGAGAACCAACCACTGAGCATGAGGACCATACAGACAACCATGAGGGTAGTGATGGCAATATGAAGCCCCATGAAGCATTGAGCGTTTGCAGCCTATTACTCGGCCCATGGTTCGAAGGCTCGAGGTGACTCATGCTCCACTACGCCACAATGTGGACAAATTATATATAACACTCTTAAGTGCTTACAATGAATGGTGGGGTCTAATATGAATATTGATATTTACAGTCTATGGTCTAAACATGTTGTGTTTGAAATTATGCTTCATGAACTATGAACTAGTATTTGAGGCTTTCAGTCAATTGTGTTGATACAAACATATTGCATCCAAAGAAATACAGTTTCACAAAAAGTTTTTAATTGAGGAAAAACTACCATGAGATGGATTAATTAAACCATTTTTTTCCAATAATTAAATGTATATAATTTGCAAATACAAAAATGACTTTGAGTCTAGCGGGATTCGAACCAAATGTCTGTGGTTTCAGAGTCCAGCAACTACCGACTGCGCTCCACAGCACGCACACACACGTACGAACACAGAGACAGTCGGGTACAGCTGCGGATCACAAAGTACCTGTCGAGGCGATCTCTCCAAACTATATGAAGCGCCTCAGTAAACCGTGACGTGAGGCTTGGAACGTCACCACATACGTCGCCAACACACGCCTCGACCCACGCTTAAAAAAAAAAAAATCCCCTTGATTACTTGGTACACGCTTTGAAGACTCGACACGCTCAGCACATCACTACATGAGGGTCTGGTCCACATGGGTCTGGTGCACATAGGTCTGGTCTAGTCTGGTCCACATGGGTCTGGTCTAGTCCTGTCCACATGGGGCTGGTTCAGTCTGATCCACATGAGTCTGGTCCAGTCTGGTTCACATGAGTCTGGTCCAGTCTGGTCCACAAGGGTCTGCTCTTGATCCACATGGGGCTGGTCCTCATAGGTCTGGTCCACATGGATCTGGTCCACATGGGTCTGGTCTAGTCTTGTCCACATGGGGCTGGTCTAGTCTGGACCACATAGGTCTGTTCTTCTCTTTGTTTCAGGTTAAGTTGAGTCGTTTGTGTGAAAAAGATAAAGCTGTGAAGGACCTGGATGCAAAGATCAGCGCTCTGCAGCTTGAGAAGGTGACGGCAGTTTGAGAAACGTGTGCATGGAGCCTAAAGAGTTAGCTTTAATCCTCATAGAGCCTGATTGAGTCTTGGTCTGTGTCTGGTCTAGGTCAGGTCTGAGTCTATGTCTGAGTCTGGGTCTTGTCTGGGTCTGGGACTAAAGACTGCCCTCTCTCTGCTCAGGAGGAGTTGGAGGCTACACTAGCGTTGTGCCACCAGCAGATGGAGCTGTCACTTCACACAGGATCTCCTCACATCGCAGTCCATCAGAAAATCCTTCAAGAAGAACTGGTCCAAGTCCGGGCCCAGATCTCCAGAGGATCCACGGTAAGACCAGGGTCTAGAAGACCCGAGACAGTGGACTAGAAACAAGGGACTAAGGACCAGAGTCCAAGGACAAGAAACAAGGGTCTTGACCAGTGGGGGCGGGTCCCGGCTCAAAAGTGGCCAAAAAGATGTGCGCTGACATGCTGCAATACCACCCCGGGCCGATGGGGGTGGACCCGGAATAAGAATTAGCCAATGCTAACATATAGCATCTTCTTACCTCTCGAAAACGTCTTTACAGGATGGTTCAAAGGTTGGCTCTTCGCCCAAAGCTCCGTTCCACATGTGTGTCAATGCTGAGGGGGGTGAATTTTTTGGACCAGTCTAGTTTAGTCGATGTGAATTTTTGAAGTCACTTGTTTAAATGAATGGAGCTCGTGCCGGGTGGCGCATGCGCAGATGCGTTTTTTTTAATTTTCCAGCCCCCGTGGCCATTTTGAATCACTCCACGAGAGCCCAATTTTTGGCCCATTAGTTAGAACGGCGGAGATAGGTGTGACTACGTCCGTTAATGTATACAGTCTATGGTCTAGACCAGAGACAAAGGACTGTGGACCAGAGACCAGGGAATCGAAACTAGGGTCTAGACCAGGCAGAGACTAGAGACGGGCAGGGTTTAGACCAGAGAGCAGGTACGAGAGAGCAGGAATTAGAGACCAGGGACCAAGGTCCAGATCAGAGACTAGACTTTTTGAAAAATTCTAACTTTGAGACAACTGCTTTTGCCAGCTGTAAAAAAAAAAAAAAAAAGATTTGATTTCGTCTCACTGTAAAAGGTAGGGCTGGAGACACCTCTCTGGTCTCACTCTGGTCTCTGTTCTGTCACTCTGGTCTCTTTAAAATTTCTGGGATCTCTCTGGTCTCAGTCTCTGGTCTCTGATCTTTGGTCTCAGTTGCTGGTCTCTGTGGTCTCTCTTGCTGGTCGTGGGTCCCAGCCTCTGCTCTCTGGTCTCTACTCTCTGGTCACAGGTCACAGGTCTAAGTCTCTGGTCTCTGCTTTCAGGACTGGTCTAAGACTCTGCAGGAGTTTGTTCTTCTGCAGAACTCTGTGGAAGATCTGAGACGTGATCTTCAGGACAAGATGGATAAGTGCAGCACAGAGGTCAGTGTGGTGGCCATTTTGTGTCCCTCAGGTCTCAGCCATTTTGTGTCCCTCTGGTCTTTGTGTGCTTCTTAATAGTTTTTTGTACACTGATTGACTGCAGCATGGATGAATAGCCCAAGACAATTTTCCAATGTCTGGGACAATAAAGTTAATCTTGAATCTTGAATTTTAACCATGGATGTATTGGTCTAACAGAGGTTTCATGTTTCAGTCGGAGCGTGTCGAGCTGCAGAAGGAGCTGTGGAGACTTGAGGACGTACTGGCTGGACTCAGACCAGAGCAGAGACCAGAGACCTCAGGTAGGCAAGAGACCGGACCAGATAAGAGACCTGAGACTAAAACAGAGACTGGACCAGAGACCGGTGTAACGACTGTGGTGTAACACTGCTACTGTTTTGATACCAGTACCTTTCTTGTTGAGTTGAACTGCCGCATACGTCACTTTACTGACGTAGGTCAATGACGCGTCCTGTGGCTAACTCGACAGCTAATAAATCCATGCTTTCAACTTAGATTTTGTTTATTTTTTCAATTATCACCCCGACAGACCAGTTGCATGCTAACAGATATCGAGTTAGCCACAGGACGCTATCAAAACAGTAGCAGTGTGGTTTCACAGGAGCAGTTGACCTTCCTTTAAACTTTTAAAGCAATTCACGGACTTAATGTCCGCCATCTTGGTTTGCTTTGGCTGCCATGAGAAGCGCATGCGCAGGTTTGCATTATATCATAAACAGCTGAGGCAGTGTATCTTGACAAAGCAACGTTACACCGGACCAGAGACCGGATCAGAGATCAAAACGGAGAGGGATTCTTTCTTTAAATCTGTAAAGATTTGTTTATTTGGTATTTTCTGATTGGTCGACAGGGAGGAAGTCAGTGCCTATAGCGTTTTCAACCGACTTCCAGACCAGCAGGGTAAGGACCAAAGCCATCTGACCTCATGTGATCTCAGACCATGTGATCTCAGACTATGTGACCTCATGTTCCCACAGTGCGAGGCTTCACCCAACATGCCCCCTCCACGCCCCCCTCTTCCTTCTGGTTTCTGTGACAACGACGCCGTGCCTGAAGTCCCGCCCCTTCCCCGAGAATCTGCGGTGATTCGCCACACCTCAGTGAGAGGACTGAAGCGCCAATCAGACGAGAGGAGGCGGGACAAAGAGGACTGGATGGTGAGTCATTCAGACGAGAGGAGAAACATTGGGAGGCCCATTTTGAGAGAGGGGACCCATTCTCATGAATGGGCAAGCTGTAGATCCAGGGCTGAGGCTGTAGGCCACGTGTGGGATATGGTCATCATGTTCTTCTGTCTGCAGGATCTCCGATCCTTTCTCAGTGAACCTGACCTGGTGCCACTGGAGACGGACCTCACTTCAGGTCAGTGAACATCTACTTTATCTGTGTCATGTCCCTGAAACTACAAACAGGATTAAAAACAAACTAAAAACAGGACTACAAACATGACTACAAACAGGACTACAAACATGACTATACACAGGTCTACAAACATGACTACAAACATGACTACAAACATGACTACAAACAGGACTACAAACATGACTATACACAGGTCTACAAACATGACTACAAACATGACTACAAACATGACTACAAACAGGACTACAAACAGGACTACAAACAGGACTACAAACATGACTACAAACATGACTACAAACATGACTACAAACAGGACTACAAACATGACTACAAACATGACTACAAACATGACTACAAACAGGACTACAAACAGGAATACAATCAGGACTACAGGAATACACACAGGACTACAAACAGGACAACTCAGCGTGACAGGGCATTTTGGCTCAGATGAACAGTGTTTTGTCAGGTCTGGGAGGATCGCCGTCGGCCTTCGTGACACTGAGACAAGGAGAGCACAAGGTCTGTACCATGTGAGCAGGACATTAAAGCTGGGGTACCTGACTTTAACCTTGTAAATAATGATTGTTTGCATGTTAGAAAGAGTAGTGCTGTCCTCTTCATAGTATCATTGTCCAAACCCTGTGCATACCATATCTGACTCTTTTGGCTGAGAGCTAAATAGCTGAATGAGTGTGATCCTCTCTTTTTCACTTTTCTGTCTGAAAAAAACTCCTCCCAGCTTTAAAGTGGACATATCGTGTTTTCAAATAATTTATTTTTACATCTAAATCATTAATTTGTGGCCTATATAAAGCGTAACTGCAATGCCTGGGTCTGAGTCTCATTATTTGTATCTCCACGGGCCTTTCTTCTACACCTGTTCTGAGGTGCGTCTGAGAGCAACCTGTTTTGGTGCTATCTCTTTAAATGCAAATGAGGTGCTTTTGACCACGCCCCCATTCAGGTGACACAGGTTCAATTCCACCCCGAGCGGCCATTTTTGTAGTTTCTAAGCACAGATACAATTATCTCATAGAAACTTCTCATTACATCGCAAACATGAAGCAGTCCTTCCTCATTGACTGAAAGCAAATGTTAATTTTCATTCTTAGTCCAGTCTTATTATCGACTCTTCTCTTTTTAGCTTTGGGATCCATGCGCACAGTCTATGATGCTCACATGCCGGTTTGCTTACAACAGCGGCCGCCTGGCGCGGGCCTACGTCGCAGGATATGACGCACTACGTTGACAGAAATGTTTACATTGAATATTACTTATGCATAATTTTACAACATTTAAAAACGTTAAGAACGTTTTTCCTTCTACAGAAGGAAAGAGACTTATGCGCCTCCTGAGCAGCAGGTTGCCGACTCCTAGTTTATACAGTATGTGGAAGCAAATACTGTAGAGGATCAGGATATGTGCAGTTTCAACAATAAAATAAAATGCAATAGTCTACATTACAAGAGAGTAATGAACATGTCTCAGAGTGAGGGAGGTGGACACAGACAACACTATTGTTTGTTACAAGGATGAGAATTGGTCAAAAAAGACTGAAATGCATATTGTCAGCCATTTGCTGGCTCTAAATCTGTTTAATTTGTTCACAACATATTACTTTTGGGCTCAGACATGAACTTTTAATGCAATGCAAAATGTAGGTATCAGAGCTTTATTTAGGGCGTTTAATCGCGCTTCGAGAGGAGAGGGGAGACGCGGACTGTTTCCTGCAGCAGTGTATTTATTGGGTGCACAGATTACTCAAAGACACGCATGGTCCTGTGCGCGTTTATGGGGTTGGGTACATGGCCACATTGAGGCTGCGCGCTCAGCCACAACGCGGTGGAGCGGCTGCGAGCGGCTGGACTCACAGCTTCTCGCAGCCGCTGGACGCGGAAGCTGCTCATTACAAAGCGGCCGCAGATGCCCCGGAACACTGCGGCCGCTGAGGTGGTGGAATCCCGTTCGAGTACATACAGCAGGTGCCCTGCGGATACGCGCGCCCCGCTTGAACAATTCTCAACGGATTTACACTTCTCATAAACATGTGTTTTGTATGAGGCAGACAGACCGGCCCAAATATGGGCATCGGCCCTTTGGGCATTGCCCGGTACGCCCGATGGCCAGTCCAGCCCTGTGCGCTGGCATCCTTGAGCTTGGACTACAAATTCAAAGTGATGCACAGAAGAGGAGGGCTGGGCCGAAGTGTTTTGTTAGACGCCCATGCCCTTATATAGCAGTCTCGCTGCAAATACTGTGACGTAATAATTCTAAACACGTAATAGAGAATGGCAAAATCAGAACGGGTTGAAAAATCTTACCTAAACAGAATATGAAGTGTTCTCTGCAACCCATGAAGAGACTGATTTCAACTTTTTTGCACTTCTAGAGGCTCCAACTACACAACATAAGGCATTTAAGGCACAAAAAGTGGATTTTTCATGATATGTCCCCTTTAAAGTTACCTGCTTCGGCTTTAATGTCACGTACCCCAACGTTAACATTACGTATCCCAGCTTTGAAGTTCTTACAGTTCTCTGTAAGAAAGACTTTGTTCAGTCCTAAAGTGTCTTGTGTCTTAGGAGCGTCCAAAAAGCGCCATCGGAAACCCTGCCTCCTCTACAGACACGCCTAGCTCCGTCCAATCCCACGGCGAGGTGTGTGCCAAAGCCCCGCCCCCCACGCCCAAACGCACCAGCAGCCGCCATCGCCCCCGGCAACTCAGACAGGAAATGACACGCCAGGGGTGGGCAGAGACTCACGTCGACTGATCCTGTGGGAGGGGCCTATTCAAATGAGAGTCTCATGTTTCTCCTCCTACTTGATAATGGACTTTTACATCAGGACACAGCAAAGAACCAAAGGGTCAGGGAGAGAGAGAGAGAGTCCTCTGAAGTTCTCACAGCGGTGCACACAGGCCACATTAGTTTCCTTTAGAGTTTAACTAAGGGTAACCTGATGGGATAATAGCGGTTATTTGATGTTGTATATGATGAGTATACAAAATGCGCAGGAGAAAAGCACAATTGCACAAAACAATCCATGAACCAGCGAGTCCACAAAAGCTGAACTGCAAGGTAGAGAGGGACCAGTGTACTGGCAAATATCATATATGCTCTATATTTATTTCTAAAAACACCAATAATTCTAAATCTCATTTTATATATTTTAAAATAACATGAAATCTCTCTTGTTTGAAGTTCGTATTTGTTTTAAAAACAGAACATTGATAATAAGATGCTCACTAAGGGTTAATATATAGATACATGTGTCTGTGCGTCTGTGTTTGTATGTCTGTGTATATATTATATTTATAATTGTCTGTAATACAATGTCTGCACCAAGTCAGACTGGTGTTAGCTTGATGCCTTTGTTTTCTATGGGAGATGCTAACAGCGCTAACCTGCACTGGACTAACCTCAAAACTGCACTTCCCATGAATCACCGCGGCCTGTGAACTTTTCAGCAATAGAACTTTGTTTACTTTGGTTTTTACGACAAAGAAACAGGAGACAAAAAAACCAGACTAGAAATGAGAATCTGTTTCCAAAGCTCTGGTGAAACCGGACTGCTCAATTCGTCCAGTTTAATGAGACACATGTAAACCTGTGTTGTTATTGAGGTGTAACTGCGTTTACACTGCATGTAACCACAGAAACCAGATCCTACAGAGACAAGGCCAGCAGATGCATTCAAGAGCATTGGGGAAAGCCCCTTTGATAGTAGAAATGTAATTGTTTGGACACATGGTCTGGTCTCTGCTCCGGTCTCTGGTCTGGTTACGGCTCCTGTTATTTCGTCTGAATCCAAATGTTGTTTTTAACTGTACTTAATAAACTTTGGCTTCTGTTCTGCTGTTTTCGCACGTTTTTTTATCCGTACTTCCTGGTTGGTATGGTGGGTGTGGCCTGCGTGTGCATTCCCCTTTTCTTGTTGCCGTGTGACCAGAGTTAGCGCTGTGCACAGTTCTAACACTAACACGCTACAGGCACACTACAGGGATCACATCATCAGGAGCTACACTGGTGTCTCTGTAGAGCTGTCATCAGGAGCTACATTAGTGTCTCTTTGATCTCTTCGCTCCAGTTTTCCAGACCTTACAAAATCCAGGTCCCTCAGACTCTGGTCCCAGATCCAGACCAAGTCCTGAGTCCAGAAGATGAAGATGAACGCCGCCAGAGAGCAGACCGGATCCGGAGCCTTCTCTGCAAAGCCAGGTCTGAATCCGGTCTGAACCAGGTCTAAACCAGGTCAGAACCAGGATAAAACAAGGACTAAACCAGGACTGAACCGAAGTCTAAACCAAGACTAAAATAGGTCTAAACCAGGACTGAACCAGTGTGGACCAGGTCTGGGCAAGGTCTGAACTAAAGTCCACTCTGGAAGTGTGCCTCTTGGCGGTGTTCTGTGCTCTATGGGTGCTTCTGCTTACAGGTCTCTGGACACTCAGCTAGATGCCTCTGAACTGGACTTGGTTTTACTTCAGCAGCAGAAAATCATGAGACAAGTGTCAGAGCGATGCCGACAGCAGTGAGTTTGTGCCTCTGAGCAAAGCACCCGTGCCTACTGCAGTGTGTCGCATCACCCAGTGTCTGTTCTGTTTCTGCAGGAAGAGCTGCGACTGACGGATATTTCCCATAGACTGAATGCAGATGGATAATGCTAACCAGCTTGCCTAAAGCTCCCAGTTCAATGAAGCCCAATAGGGAGGTCCTCATGGTGAAGATTGGCTCCAACTCGCTCTGGCTCCTATTGACTTACATGAAAAACTCCTCCAGCTCTGGTTTGTCACTATTGGCCAAAAATATATGTGTCTCAGAATTTGATAAAGAGAAAGAAGACCTAGATTTCCAGAGTTAGCAATCAAATAAAAAACTTGGAGCTCCTATTTCTAATCCTATCCCTGCTCTCTCCCTATGTGAGCTGTCTAACAAAACGTACAGAACAGTTTTATGGAATGTGTACAGACGTCATCTGGCTTCATTCCAGACTTCTGAATCTAGTCCCGATCTGGACCCAGAAGTCTGGATCTGGCCTCGTCCGGTCCCATCTCCTGTCCGGTGGGAAAGGAAGACTCCCTTCGTGGAGAGAAACATATTCTAGGCTGTCTATTGTTTTTGCTGTAAACTCATTGACTTCAGACTAGTATGAAAACACTTTTGATATAAAACTATACAATTTCATGATTAAATATAGAATTTCACAAGTTTTTAAATGGTGACACAACATCACCCCACTCATTCCCACCTCTGCTCCTTCTCCACCGACTCCCACTGATGACTGCTGTCGTTGTGTCCTTGGGCAAGACACTTAACCCAACTTCGCCCAAAGCCCCCACTGAAAGATCAAGGCTATGCTCACAGTCAGAGAGCAGCCGTCCTCCTGTGGACTCACCACCTGCAGAGGGTCAGTGAGGGGCTGGTGCTATGAGACTTGGGTGGCATCTCTGACTGCCACCCCCCTGACCCAGAAATGGATTAAAGGGTAGAAAATGGATGGATGGATGGATGGACACAACATCACCCTCACATTTTGGGCTTGAATCTGTGTTTTGGCGCTCTCTGTGATCCTGGTTGTCTAAGTAAGTAAGTAAGTAATTAAGCTTTATTTATATACCGCCTTTCACAGACCAGAGTCACAAAGCGGTTTACAATTGTTATTTTTTGGGCACTTGTCTCTCACTCCACACAGAGATGGGAGCGGGGTCGACAATAGGTCTGGCAGGAGGCGCATGCCAGACCTATTGTACATATTTTTAGTAGTAGGGGAAACCGGAGTACCCGGAGGAAACCTACGCAGACACGGGGAGAACATGCAAACTCCACTCAGAAAGGCCCTGGTCCGGCCGGGATTCGAACCCAGGACCTTCTTGCTGAGAGGCGAGAGTGCTATCCACTCAGCCAACGTGCCGCCCACTGTGTAAGTCTGTGTAAATCCAGATATGAGCCATAAAAATATTGAACAATCAGAGGCCTTCATTTGCGAGCGTAACGGTTGCCTTGGCTTAGCACCTGTCTAACAACCCCAAGGCGAACCCTTTGTATTTTCCTAAAAATTGACACCCGTTCGAAAAATATATTTTCATCAAAATATAGACTCCATTAGTGCTCTACTTGATACCAGTTGCCACAGAAAATTAGCATTTTGAGTGTGAATCAAGACCAGGCAATCAAAGATGGCGGAGTATTCTAATTAATGGCTTGTGTTCCGTAGCGCATGGGCCACCATGGGCAACAGTTCTGAGTATAGAATGTAAATATTAACGAACGTAGTCACGCCTATCTCCTCCGTTCTAACTAATGTACTCCAACTTCTGCGGTCTATGGGCAGTTTAAAAATGGCCGCGGAGGCTGGAAAAAGTGAAAAAAACGCATCTGCGCATGCGTCAGCCGGCACAAGCCCCATTCATTTAACAAGTGCCTTCAACAATTCACAGCGATTAAACTAGACTGGTCCAAAAAAATTCACTCCCCTCAGCATTGACACACATGTGGAACGGAGCTTTGGGCCAAGAGCCAACTTTTGGACCATCCTGTAAAAATGTTTTCGAGAGGTCAGCTAATGCTATATGTTAGCATTGAATCATTCTTATTCCGGGTCCACCCCCATCGGCCCGGGGTGGTATTGCAAGCATGTCAGCACATGTCATTTTGGCCACTTTTGAGCCGGGATCCGCCCCCACTGATTGTGAGCAGTAGACAACCTCCCATGATGCTTTGCGCCAAATACTAACGAGCATGCATGTGTGATTCTCATGCACGTCCACAGAGGAGTACGGAAGCGGTCTGACCAACCAGGCACTGCTGATCAAAGCAGAGCTAGTGAGGGAAGGAAACGAGCAGAGTTTGTTGCACTCAAGTGTGGATTTAAAGATAGACCATATTGTCTAAAAACAAGACTGACGTGTTTCCAATTTGATAAAGAGAAAGAAGACGAAGAATTCAAGAGTTAATAACTAATATTTAATTATCTTTACAATCGAATACAAAACTCAAGAGCCCCTATCCATCAATCCTATCCCTGCGGTCTCTCCCTATGTGACAGAACAGTTTTATGTAAAACATGTAGAAAAAACAGGAAGTGCCACTGACGTCATCTGGACTGGTCTCTGACTCTGGTCTGGTCTTGGTTGGGTCTTGGACTCCGGTCCAGGTCTTTGGTCTTGGACTCTGGATCGCATCCTTCTCCTCCCCCGCATTCCTTCTCTTTGGTCTAAACTCCCTAATAAAAGAACACATTTCAAAGTTAAACCAGAAGAAACTAGTACTATATACACCGTAACTATTCAGTGCTACTGTAGCTAGTTAGCACTTCTGTAGCTAGTTAGCACTACTGTAGCTAGTTAACGCTTATCCATTGAAAGCAGTCACACCATGGAAACGCAGTGTAACGCTCTGAAGTGCAAAGTCTGAGACACTGATATGTTTGTCATGTGACCGGTTGTTTTGATGCTCACTTGAAGCAGTTTGCTTCGGGAGGAGCAAGACAAGCTTCGGAGCATCGTTGTCGTTTGCCCATCACTAGACAGATAGATAGATACTTTATTGATCCCCGTAGGAGAAATTCAGGTGTCCAGTAGCAGCAAAAATAAAAAATAAAATTGATCATTCTAAAAAGCTCAAACTAGTAATAATCAGCAACAGCCCTTCAGGTCACAGCGGCAGATATGGAGTAGCCTCTGGGTGGAGCAAGGCGGGTCACAGCAGCAGAGATGGAGTAGCCTCTGGGTGGAGTAGGACGGGTCAAAAGGTGGAGTAGCCGCTTGGTTTGGACCCATTTTCTCTGCTCTAATCCAAAGTAAAATGCTGTGAGTGGCCCCACCCACCGCAGAGGGCACACTCGAGACCTGTTAATTACTAAGGGGATGAATATTGCAAATGTAAACATAGTTGACGTTGCTCTTTCGGATCATTTTTGTGTATTTTTTGACATGTGTTTCACTAACAAACCACCAGAAGACGCTGCAGTTGTTCGAAGAAGACGCATAAATGAAAATACGGGTGAAATATTTATGGGAATTTTAAACTTTGAGAATGCATCGTGTTCTACTGTAGATGAACTGTTTAACTCTGTCACCTCTAGTGTTTTGAATGTTCTGGACACCATCGCTCCTGTGAAGGTTAAAATAGTGAAAAATAAGCAGAAGGCGTCGTGGGCTGAAGCAGACTCGGTCAGGGCACAAAAGAGAGAGTGCCGGAGGGCAAGTCCAACCTCCAGGTTGATTACGAGATCTTCAAAGATACATTTTTCTGAAATGATTGAAGGCTGCAGTAACAATCTGCGTGTTCTGTTTTCAACCGTTAATAGATTAACAAACCCCCCTGTTCAGCTGCCAGTAGAGCTTACTTCCAAACGTAAATGCAATGAGTTTGCAAATTTTTTCAATGACAAAGTTCAATGCATCAAAAACGCCATTGTCTCCAATCCACAGATAACAATCCAACAGCCAGAAAGGCTCTTTGAGCTAACTCATTTTGCACCTGTAGATGATAAAACTGTCCAAGAGATAATCACAAGTCTGAGCTCGTCCACTTGCAGCCTGGATGTACTACCCGCTAGATTTTTGAAGTCTGTTCTGAGCAGTCTGTTACCTTCACTCACACAGATAGTAAACATGTCCCTTCATTCTGGAATATTCCCAAAGGCCCTGAAAACTGCAGTCATCAGGCCCCTACTAAAAAAGAGCAGTCTGGATGCTATGGTACTTAACAACTATCGTCCCATCTCAAATCTGCCATTTATGGGGAAAGTCCTTGATAAAGTTGTCTACCAACAGCTTACTAGATTTCTTATAATCAACAACTCATTTGATATGTTTCAGTCCGGCTTTAGACCCCACCACAGCACTGAGACTGCTCTTGTCAAGGTTACAAACGATATCCGGCTGAACACTGACGCAGGCCAAGTCTCAATATTAATCTTGTTAGATCTAAGTGCTGCCTTTGACACCGTCGACCATGAGATCCTCTTACAGAGACTAGAGGACTGGGTTGGCGTCGCTGGCTCCGCCCTAAGTTGGTTTAGGTCTTACCTTGAAGACAGGAAGTACTTTGTGGAGATTGGAAACTGTGTCTCAGATCATATGGCCCTGACCTGTGGAGTACCACAGGGGTCGATCCTGGGACCTCTTCTGTTCAATCTCTACATGCTGCCGTTAGGTCAGTTAATACGCAGAAACAAAGTGTCCTATCATAACTATGCAGACGACACTCAGATCTATGTCTCACTGACTGCAGGAGAACATGGACCAGTGGACTCACTCCTTCACTGTATCCAACAGATCAGTGAGTGGATGCAAAACAACTTCCTTCAGCTAAACGCAGACAAAACTGAAATGATTGTCTTTGGTCCCCAGAAACAACGATAGAGCGTCATCTGTCACCTACAGTCTCTCTCCCTAAAACCTTCAAACAAGGTCAGAAATCTAGATACTGGACTCAGACTTAAATTTTAATTGCCACATCAAATCAGTAACATCAGCAGCTTTTTACCATCTAAAACACATTGCCAGGATCAAAAACATAGTGTCTAAAGCAGACTTGGAGATTCTTATCCATGTATTTGTTTCCAGTAGGTTAGACTACTGCAATGGCCTGCTCACAGGTCTGTCCAAACAGGCTGTAAA